GATGAGCAACGCCGGAGGACTCTGACGATGGCAGATACCTGCGCCACCAAGAATCAACAACGCCTTTGTTCCCGTCACAAGCGGAGAAACGATCCTCCTCAGCCACTGATTCTCTGAGAGAACCACTATACACTGTGCACTTTTTTAAATTCTTAAATGGTTTTATATTGTATTGTGTATTTCATCTACTGTTGTGTACTGTTTTTGATCAGCATCATTCCAAAGAGTGGCCTTCGTGTTTGTGTGGATGAGCTTAGTGTTGTGAACTGCTGTTGACCAGTGAGTCACATTTTGTGGGTGTGACTCATGCAGCATCAGACACAAAGAGAAGCGAGGATGTGAACTATCCAGAACTCCGTGTTTTTAACTTCTTCTTTTGTCGGAGGAACAGCTGTCATCCCTGTACTTTGTCTTAAACCCATTGTCTTAGCAATGGCACCTTTAAAAAAACAAAAAACTCCTGAAAACTTGAAACTGCTGTATGTGTTGCTTGAGATTTCCACATTGCAATACTGGTATAAAGCACATGGGGGTTGACTTAGCGAAAGAAACGTTCAGGGGCCCAACTGGTCACTAAAGTGGACCAATGCTGTTGCGGTCGAGGCCGAGATTTGATGATCCTCTCTGAAGTGCACTGACAACATCTCGCCTCTATGCGTTGTAAAACTGTTACAATTAAAGCAATAACGGCTTTAATGCTCAACTATGTGAACCATATTCACTTCTTTTTTTATCACAACTGTGGAGCTTGGATGCAATGAAGATGTTGTGCCTTCTTATTTCTTAAACAAAATGGAGTGAAGACTGTGACAAAGTTTTATTTTACTTCATCGTTCATCAACTTTATCCACGTTTAATTAATCAGAAAGTGCCTTTTTAGCTTGTGTCTTGAGCCATTTACGAACACTGAATTCCAATCATCTATTTCCATGTGAGATCACTATGTCAGACTGTACCCCCTGCTGATTTGGTTTAAACACACCTAATGCTCCATACGACTCGGATGTGGATGAAGTGTTGTTAATGAACATAAATGGTCGGCTGGGAGAACACACACTTGCCTGGACTTGTATTGTACTGTTTTATGAACACAGCGATGACTGTGAAACCTGTGAGCATACAGTAAGTCTGTGAGTGAGTTGCAGAGGAATTCACTTCCCGCCAGCTTCTTTTATGTGGTTGTGTGGTTTCTTTGTTTTACGGCGTCATGGCGGTATGGAGATAAAAGGACCTATTTGGGAGAATGCAGCACCCATAACGTGGTGCAAACAGACAAATGACACAGTCTTTGCAAGTGGAGTATGTGTTTAAATTTCTTCATGACGTTCAGGCTGTTTAAAATAACACTTTATTCAAACTGTACGCGATGCGATTAGATGAGACATTCTGTGAATATAAAGAATTGTTTGCATAAGCAGATCCAGCAAACACTTCATCATTTGTTATTGTGCACAGTGCTGTTAATTCATCACGCTGCTCCAGTTTACACTTGTTTTATTAATATTTCACTTCTTTGGGCAGAAAAGGTTGGTGGTTTTATAAGTCAAGCATTGTCTTAAAAACAATTACGGTCCTCTATCGAAACAATAAATTGAAGTTGTGGTCTTTTTTGTATGTTTAGATTCAAAGTGATCCTACAATAAAACCCTTAAAAGAAGGTCAGCGCCGCCTTGAATTGTTGAAGATGTTGAAAATAAACAGCCTGCGGCGACTCATGACAGTGGGGGTCGTGATTTGCCTGCGCGCCTGTCTGTCTAAGCCCCCAATGCTCCTTCTTGGAATTGTCCTAATTTGACCAATAATTGTGACTGCACACTTTAAACTCAGGAATTCTCTGTCTCCTGTGAAGCGCTGCCCATGTCCCGAGGCCCACCCACTCAAAATGAGCCCTGGTTCTTGTTTGTGAACCACAGCAGGAAGGAAATGGATCCGCTGCCACGACCAGATCATCCGGCTCCTCGAACTGTAATCCCGGCCTCACGTGTGTCTGTGGCGTCAAACTCTGTTAAGAGTTGAAAAGGTCACGGTGAGCAACGGCACATTGACTTGAAGAGCAGACTTTGATCTCTTGGTGGGCCGAACATCCTGTCGGCCTCCCCATAAACACCTTCGGGGGACACAATTCAGTGGGGTGAGGCGGGCGGGCGGGTGATAAAATCGACCTGAAGACCTCTAGTCAAATACGAAGCACAGAGCAGTGAATGAGGGAAGCGGAGTGGGAGGGACGCAGTCGCTCTGATGTGTCTCCATTAACAATGGTGGGAGGGGTTGACACCTCGCTCTTGCTTATTGGCAGTATCTCCATCCGACCTCCGCGGACCCGGGAGCAGACTGAGGGAGGGGGGGGGGGGGGGACGTCATGAATTGCTGCAATTTTGGTGTTATTCAAGTAGTTCCTGCCAAGAGCCGCAGCAACCCTAAAACAGTCCTCCGTCAACGACCTCCCCCCCCCCATCTCTCTTGCTGCCCCTGGACAGCAAAAGCATGTTGGTTTTTTTTGTAGCTGCCTTATTCACCCGTGTCTGACCACAAAGAGACTCAGGCCTCAGATAAAGAGTCTGTGGCCCCGCAGCCACATGATGTAGACAAGTACAGAATGAAGAAAGGAGACGAGCGGTTTATTTGAAGGAAATGCTTTTTTAAAAATAGCGATACTGTTAATACAACATATATGTTGCCAATAACAAAAGTATCAATAATTCAAAGCAGGACAGATGAAGGAAAATAGCTGCATTCGAATACAATATATGTATTTTTTTTAAGTAAAAAGACATAAACAAACAAAAGTTTTGTTTTGGAAACGTGGTGGAAACATGTAAAAAAGAAAAAACATTAATAATGAATTAATAAATAATAGACCAAATCTACCTGGCATAGTGGCCCTTGGTACAGTTCATTGGTGAAAAAGGGTTTTGTCTCAGAATGAAACACTTGTGTCAAATGTTAGTGTGGATGGTACATAAGCTATTTACTATTAAGGGAGTGTAAACTGACAAGACAAGAGTTATTTTTCTCTGTGTTTATGAAAGAGGAAAACCAGGATTCCATGTGACTGAAGTAAGGCTTGGAGTTTAGAACAGGAACCTCCTGTCTGTCTCCTCTCGTCCCGCAGCAGGCTTTGAAGTGCAAGTAGTTCTGTGTCTGAGAGATTCCTCCATTTGTTTTCCTCTGAAGTCCTGGCCCCCCCTGGGATGCATTCACTAGAATTTACAAGGTGTGTAATTTACCCTGCGTTGGTTTTCTAATCTTTTGAATTGCTGAGATCAAACATATGCTTCTTTTTCAGAGCATCTTGTTTGATTCACAGCTGTCTTTTGTTCCTGATAACAACTGATCACAGCTCTATGCAAGTTTCTCTATAGGATTGTAAAAGGGCGACATGTCAAAGAGCTCAATTTAATGGGGGTTCTGCTTGGATCTGCATGTAAGAGTATATTTACTATGAAGAATGACTGTAGGTGAGAGGATAACCTATAATTCTATATGAACACACATTTTAAATGGTGGAATAAGTAGCCAGACCTTTTTACTCAAGTAGAGGAATTACTTTGTTTCACATACAAGCAACGCATTTAAAATGCTACTTGAGAAAAATAACAAAACGATTAGCATTCAAATATACTAAATGTACCATTACTGATCATGTATAATACTCCATTTCAGAATAATCTAGTTACATTATTAGAAAAATAATATTTACATGAAATACTTTATGTAATGCCTGGTATGATGATCATTGAAAAATAGAGTCCAATTGATTTGTTGATTTAGTGTATATATTTAAACATAGTGGAGGGATGACTTTTGCCTGCTAATTGTAATGGAGAGAAGTAGCGTACATGTAAAATACTTAAGGTTTTACTTAAGTGCTAAACTTAAACACTTAAACCCGGCTCTGTCAGCAAACGTATGCCATATTACGATGATCCAAAGTGTTACATATCAACTAACAAAAAAACACAACAAAACAAATAATCACGCAGAGACTAAATACAATTGTTATTTTTGAAAAGAAGCAGTATAAAAAGCATTTTAAAATGCATTGATGGTTTGTTTGTTTATTTGACTTTATATCTGAGTTTTTAGATCTTTAAATACGTTAAATAAAGGTATGACATTGAAAAAAACTAATTTAGTCAGTGAATTGAAATTCCAGCAAATAAATGTTATTTAAGGTAAGTAGCATATTATGAGGAACATACCATAAGTATCAAATGTAATAGTACTGCAGCAAATGGTCAATGTTTATGGTAGCGATACATGCGTGTCTAAGTTTTATTTTCATTCAGGTGAGATAATATGTTCATATATTTATTTATTCCCGTTGCAGGTATGAGACCATATCATCCATGTGACAAACACATCACCCGCACACATTGACGATGTTAGACTCGCAGTTCTTCCATGAGCTTCATTGCTGCCTCCACCAGCGCGTCTACCGGTGGCCGCCCGCATCCAGTTCAAAACACTGGTGCTCACGTACCATGCTGTGAATGGATCGGGTCCAGCTTACATCCAGGACATGGTCAAACCCTACATCCCAACCCGCACTCTCCGCTCTGCATCTACAAAACTACTCGTCCCTCCCTCACTGAGAGCAAAACACTCGACTAGGTCTCGACTCTTCGCTGTCCTTGCGCCGAAATGGTGGAACGCGCTCTCTGAGGACACCAGGACCGCAGAGAGCCTTCACATCTTCCGCCGCAAACTAAAGACACACCTCTTCAGACTCTACCTCGACTAAAGACTAACAAATTGTAGCACTTAAATTGTACTTGTAACGTCACTCATCTATAGCAAATTGTAAATTGGCTTATTTGAGGAAATTGCACTTTCTTGTTTCTTGTTCTCCTGAGTTTGTACCCTATGGTTGAATGCACTTATTGTACGTCGCTTTGGATAAAAGCGTCAGCTAAATGACATGTAATGTAATGTAATGTAATGTAATGTAATGCAGCCAATCCCGAAGCGCCTTTTGAAAGATGAGGAGGTGGGAGGAGAAAAGGCCCAGCGGAGCTTCCAGGAGCTTTTCTTCCTGCCTCATCTGTTGCAAAGCTGCGGGTAGAGGTGGCCGACCGTGTGCATCCTGCCTTCCTGCCGAAACAGAAGAAACTTTGTGTGACTTTTGCACGCTATCGGCAGGGAGAAGCGAATGGGAGAATCCAGGGATCGGACAGCCGGCGCGCTGGAGCCGCTTCCTCGTGCGTAAAAGAATTTCCGACCCACCGGAGTATGAGCGGACCTCCCCAGTGTGCGCAACCAGATTCAGAGAAGTGGACGTTTTGATGACATCTTTTCGGCGATTGTTGAAGGTTGCAGACAAAAAAAAATAATAACGAAACCAAAACTTTATATTGAGGAGGATTTTGGAGACCGCCGACATGAGACCGTTTATCCTCTGCGTTCTTCTGCTGATTAAAGTAAGCGATTGTTAAGTACTGCTATACTAACACACACACACACACACACACACACACACACACACACACACACACACACACACACACACACACACACACACATCTCCACTTCTCTGCAGCTTTTCTAATCCGTAGAGGGTCATTTCTCACTCCTATCCTCGTAGCGTCGAATTAGCAGCCATTGCTTAAGTTCCGTCTGGCACCACGTCTGAAAATGTGTTTTTTCAGTGTTACACACAAAGCCACATTTCATTAAAACCGTCTCACCAGGCCCCTGTTGGTGACTATACTGTCATAGTTGGCAAATATCAGTGGAAAGGGTACTGCACGTCTTTTAAAGGCTCTTATGACTCAACACAAGTCAAGTCAAACTATTGCTTGTTTTGCGTGCCCGCTGCACATCTGGCTCATTAAGACCTTCACAAAACGTGCCGGAAGTAGGTGCAGACTCGAGGCGAGAATGAGCTAAACGATTCTGAGGGACAAAACAAAGGATTAGCCAAGATTATGCATCTACACGGAGAAAGAAATGGTGTTTTATCAACAATTATAGTTTTAGTGGCGTTTGATTGCATATTGCTAAAGGAGGATCATTGTTTGCCTCTGCAGTTGCAGACAATAATATGACACACATCTGCCACAAAATGCCCCTGGGGCTTGTGGTCCTGCATAGGCACGCTCCTCAGACTCAAACACTTTTGTTAGATCAAAGTACTCAAGAAGATGTTTATCTCTCTCTCTCATTAAAAGGGTGTGACATCAAAAAAGTCTGTTTTTTAAATCTAAAATGCAGGTTCTCATATTACAAAGTTGTTTGAAGTCTGTTTCTATAGTCCACTGAAAAGTATTAATGCTGGCAAAGGATTTTTCCTCCATGGATGATTTAGTGCAGGAGTCGATTGTTTCCTACAATATGTGAGCACAGTCTTAACGAATGACTCCTAAGGTCACGTTTCATGTAGTTTACTCTACACGTTGCCAAGTTATTTGCTATTGCTGGTGGAAATCTGGCCTAGCTATCAGTATAGGCAGAGTTTGGATATCCGGAGCAAAGCAATTATTATTACAATTTCCTCCAAGTCTGTGGTGTGTGTGTGTGTGTGTGTGTGTGTGTGTGTGTGTGTGTGTGTGTGTGTGTGTGTGTGTGTGTGTGTGTGTGCGCGCGCGTGTGTGTGCGTGTGTGTGTGAGGGGGGAGTAGTTTCGTTTATTGCCACAGTCATTTCCATTTCCATGGACTAGTTAAGCAGATATCAATGGGTGCCAGACTTTAGGACAATTTGCACATTTAAACTGCCTCTTAACTGTGGTGTGTGTGGAAAATCAGTAGATTAAAGGTCGACATCTCACTGTGTGCGGACTCACTTGATTGAGGATCATACGTTTTGGGGTGAGCTTCCTGTCTGAAAATAAGAAAGAAAGCCACGTCCTTTAATGCGTCCCTTATGCTCCCTGTACACTAATGACAGTAATCATGGGAAAGGGGGTGCAGCTTCATGAACTTTCCCTCGGCTCAGGCTGTCTCTCCGCTGAGAGGCCTCTGTCTGTTTCCGTCGCAGCCAGATTGTGGAGGCTCATTTGGGTCGTTTGCCTCACGGGGAGAGACCATCTCTTTGTGTGTTTATTTTCACGGAGATTAGATTAACTGGAAAGTGTAGCCTAAACGCTTCAAGAGTGGCCTCACTTCAAAAGGCAACGTAAATGTGTCGGTGTAAAACGAAGTGTGTGTGTGTGTGTGTGTGTGTGTGATCCGCGATGACTGAGTGACTCCGGCAGCCGTGGGGTTGAGACCCCATTGAAAGCTGTGAGTGGTGCTGCTCGGTGGGCCGTTCGTTCTCACTGGGGAATCCCTTCAGATGTCAGCCATTTACCTAAATGGAAAAAGCAACTGCAGCCCCCCCCCCCCCACACCCCCACCCTAAGACTGAATACTCTTAGGTAAATAAATCTTAGCTTGAAGTTTGGATACAAAAGCATGGAAGGATATTGTTGATTTATGTCCCACTAAAGTAAAACTAACACCTCCTCAAAGTTTGATTTTGTCCTCCAAAAAAAGCATCCAAGTATGAGGCAGATTTATTGCTAATTATGTCTAATGATTAATTTGTTTTTAATCACACTGTGGAAACTTTTAAGATTCCGTACAGTATCAGATGTCAAATTGCACACTTGCATATCTTCCTACACCAACAAAAATTGAGTGGCATCCTAAGTCTTGCACAGCGTATGCAGTAGATAATGACTCAGTCATACCTCTACTGAGTAGATCACTGTTCCCACTCGTCTCCAGTGGGGCACGGACTAAATATTTCCCTGCAGAGCGGGCACCAGCGGCTGTTAAAGGCCTTTGGCAGTTCCTGCGCACCGGGCAGCCTCACGGAGCTGCACCAGCCCTCTCACACCCGCCGCTGTCAAAGGACACAAATCCAAGCTGGAGGTAAAAGCTAAACAGAGCCACTGTCACCAAATATTTATGAAAGCATGGATCGAGGGCTAGAAGGTTAGCTTGTGTTAGCGGGGGAGCTCCATCAGTCCCGAGGGAAGAGGACCAACCAGATACCAGGAAGTCCAGACTCACGGTCACGGTCTGCTTAGTCCAAACATCTCGCCGGGTCCCTGCCTGCTGGATCCTACCACCCTGACACCCGAACATCTCCGATCTGGGTTCTGTGGCTGCTGCTCGCATATCATCTTCTAAGTGCTGCAGTAAATCTGGCTTTTGTTATTGGAACGAGGCAATCAAGCTCCGTTTCAAAGCTGTTTTCTCCTGTAGTATCGGCATGGAACATTTCAGTGTTTTACAACTGGGGGCACGGTTTGTTTGTGTGTGTGTGTGTGTGTGTGTGTGTGTGTGTGTGTTTCTGGTGGGCTTTTTGTCGGCCTCTACAGGTCCACACACGTTGCCTGTGTTTGTTGGCAGACTTCAGAGACAAAGAGAGACAACCGCAGGTTGTTTAGCTGTTACTTTTCCCCGTGGCCGCAGGTTAGTTGTCAGACGTCTGTTTGCCCTCGTTAGCCCCCCCGGGACAGACGAGGCCGATCTCCCCTAAAACGCGTGCGTGTTTAAGATGCCGTTGTGTCGAGCGCGTTAGCGAAATCATGACCTACGTATAGACACACCTGCAACTTCAAAGGAGCCTTCTCCGCCATGCAGACACTCGCATGTTGGGCCGCCTTCGTTAACTGAAACCCTTGCCTGGGGGCTGAAACAGTCTCCTTTATGTTTCCCCCCTCGCGCCCCTTTATGATGTCAACACACAGACTGTATTCACACACACACACACGGTTGCACCATGTCACTCATAATGATTTGGAACGAGTGGGAGGGCGGAAACTCTTTTTACTTCTTCCTTCCTCCTGAGTATGTTTTTTTTCTTCCCCCCTTTATGTCTTATTCTTTCCACTGGTCTAAAGCCATCTGATTAAAGCCAGCCACTCCTGACAGGCACCAGCCCTGCTGCACAGGCCGCTAGGAATGTCTGATCTATCCCTCATGTCATAACTCAAGCCCGGGCTCTCCATTACCCACTTGAGATAAGGACTCGGAGCACTTTCAGGGTGAAAGCTGAAGCCGATGGAAAAAGGCCATTTTCAGTTTGCCCAGTTTCCCGTTTCCTCCAACGCACGGGGGGCAGAATGAGTTTGTTAAATTTGTTTAGGTGGTCTGCCTTGTCGATCTAACTGTCATTTGTTTACTGCAGGTGACTCCTGGAGAGGCCTGTGCCAGTGGCCAGCTCACTGAATCGGGCCAGTGTTGCAGTCTGTGTCCCGCTGGCTTCGAAATGAAGGTGGATTGTGGGAAAGAGGACACTAAGTGCACACAATGCCCAAAGGGTGAGCTATTAAGATCTAATGTTACTGCACCAATGTGGAATATGTTTTACCTGCCGTGTCATTATCTCTCCGGCTGTTGAGCCTCATGTGTTCAAAAACAGACTTAAAGGGCAGCACTTATCATCATTGCAGCCGAAATCTGCGCGAGAAAGACAGCTTCCCCAGACTGACGCTGATTTCTTTATCTGTCTCCCAGGAACGTTTTCCTCATCCGAAGGTCTCGGCCCTTGCCTCCCGTGTGCTAAGTGCCCACGCAGTGTTCCCACGGTGGCCTCTTGCTCTGCCACGCAAGACACACAATGTGAATGTGACGACGGCTATTTCTTTTTGGGCAGGCACGCCCTGTGTCTGCCGTGCTCCAAATGCACACCCGGTGAGGGTGTTACTCGGGAGTGTGGTCCACACGGAGACACGCGCTGCGAGGTCTGTGGTCCGGGAACGTTTTCTGAGGAGCGTTTCAGCACCAAACCCTGCCAGGCCTGCACCCAGTGCTCTGATAGCGAGGTGGAAATCCGACACTGCATGCCCAACGCTGACGCACTGTGCATGGGTGAGTTGTGACAAGTACATTGAGTTTGAAAGTCTGTTAACGTGTTTTTCTTATTGTCAGCGAATCCAATTGAAAAGTATTCTTTGTAGCCAAAACCTAATAAAGTTTATGCATTAGTGCCATAGGCTTCCTTTGTTGTTCAAAAACGACATGGGCACCGGTTTAATTAAATGAATTCTAAAGCCAGTGTCCTGCGGCTCTAAATTCTTACCAGCACCAACTGTTGTCCAATTGTCCCCCTCGAACACTTTAGTCCTGTTTGAGTAATGTTTGCTAATAACTGCTGTTTGAGTAAATGAAATACACTTCATAGAAAGGAAATTGGATATTTGCAACCATTAAAAAAAGTAGGAAAGCATTGGCGTTGGAATGTAAAGAAATAATTAAAAATAAATAAAAAAATGGACTTAGCCCTTGTTGGTTTTGATTATTTAATAGACTTTTCCATACGTAGTGCTTGGCTCATCCCTCAAAGATCTAATGCAAGGAAAGGCAGCAATAGTTAAAGATGAAACGATGAAAAGAATGAGCCGAGGGGGGAAGGAGTGCGAAGGTCTGAGAAAATACAAGGACATGTGGTCAACATCTGCATCCACTCCTCATCTGAACTCTCTGGGCTGAGAAACATGAGCAGCGAAAAGAAACAGCCCACTAAAGTGCTGTAGTCCAATTGGTGTGTTCTTGATAGGCCTCTGGGTTAACTGGCCCCAAGAACCTGAAGGCCAAGGGGGGCTACTGACCCTTGCAACTAGCCCCACCCCCTCCCCCCAAATGGCTACACTCGCTCTCCAGGAGTAAGGTCGCCTTTACACACACTGCGTCCACGTGTCATGACCCTTTGACCCCTGAGAGCTCAGCACAGTACCGTGTAGTGTTTGATCCTAAAATAGTCCGACTGCAGGGGGGGGGGGACGAGGCTGGAAACCGGGACAATGAAAGGTTTTAAAACCCCAGGGGACCGGGATGGCTTCTGTGGAATTATTTCAGGCCCTAATTTATGCAGCCCAAATGTGTGCTGGTGTGCAGATGCAATAACGCGATTCCTTACGTGTCTCAACAGATAGGAAGCTGCACATTCTGTCTCCAACTCTGGGTGGGTCTGATGCTCCTCGCCTGCCAGGTGTTGGGGAAGGGGAGACCAGCTCTGTCCCCGGAACGCCCAGGTTTACACCGCCGGATGACGGGGGCAGCAACCACATTCTGGCCTACGTGTCTGTTCTGGCTGCCGTGGTGCTGGGTCTGATTTTCTATGTGGCTTATAAATGGTGGGTTTTCACTAAGCACGGGTCCTTAAATGGATGTAATGGGGATAATAAAAAAATTGGCTTTGTGATGGAGAAAAAAACTCAGCCTGCGTAGCTTTACTGACGTTGTTTTCTTGGTTCTTCTCAGCTGGAGATCGTGTCAACAGAAGAGGGCTCTTTCTAAGGCCCGTGCAGCTGAGCTGGGGGCGTCTCCGGAAGGGGAAAAGCTCCAAAGTGACAGTGGTGTATTTCTGGACTCTCAGAGCCTACAGGAGAACCAGCCCAGCAAAGGTGAGGCAGACGCAGGCCTTTTAATGGGAAGGATTTGGACAGGACAGTCGGTGGAAGGAACGTACAAAGAAAAGTAGCAACGGGGAAAAAGGAAAAGCATAAAAGACAGAGTCGCTAGTGAAGATGGATTCAAATAATGCAGCCTTTAAAAGCAAATTGTTATTTGAATTAAAATATTGCTTTTTGAAATTATTTGTGAGGAAATAACCTTTTAGTAAATAAATATTGAATTTAAACATAGCTTTGTATCCCAGATGGATAATAAAATTCTATTCACACTTATGCAATTTTAAATCTCTAATGTACCTTTAAACCTGCGTTTTTATCATACCCGTGCATACTGAATACTATGATCCTCATGAAAAATCTGCTTGTAACTTATTTTTTTAAGTGCATGCTCAATTTGTTTGGTGTTTCAGGTACGAAGAGGGACAGCAAACAGGACAACCGTTTGTACATCAACCTGCCCCCCCACAGACAGGAGGAGGTGGAGCGCCTCCTGCAGGAGGGAGGGGGCCGGGGGTGGAGGCAGCTGGGCGCTGCGCTGGGCTATGAGCCCGAGCAGCTGGACCTGTTTGGGCGTGGAGAAGCTCCTGCTCACACACTCCTCTCCAACTGGGCCCCGAAAGAAGGTTCCACTCTGGGCCTGCTGTGGTCTGCACTGGCCCGCATTGAGAGGCCGGACGTGGTGACGGCTATTAACTGCCCCACGCAGGGTGTTTCTTTGGTCTGAAGAATGAAACCAACGCATGACACCAACAGACTGAAGTGGAGAACTTCCATGGCAATGAAAAGAATGGAACTGCGAACACTATTAACAACCACAGTCGGACGGTCCCACCAATGGACTACGGTGGCTTTGTTGGACACTTGTGATTCAGTTTTTACTGAGAGAACAAAACATATTCTTGTCCTTTCTCTGCCCCAGTTTATGTCTCCATTTGATTTTACGATAAGTTCAACTGCATGAACGAATCTCCTGCAATGTGTGTGTGTTATGGCTAATGAGCAGATCACCGTCTTAGCAGTGGCAATGACCACTGCTGATGTTGGTTTTGGTTCTTCTTTTCTGCTCAAGTCACTACTTTACACCGAGGATTTATATTCTGCACCAGGGACGTTTCAAATATCGTTAGAAGACACAAAAATATATTAAAACCCTCTTCTCTTTCTCTTCCCAAATATCATCTTTGATTGTAAATATCTTAAATACTGATTGTTTAAAAAGTAATGAGTACGATAACTGAATGAAAGGAATAGACTATTCTCCTTGCATTCATATTACACAGCTCCATTTTTATCACCTTTTCATAATAGACACGAAATCCAAAGACACTGCAAACATCAATGCTTGTGGCCTGAGTCATCTTGCCTTTGTATTTATTTCAACACCCTTAGAATAAAACTATTTCTATGAGGACTGGGACATTTGCTGTGTGTTAGTTACACAATGTGATGACCTCAGATGGTTTGACTTTTTTTTATAACGCCATGTATGGTTTTGTGTATATATTACTTTATTTTTTGTCTTAATGTGTTTTTGTATGAGTTTTATTCATATAATAAATAACTTTGATAAGTCGGTGCTCTTTTGTTGTACCAGAAAGACTGGAGGTTATACTTCCTAATGCTGTAAAATAAGTGTGTATTTGTATTACACTACATGTCATAGTTTGTTGTGGTGTAATTGTAGAGTAACGTTATGACTAGAAAAGACTATGTCTGCTTTAATAAAGCGATGTCTAAGTAATAATGATTAAAATAGCTGAAACTAATGGATCAACTGAAATAGTTACCTTAAAGTTTAAATAGTTAATTTAATGGACCGAGCTGGCTGAAATGAATGAATACATACAATACTTACAAGTAAATAAACAGTTCTAACATGTATAGTAAAGGAATTTGGTCAAACTAATGGGAGGTGAGCTTTGTGAGCTTGTTAAATTTTTGGACAAATGGAGACTTTTTCATGCCTTTTGTGTTTAAAGAGAGACATCCTTTTCCCACCAAATGGCAATAACTGTTTATAATGAAAATTACTGGACCAAAACCTCAAACCTGTAAACACTCACGGCACACTTTAAGACCGCACTGATGAATTCCACAGTGAGGAAGTCGGAACATTCTAGTTAATCCTTATCAAGGGGTCCAGTGTTTAAGATCATTTCCCATCAATAACCCTGCGGTAATTCTGCCGCAGCTATTTGATCTTTTGAGGGTGAAATGATAACAACTTCATCAAAAACAAGTTTAATCTTCCTCTCAGAGGCACGATCTGAACCCGGCTCAACTCTGCTAACTCAAATCTGTTCATGATATTTTTTGCATTCGGTTCTAAGCGGGAGCAGGCATCTCGCACGCCCTGGGGCAGAGTCGGATGCCGTCACACACTCCAGACGGGACCGCTTAACTGGAGCACAGCGGCATGGGGCTGCGGAATGTGCATAAGCTGGGAGAGGGGGGGAGGGTTGGGAGGGTCGAGAGAAGGGGAAGCACAGCCCTGCCTCTCTTCACTCGTCACGCTCTCCATATTTAGGGCTCACCTAGCGTCTGAAATTCTGATTCCCTCCCTACTGGGGCCGAACATCTGGCTCGACAGTGAGCGTATGCGCTGCAGTGGCGTCTGTGACTTGTGCACCACCCGTTAGAGGAGGACGTGCCCAATCTCTCTCTCTCCCAAAAGACCGGGTGTGCCCTCGGCAGTCAATCACGGATCCGAGACCTCGGTCACAGTCGCCGGGATCCGTTCGAGTGAAACGCACAGCTGAGAAACGTGTCAAGTCATTTTACAAAATGTTTTATTATCTTTTTAAAATGTTTGTACACTCGGTATGACAATGTGCTTACACGATACTTACAGTCGAGTAGGGTGAAACTTATTTTGTACATAGAAAAATAACTAGAACAAAAAAAAAAAAGGAAACACTTGAAAACATTTCCCACCACTGAAATAAAATAGGGGTCTGTGGGTCGGTGGGGTCGCGATGGGGGAACTGCATCAGGAGGGCTGAGCTGCTGAGGACCAGTGGGCCGCCTGCGCTCCCGACTCGACTCCCAGCATACAGCTTTTGTAAATTTTACACAATATTTACACTTTCGATGAAATGATAGTCCTCTTACAAAGTGTCTGTTGTTTAAACATTCCCCAAAAACTATTATTCATTATATTCACATATAAAGCAATATACATATGTCGAAAATTAGTTTAATGCATTTCAACAAGCTGACAACAGATGCTCATGAATCTATGTTGAAAACTGTAAAAATCCTGGAAGTCAACTGAGGGAGTTCGTGGAGCAAGGCCGGCCTAAGTGACTAACTGTGATAAAAAAAACCACAACACATGTTTAGAACTGTTAAAACGGCAATGCTAGAACTATCATTTTCAGCAATACTCTTCGAAGAAGAGGAGACCGGTCAGACCAAAATGACATTGGTGATTGGGCTGGACTGGACAAAAAAAATAGCACATCAAACATGGCATTGAAACCCTGCACCCGTTATAATACATTACTTCATAAAAGACGTACTCATCGCCGTGCAAACCTTCTGGTTATTGGCTGATCCCTAAGTGTGTTGTGAGTAAAAGCTCATCGCAGGGTGGACATATTACACGAAGCAGAAGACGTGAAGAATGACAGGATTTCCATGAAGATACCACTCAAACCTCAGCCGGCGTCGTGCATCCATGAAACAACAGAGGCTCCCAAGTCTTGTGGTTAAGAAGGCAGGGTTTGAGGAGCGGAAGCTTGGATCTCCACAGCCCAGTTAAAAGCAGCACCAGATTCAGAGTCAGTGTCGTCGGGGGCGGGGGGTTGAAGCGTGCACATGAAAAAGGAAGAGTGGGGAAAAAAAACAAAAAAACACTGGACCGTTCTGTCATTGATCCATTTTGTGACAGTGAAGAGTAACAAAGAGACTCGGATAAATATGATACCAAAGCTGATTCCATTGAGTAATAACTCGTTCAGGGCTAGAAGAGTTTAAAAAGTGGAATTGAGGTGATCATCTCGGGAACATTTAAGAACCACAACTGAAAAACAAAACAAAACAAACAAACAGAAGAAGCTTAAAATCAAACAGTTAGTGAAAACATTAGTCTCCTTAGCACCCGGCAGTGTCGTCCTATAAGATCACTGCACCCGGAGCTCCGAGTCTCCGTCTGTGTCGAGAACGTGGCTCCTTCGTGATCTGCGCGGCATGGAGAGCTTCTTCCTGCAGCAGTGCAATTTGTAGTCAAAAATATGCGTAAGAAACTACTTCATGGCTCAGGTTCGGGGCCAGCACATATACGTAAAAGGAGTGAATGGAAAGGCAAATCTGTGCTTCTCCTGTGTCCGAGTGGGACGCGTGTAGCATCAGGGGTTCCTGAGGCTAGTACACCTCCGTATCCTCCTTGGGCCTGTACACGGTGCCGAACCGCTGCATGTACTTCTTGATGTACTCCTTGGTCTTGTGCTTCACGTTCTCGTTACACTCGAGGTCCTCTGGATTATTGCATGCTTTCAACTCCTTGTTCATAACTCCGTGAGTTAGCTAGAGGGATGGGGGGGGAGAAAAGGGGTTAGACGTAGTTCTTGTACCAACACTGAGATACATTCTCTCATTATAACGGATATAAATAAGGTAGTAGAGAGCTTGGGTGGTTAATGGTCTTTTTAGGGACAATGCAATCTAAATGAAGGCCAACTCTTCCTTCAGTTTATTGTGCCCGTGTCCTCAGAGTCGTGGAATGAGGTACAGAAAAGCAGACGGCGATAACAATGTTTTACTTGGTCTCCTCGGCAAGCAAAAATACAAAAACGTTTTGCTGGAAAAATAATTTATGAGAGCCCGGCAATTTAGTTAGTGGTTAGAGGGAAACTTTGAGAACGCTGCCTTTAAAGTTCAAAGCCGACCAATACTTTCATTGTGCTCCGACGCCGAAGAGGCCCACGAAAGGTTTACAGCGTCTCTGCGTTGATGGAAGTCCTGGCAACACGTGTAAAACACAGAATTGTTGGATTTTACCTTCCTCGCCAGGTGTTTGAAGTCTTCCGTGTTGCTGATGCGTCCAAGTTTGCAGTCTGGTTTCCGAAAAGGATTTAGACATTGCACTATGAACTGGGACATCTGAGTAACGTACACAAACAGACAGAAGGGGGAAAAAACGTGTTTGAAATAGAAGAATATATTCAAACAAATATAAAACTGCATGGGTGGCTACAAGAGGTTTGGAATAATACAAACTAAAGCATAATAAAAGACCTACCTCTTTGCGAAATGTCTCTTTACTCTTTTTAGCCAGCTCACTGGAAGTGTCGGCTTCAGCCGTCTTGGTGGAAAACTGTACCAACGTAACAGAAGAGACGGATGAGATGATTAAAAACACTTTCTTAGCGATAGCGGAAGACAGTCAGACCATATAGTCGTAACATTACCCAGCATAGTCATTTTCAATGACGCACCTGTGCATCAGCTCAATCTAAACAAGGCAACTGGCTGCTAAGCAGTAACTATCAAGGCCAGTGGGCCATCCGGCAGCACCTGCTCGCCAGCTACTCGACACAAAGCGGGGATTTCCTGCCTTTCAGCGACAAAGACAAGCGGGCAACAGCTGACTGCCTGCCTGCCTGCACCCACAACCAAGTGGTGAGGATCAAAAGCAAGCGCCCAGGACTCGCATGAAGGGTGTCAGCGAAAGGAATCCAGAAACGTGGGACGGAACGCGCGCCGCTGGGAAACGGCCAGTGACCTCGGAGGGGTCGGTGGCGGGAAATGTTGCATGAAAAACATGTTTCTCTCTATTTCAGTCCTTTGATGCTTATATTGCTCTCCACCGCCGCTACATCTTTTTTGAGAAAAGACAATGGGGAGACTCGCGTGGTTAAACTACGAAACCAGAAACCGCAAAGAAATGAAAAGCTAGGTCCTCCAGATGGTTCCGATTATCCTCAAAGTCAGGATAGGGAAAACAAATGGGGCAGAGGAAGAAGCGCCAAGCCTCCCCCTCCCCCCTCCCCCTGTCATTGTGGCCTTGGGGCTAAGGGACAGACAGCTGAGCAAGGGGTGGAGTGAGTGGTATCACTCTACAAAGCCTTTGTCTCCATGTAGATCAGCCAAAGCAAGTCAGTTGCGAGTCATCAACGGGCGCGTAACACTACGAATACAGCGGCGTCCCGAGGTTCCAACCCCCCCCCCTTCCCTTTGAAACACAGCTGCAAGTAATCTCTTGTGCAGCATCCTCAATTTTCAATTACTCGAAGGACCAAACAGTATAAACATGTTCGGCATCGCCGCACACGATTCCTGAGAAACAAACAAAAAGTGAGGCGCACTCTGAAAACGCTCACCTTGGAAGGATTCTCATCATAGGTGGGGGTTCCCAGGTCCATCTCAGATTCATGGTCCACGCTAGTGTTGTCACTGCAGGAGTCCCAGGTCGGAGGGTCCCACTGCGTTTGCCTGAGGGGCGACATGTCGAATAGAGATTTAATGCAGGGAGGTTCTAGACGGACAAACACACTTCACAGCAACACCCACCTCGTGGCAATGTGGTAGTAGTAGATCTTGCCCTCAGGATCACGGGCCACTTTCCAATTGGGAGGTAGGACGATGGTTTTGGGTTTGGGAGGGGAGGGGGGAGGCAGGTCTATCACATTGTTGGGTACAATCATTTCCTGGTGATTAGAAGAAATGGAGTGTCAGAGGCAAAAAATCTTTTTTTCTTTTAAACTTTTTATGGAGAAAATAACAACACTTCAATTTAAAATAGTCATATGACGGACCTGCATTTAGACTCTTCCTTTCACAATATTGCCTATTGAGTCTATATGTTTCGTATTAAGGCACATCTTGCTAGTAAAAGCTGAATGATTTGGATGTATACTGCCCCCTTGTGGCAACACAGAGACAATTGGTTGCCTTGGAATCACATTCATCATAACTGTAATCTCTGAAAAACCCAAAGCAGAGACTCAATTATAAACTATGGTATCGCATCCCTGAAAACAGTGACTCAAAGCACCAGTATAGTGCAACCTTTCCTGGTCATGAATATAAAAATAACCATCCTTTATAATTATCCATTTCTCACGTCTTGCTCTATTGTTCCGTTTCAATTACATTCACAATTTCAGACACAGAGTGTGTATGAAGGATGACTTACCTGTTGGACTGTTTGGGATGTGACGATGGTGGTGACCGTGCCTCCCTGCTGCACCACCACGCCCTGCTGATGGCCAGGATACACGGGCTGGCCGTGCAGGTAGCTCGCTGTGGGTTCAGTGTACGCCTTCAAGAACACGAGATAAAACGAAAAACAACAACATTCAGAAGTCCTGTTCAATAAGCATCAGACACATTGTGGATTAAACAACCAATAGAGTTATAGAATTGTTGTTGGAAAAGTATCTCTCCTTTCCACCCTCTATTTTATTACTTTGCTTAAAAACACTATAATAGGCAAATAATACTGTCATATGAAGACACACCACAAACATTTGATACACATACACCAGTTTTACACATTAACAGCAAACATATCTATGCTTTTCAATACTAAAATACAAGAACAGCAATATCTGCAGAGGATGTGATGCTCAGGCAGAGAGCCCCCCACCTGTATGACGGGAGCGTTGGCTTGTGGGTAGGCAGCGGGGATGCTGTAGATGGTTTGGCAGGGCTGACCCTGGTAATAGATAGCTGTCTGCGCCTGAGGCGGTGCCGGCGCCGCGGCGTACTGCTGTGCGGGCTGCGTCTGCACAGTCACCGCCTGCTGGGTGGCGGGGTCCCAGAGGGTGGTGTAGCTCTGCTGGCTCTGTACCTGAGGGGCCACCTGCGGGGGCGCGGAGAGGACTGCTACGCCCGCGTCCTGAGTTGCTACGGCTGGCTGGGTGTACTGCGGCGGGTTGCTGGCGGCGAGCTCGGTGGTGGCGATGTGCTGAGGGAGAGCGGGGACGGGGGTGGCCTGAGAGGTGGAGGATGGAGAGGACAGCGGCAGGTCGGAGACGAGACGCTGAGGTGGTGTCTCTTCGTAGCTCAGCGCGGGCTCAACCGCAGGGGTAGGAAGCAGCACTTTGCCTGCATTGGGGTTGGTGGGGTCCACAAAGGTCTGGATGGGATACCCAGGGGGGTACGTGATGAAGCCAGCGCTGGATACATAAGCCAGAGCTGGGTCATAAACCATCGTCTGAAGCTGGAGCTGCTGTTGTTGTTGTTGTTGTTGCTGCAGTTGTTGCTGCTGCTGCAGCAGCTCTTGCTGCTGCTGCTGAAGCTGTTGTTGTTTCAGGGCTTCCCTCTGTGCAACCTCCTGCTCAAACAGCTTTCTGCGCTCCTCCGTGGAAAGTTTGTTGCGCTCTTTGCCCCGTGTCTTGCTGCTGTTCGATGTGTCAAACCTTAAAAATCCAGAGAACGAGAACACATTTGAATGCCAAAAGTCTTAGTGTCATAGGACTATGGTCACAGTATGCATTGAACGTTCTACCCGATCACGGGAATTCTCACCGTTCTTCAGTGCGGCGGCTGCTCCTCTCGTAGGACGGGGGCGGCGAACCCGAGCGTCTCCTCCGTCTCTCGGCGCTACGCTGTGGCGTTTTGTCAGAGACTCTGTCGCGGTCTCGATCGCGATCCCGCTCTCTGTCCCGCTCTCTGTCTCTGTCTCTGTCCCTGTCCCAGTCGCGATCCCGGTCACGATCCCTGTCTCGATCCCTGTCTCGATCCCTGTCATAATCTCGGTCTCTGTCACGTTCCCTCTCCTTATCTCGCTCCCTTTCGCGTTCTCGGCTACCAGAAGCCGTGCGCGGCGTCAAAGCTGCGTCTCGATCTCGGCTGCGATCTGGGAGAGAAGTTAGCAAGTTTAGCCAAAACGAAAGTGAAAACAATCTGTGGCCGGAGGTCGGCATTGGATTTAAACTTACCAGTAGCTTCCTTCTCCACCTGACTCTTCTTTGGTATTCGGTACACCTCCTAAAAGGGTCAAGCACAAGTTTTAGGTCAAACTTTAGAAAATTACCGTTTGCAGAGAGCATGTTGCACAAGGTGTGCCTTTAAAAAGGGGAATCTGTTTGAGCTGACCTTCAGATCCTTCCAGCTGTCCAGAAGCCTGGCAGCCATGCCACCAATGTCCAGCGCACTGAGGGGGGGCTCCTGACTCCTCTCACTCTCCACATCGGAGACACCTTCCTCCTCGTCCTGCGAAGGAGTTCCGATCACAGATGGGTCCCCGGCGGTCGCAATGACCTCGCAGGGCACACTGGCCTCGGTGGTCTCGGAGCATGGGGCTGCATCGGTGGTAGATTCCCCAGGTTGCTCCTCACTGCAGGGAGGAGGTTTCTCGGCTTCTTGTGTCTCTACTTGGGGCTCCTTATTTTCGGAAGGTTCTTCAGGGGGAAGAGCAGCAACATCTGTTTGGATAGACTGATTCTCTGAGTCAAGAACTTCAGCAGTAGGTTTGTCTCCTTCCAGTTCGACCTTTTCTGTCACTGGCTGAGGGGTCTGCTCCTCCCCACACTCCTGATCTTCACTGGGCTCTTTTGGTCCCTCAAGTTCACCCGATTGACCTTCACTCGTGTCCGCTTTAATCTCAATCTCCTTCTCCAAATCCAGCTCAGTTTTTTCTTGTACCTCCTCAACTTGGGGTTGTTGTTGGCTGCGTAAACTCATCCCTGGCTCCTCCTCTTTCTGCCCGTCGATCGGACTCTCCTCTTTCACAGATTCCTCCATCGTTCCTTTGGTTGGATCGGCAGCTTCGCCGACAGGCTCCTCCTTCAACCGTTTGCCGTCCGGAAGTCCCGAATTTGAGGATTTATCTTCTTCCTCGTCGTCGTCCTCGTCGTCGTCCTCTTCTTCCTTCCCGTCGGACGCTTTGCTAGCGTCAGAGAGCGCGCTATCCAGACTGTTTTCACTGATTATTTTAAGGCGGCGGTACACGGCAGGTTTTGAGGCGTCCCCATCCAACTCTGGTCCCTGTTTGGTGGAGGACCCATCAGGAGTGTTGAGCGGGGTTTGAGCGCGGGAGGTGTTCTCACTGGAGTAGCCATCCATCTCAGCAGGGTGGGGGAGAGTCTTCGTCTGAGCCCATCGCTGGATGAAGCTGAGGACTCGGCTCTCCTCCAGCATGTTCTTAGTAGGGATAGGCAGCACAGCCAAGGTCTTCATAATCTGTCAACAGAGTCACATATTAGTGGCAATCGAACAGCCACGTATTCGAACTTCCAGGCTGTGAGCATTTTCAAATTGCTTGTTGTTTCAGGGAGATGTAACATTATGAACGTTTTATGTCAAACTCAATGCTATACGTCACCTCTAACTGCAGTTTGACGTTATTGGCACTGTTGCCTTTAGCTTCGGAAAGCTCCACCATGAAGATCCACAGCAAAGACAATCCATGATGGTCCAGGAACTGCTTTAGGCATGATGGATTTTGAGTATCCTATGCGACACAAACATATGTGGTACTTGACGCAAATGATGACAGCAAATACCAACGATATAAAAACAGACATCAACCACTCAGGTCATACTTGTATGAGCTTGAAGCAGATGAGCTTTTGCTCCATGGTTTCCACTCGGACCATTAGCCTGCAGAGAGCCACCACCTGCTTCTCATCATACAGGCCTTCTCCGTTCTCCGATAGCGCCTCCAGTTCCTCATCAACCTGAGGAGAGACAGCGATGTTGTCGTCAAAAACAACAAGCGTATTACTGGCAGCCGGATGTGAACCAATGAGAAGACACACTCTGAAATATGACTGAAAGCACAAACCGTGGTGAGAACATTCTTTCGACTGCGGTCTTTCTTCATCTTCCCTCCAGCTGCCCGAACACTGACTCTGTTCTCCCCACCCAGGAAGCCTCGGCAGCTGGGGGCTCCACAGAAGCATTTCTGTGCTTCTTTGCTGTAGGACAAGATTAAAGAAAAGGATCAAATCACCATGACAAAGCCACCAGTTAAGGTTAAACAACCACTCTTTATTAAAATCAACTTGAAGATATGTAGGAACTACAGCATAACCTGCAGTGTTTCCCCTAACATTATATTAGGGGGTTACGAAATTAGCCCCCACAAAACAAGTCTACAATTTATATTTCTGTCAGACCTGTAACACAAACACAGGCAGCACAAATACAAGTGTGGAGAATAAGACAAAACAGTACCCATATCTCTGGAACTGGTAATCAAACGTCAGTTCGCTTCCGGCAGGAACCCCCTTGGAGGTGAAGAACCCGACTCTAAGCTGACCATTGACAGTCCACTGGTTTGGGATAAAAATCATCATAAAGCAAGTCAGCTTTCAGTAAGTTAACCTGAAAGAATATTGTTTATTTTGCCGCTGTACCTTCTGGGTCTCACAGTTGGGCTCGCAGCTATGGTTCATAAACCGGGAGCAATTACCCTTCAGCGTTGCGTCAATGATCTGAAGAGACACAATGCAATGTGAACCATTTCTGTCACTTTACCTAAATCATTAAGCCAGACTTCAGTTCACATATCATCATATTCAACACATTCCTAACCTCATTATTCTTCAGCGACATGAAGTAGTAGTGGATGTTCTTGTTGCGAGCATATTCTTTCACCCGTGTTTTGAACTCCTTGTGATCCAATACTTCCCCACAGTATTCCAGGACAAAGGTGTTTCTGAAATTGAAATAAACATAGAACAAAACAATAAAAATGAAGTAGGTAGTGCCGCAATCTTTGTGATCATTGTAACGTTACATGCAAGAAAAATGTCAAGATTGCTTACGGAGCCAAGTCTCGGGCTGCTCGTAGACCCCAGCCCTTGTCTTCTGTCAGGATGACCTCGAAGTCTGCATGCTGTCTCATCTGAAAGCGTCGGTTGGAGCAGTAGGCTCCATTCAGGCACCGTGAGGAGCTGGAAAAACCCCCCCACACACAATAAAACTAGTTCAAAACATACGTAGCAGGATCACAACCTACCCTATTCTAACACGCTTGTTGAAGCAACACATTTGAAGAGGGTTTGTTTAATATAGAAACATGGCACTGTTAGACGATGACACAGCTTTATCTGTAATAACCTACTCACCACTCAATCATCAGCAGCCGGTTTAAACAGTCCTCCCCGCACGCCAATACTCCCCTTGAACGCTCCTCTCTCGGCAGCACCGGGCATTCACATTGCATTCTCTTGATATCTCGGTGAGATTTGCTCTTCTTTCTGTAAAAAACAAAACAAGACATGCAAATACGTTAAAAGATCAAGCCTGAAAGCACTTGCGTTTATTTATTAAATTTAGGTTATTCTTTGTACAAACTGAATAGTTTTTTTTTTTATCAGGCTGGACGACAAACTCACCTCTCAGTCAGATACATGTTTTCCTCAATCAAGTCAAAGTAAGGCGGCATCTTCTTAGACCTGGCAAAGTCTTTCCATCTACTGCTATCTCGGAAGTCTCGCAGACTGAGCGTTGGACGCTGCACCTCGGCTTTGACGTGAATTGCCTTGGGGGTGTCGGCATCTCCCTGCCGCTCCCTTTTGCCCGCCGGCCCAGCTTCCGCCTCGTTGTCCGAATCCGATTCGATCTCCGGCCGCCTTTTCTTGGGCGGGCCCCGACCTCGGTGCGGTCTGAAATGCTCTTCCCTGGGGGGGTCCGGTACGACGGAGCCCCTGCTATTGCTGCTGATTTCGTGCCCTTGTACGAAGCTCGACGACCCAGGAGGAAGACTGCCTTCAACGGCGGTTTTACTGAGGTCCGATGGTTTGTTCCCACTGTAGTCGTCGTGGTCATTAGTTAGAGAGTCAGGATGAATTTCACCTGCAGGATCCTGATAATTCCCATGAACATGGAGGTAGGGTGGTCTGCTAGTCTGTGTGTTGGAGGGTTGGTGGTTCCACGTGGCATTACTCAGCCTGTGCTCCTGTTCCTTAAGAGAGCTTTCGGTCAGTTTAGTGGTTGCCATCTGAGGCCCATGGCTGCTATCAGGCTGCTGGTACGTACTACTGGGCTGCTCGGATTGCGAAAAATCCCAACCCAGGTTGAGTCCATTCCTGTCACCGATATTGTCAGCATTTGAGCAATTCTCATGTTGGTAATGGGAGTACGTCCTTTCCCCTCTGCTGCTTACGTTATGCGGCTGGTGCCCTTGCTGGCACAGCCCAGAGCTATCGAGGCTGTGGGCGGGATCGGTGGCACTGCTATGGGCGCCAATAAGAGCAGCCGCGTAAGGCTGCGCACTGACGGACCTGGAACTCTCTAAATGACTGGTGCTATCAATCATATTACTCTGGGATTGACACAACATGCTGCTAGGGGATAGTTCGTCTACACCGGCATTCAGAGCACTATTCCCTGCGAATGCAGAAGCACTCTCCTGCATTGGTTGTGTTCCTTGGTTTGGGATTTCATTGGTATTCACGTCCCGCTGTGCCGAACTACTCATTAGGCCGCATGAAAAGGCTCCTCTGTCGTGTGAATCCATTGTTAGGGAAGAATTCTTTGGCACCACCACCACCGAGTGCAATCGTTTTATAGCCTCGCCGCAATCAGAGTCGTACTCAGAGTTGTCACTGTCACTGACCTCACTCTGCTCTCCCAACGCATGCTGATTAAGTAACGCTCGCTTACCCAATTTGTTTTGGGAGCCGTCCTTGGACCGGTCTTCGTGATGGTCACCGTTCCAACTCTGCGTCTTCATGGCGTTGCCGGCCTGTGATTTTTCGTTGAGGTGGAGAGGCTCACCTGTGTTTGATTTTTGAGAAACACCCGGTTTTAAGTCACAGTGGTCGATGCTGGTGCTCGCTTGTGAAGGCTGACTTTGGTCTTTGTGTTTATCGGTCATGGATTTGCTGTCTGAGCCAACTTCCTGCTCAACCAAGATGGAACGTGTTTCATCTTCTGGCTGAATAGAATCCATAACGTCATTATGGATATTGTCTTTAGAAAACTCTATTTTCTTGACAGAGATGACTTTTGTCGCACTAGGCTTACTCTCTGCACAAAGGGTCCTTAGTGAATTATCACTCTCTGGGGTGTCCTGCCCGACGATATCCCATCGGGACTTTTTGGTGGTTCTGCTGTTATTCTTAACAGTAATCAAATTTTGCTGTTCAAGTGTCAACTCACCCTCAGATTCAATGCACGGTGAATCAAATACGGGTGGTAAACTAGTCCCGGGCGGCTTGTCGACTTTAACGATCTCGGGGCTCGTGGTCTGCTGAACATCGAGGGTGACAGGTATTTCAGCTGTGTCAATTAAATATTTGGGCCTGAGCAAAGAGTCAACCTTCTTGTCCTGGGTGAATGTTATACTACTATAATTATTAATGCAATGATTTATGACAGCTGCATTTGAGTTCACATCTGGTTGAATATTAGAAGAGAGGCCATACTTCACATTGGTCACGTTTTCCAGGGCTTCATTTGCATGCTTTAGGCTTTCACTTAAAGGTAAAGCGGAGGTCTCAAATTCGTGATCCGATTTAGTTTCTTTTGATCTCACGGGTGACAACTCTCGCAAACTCCTATCAGTGCATGAGACAATCTCCTTAAAATCCTTATTACAATGCTCAGGTTCAACTTGTTGGGACACAGATTTAGCCTTTTCACACATAGAACCCGATTCTGTGGCGTTTGTACATGGCGGTGCTTCAGCAGGGCAGTGAAATGTGTCATTTGATTGTCTATCATGTATCGCGTCAGTTTTCTGCAATCTAGAAGAGATCGTCTCCTCGGAGTCTGGCTCGCCGGTTTTCTTCAGTGAGTTTTTACAGTTCTCCTCCGACCCACAGCCTTTGTCAGAGACCTGGAATTTCCCCTTGTGATCTGCCTCGGTATCACTGGGGCTGTTTTTTTGCCGTTTCTCGTGTGTTTGAGAGTGGGTATGCGCGCTGGAAGAAGAGGATTTGCTGCTGGTCTCTGCCTTGTAACGGGTGCTAGATTTACGGTAACTGGGGTCCAGATCAGGAGAGCACTTGCGCTGTGAATCAGAATCCGAAAGTCGCTTCGAAGTCCTTTCTGGCTTTGACTGTTGTGTTCTTTTATCCAACTCCGAAGAGTGAGGAGAATCCACCGATTTAGATAATTTCTCCGATTTTGAGTAGGAAGATGATTTCGACTCTTTATGTGAGCTTGAATTGGTGGACAATCTACTGGAATTGCTTGTCCTGGTCCTTGTCTTCCTTTGGTCATCCTCGGAGTCAGAGCTGTCTCGAGCTCTGTCTGTGCGAGAGCGAGAGCGCCTTCGCTCTCTGCGTGGGGAACTCCGATGAGATCTTCTATCAGAATCGTGATAGTACGACCTTTCGGAGCGGGATCTTCTGTCGCATCGTGATCTCTCTGATCTGGAGTGAGATGAACTCGTTCGTGAGCCTCTTGATCTAGAACGTGATCTAGACCTGGACCGTCTGCGATCCTTGTCCGACCGAGAAGAACGTGAGGATGCGTGTCTGGAATCACGGTCTGATTTGGAGTAACTAGAGGACCTTTCATGATTCTCCGACCGCTTAGAGGAACCTTTTTCCTTTCCCTCCAAATGTGATCCAGAGGAAGACTTTTTCACTTCTTTGCTTCTGCAGTCAGAGTTTATTTTGCTTTTAGATTCAATTGATTTACGACTAGAAGACATTAGTTCTCCATCAGATTCTGAGCCAGATCGGGACCTGGTTTTCCTATTATCTACCTTGCTATCCTGCTCAGCACTGCTGGAACTCTCTCCATCCTTTCCTGAGGAAACAGGTGGCTTATTGAGGCCTGGAGTTACCCTCGCCTCAGGGGCTTCGATGGGATATTTTTCAGAGGGGCAGACACTGACGATATTCTGAGGTTGGGGTACTGGGAATTCAGTCAGACTTGTTGGTTTCTGCTGAATCTCTAATGGAAGAGGGAGAGGTTCTTCTTGCACAACCAATGTCGGTTTCTCCTCAGTCATAGAGACACTGAGGATTTGCTTCTTAAAATGCATTTTAGCCAAGTCTGTTTTCAGTGAGGTGTCTGAGCAGACTGGTGTTTGAGAAGGCGTCTCTGCTATTATTGGCGCCATTGGTGTCTGGTTTTGCTCCGTTTTGATGTCTGTATTCGGCTCTTCTCTGTCTGAGGTTGACTGTGACGAGGCAGCGTTAGGGTCAATGGTAGACTTGTCGGGGATAAAGAATGGGCTCTGCAGGGGCTTCTTGGTCGGTGCGAAGCTAAAGGACACTTTCTGACGATCCCGATCTTCCAAATCGACCTTCATCTTGGTCCCTTTAGGCAAGAGATGGTTAGATAGCATGACTCTGGGAGACAGGCTTTTGATCAGAGCTGCCTTGGATAGGCCCTCCACCGTCACCTACAATAAGAAAAGAAACCAATTGTAAATTGACATTTTTGGAAAAATCATGAAATCAGATACAAGGGGTCATCCATTCTGTTTACACTTACCGAGGCACCACTCCCCTCATCTCTATAGTGACACAAGAGCATCGTGGTAACATGAAAAGAGAGGAAAGACAGAAGTCAATTCACGCAGCACGAAAACCTCAACCCTCATCCTCCCAATATGCTGAAAATATCAGGGCTGACGCCCGAGAACAAACTACTGTAAGAAACAACCATCACAGCAAAATGTATTCTCAAAACAAAATGTATTATGCTATTAATGTCATCTGATGAAAAACAACCAATAAGATTTTTACTAAAGTTAGTTAATTTGCATGTTGTCTATAAAGCAAATAGACAGAGCACATGAGCTAATGTACCTGCTGCATTTATACCGGTCTCCTTCCAATTTGTGCCCCTTGTGCACTGGTATGTCCATACACAGGGGTATGGACATACCCAGTGTCTGATCCTTAAAGCACCCCTAGGACCCTGATACCGTGGTATGGACAATTATTTTAAACGGTTATATGGAAAGAATGATATGAAGTCAGTAGGAACCAACAGAATGACAATGAAACAGCTCAGTTTAAATAAAATAATGTTGGCAGAATCAACTCGGGTTTTAAAGCCAATACATTGATCAACAGAAGGGCAAGACTTTGGTGCAGCAAAAAAAACTAAGGTATGCGATTAAAAATAATTTGCAATTGTTGCAAAGCTATGCCTGACCTTTAGCAGGTTAGTGTCTGCGTATGTGTGAAATAGGGCCCTGATGGCCTCTTGGAGCGGCATTACAACATTAAAGCTGATGAGAAAGAATCAGTGTCCTGTCCCTGATACTGAGGATTAACCCGGATCTGACATCATCGGTGAAGGTAACTGCTGCACCACCTGACTACTCTGTCCCCAGTAAAATGTCTAATCCTACAAGAGACCTTTCCGTGATGCATGACAGGTATGTTAGGTGGAGGGATGACGGCCTTTCTACTTTCTGTTCCCCTTTGTCCAAACATATTTTGCTGCGAGGGCCTCATATAGCTAAAACAAAAACACATCAGGATTTGTATGGTAACGCTGAATGCATTATTGCAACTATATAATATAGTTCCATGTACCAGTTGAACTATTATAAGAAAGCAAAGCAATACTTAGAAAAAAAGTTAAGAATTAATCATTTCAAATCCATTATTACCTGCAATAGCTGAATGGAAATGCATTATTTTAAAAAGTAAAGGCCGTATGAGATAATTGCTAGATTGACAGAGAGGTCCAACCGTCTTCAATCTTTCTAATGTTAAGTTCATGAGGTTTTCTGGCGGAAAATAGTTTGTGTTTAGTCAATCATTAGAGAAAAGGGAGAAAATTTGTATCGAGAGGAAAGAAGATGGGATGAACATGAATCTGTCTGCCCTATTATAGTGTGGGTCTTCCTCAGGGTAGGCTCAATATGAGTATTGAGCAATAATTGGGTCATTTAATCCTTCGGGATCTTATTTTTTCCTTTTCTCTCTGTGACCTTCAAGCCAGCTGTGACATTCAGTGATATAGGAAGCGCTATAGCAAGCACATATGCTGTCAAATGATTAAAGAACTGGGCCTACAAGACCGAGAACGTTGCGCTTTAGTTTAATGTTGTGAATGTATTTCACACCAAATATAAGTTCCACTTACATTCCAACTGTAATGAAGAACTGATTCGTGTTTCGAGCTAATAAACATGAACTGTAACCACCACTGAAAAAATATCCAATAGCAAACATTGTGGCCATCCAACGTTTAATTAAGTATTGTGAGATGAACTGATACCCGATCACAGGAATGATGAATTCTCTAAACGATGTCTCTTCTCCTTATAGTGATGCAATTCGGATTATGTAAAAATACACATCTTTGTTATTTAGCAGAATTTCAATGTATACTACCACAGGCACTTACGGATAGATAGAAGTATATGAAGACAATGTGTTATTAATATGAATACAGAAAGAGCCACGGCCATTTAGCAGAGGATAGTCTTGTAGTTTTAATTTCAAAATAACTATCAGCGCATAAATAATGACAATGCCGTGGGCAATGGGATGAGCTTGATATCAAGATGTTTTAAAAGTGAATAATTGCCAGAGGTATCTGCACAGACTGCATTAAAAAAAATATTTAGAAACTACTCTAAAATAATTTATCAATTTCATATCAAACTACTCTACACAATACACACTGTGAGTTGCATGTTGTGCGGTCTAATACCTGATCTCTGATTTGAGCAGAGTGTCCATTGAGAAACTCGTCTAGGATTAGTAGGCCTGAAGAGGCTGCTGGTCAAGAATAATCCAAATCAGAGAAATGAGCCCTCCAAAGTGACGCCACACCTGACAAAAGAAAGATAGTCTGGTTTGATCACAACAGTTCACAGCTACTCTGTTACAAACTTTGTTCATTTTGGCATCGTCGAGCAGAGGGTGACATGTTGAATATATTAGTTATGTGGAGAATGTGGAGTGGGTAAAACACGAGCTTCCCTCCCTGAGATTCCAGTTTTCTGTCATTGCAATGTGGCTGAGATAAGATCGCCAGTTCCACCCTCTATTTCAAACGTTCTCAGTGGAACTAGGATTCCCCCCTTTTTTTCAAAGCTCGGCGGTCTGCTAGTCTCTTCTCGTCTCACTGGACAACAAAGTAACACCCAGAAGTAAAGCTTATTAGTGATATCACGGTTGGAGGTGAAAAACATGGATGCAGTGCCGTACACGCATCTCATTGTACCGTTAACGTAAGACGATGGCCTGCACGGGCACAAAGGAGGTCTCTACAATGGCGGTTTGTGTGTGTACGAACACCTCGAGCTTTGTAATGCAGACAAACTGACTGTTTCGAGGCTAATTAGGGAACTACACTAAGCATGGCCTGTACGCGAGAGAGGGATCCAGCTTAAATATGGCCTTTAAAAAGGGACGCTCCAACCCACTGTGAACGCGAGTGAGGTTAGAGGATGTGTAGCAAACCAAAACAGCGCCTGCTAATCGGTCGACATGTGCTAAATAGTCACACTACATCATGTGTATGTATATAAAGTGTTAAGCTGGCAGGGCAACGGCGTTAACTGGGCTGCGACTAACCTGCTCATTTAAAATGATTATCAGAAAGAGCTAAAGCTAAGCTAACGTGTGTGAGTTAACAGTAACAGAGAGCTTTCGTATGCCATCTTTGAAAACATAACGCAAACTCGTGTTGTGCTATGTAGTCATTAGGGCTGAGTAGCAAACGCATGTGCAAAGGAATGCAATATGTGTGAGGTTTGGCAAGTGTTTCGGTTGTGCAGCAGAGGTTAACGAATGTGTTCTACAAACCAAGACTGAACTCTACTAGCATTGGTAGCTAATGCTAGCTAGGTTAGCTAATTCTCGCACTGTACTAGCAGCTAACGTTACTGTTGTTAACAGATGATTCACTATTGTTCCATGATCACTGGGTTGTGTGTAAAGCCAAAATAATTGGTGTATCGGTGAGAGCCTGTTGCTTTTCTAATTGAATGAAAAAGCAAAAAAAACGTTTGATTATTTGTTTCCGTTCAAGGATATGATGGACCCTCGAGCCTCTGCACCCGGCTTCACTAGCATGCTAGCTAGTGGTGTTTTGTCTTACTTGTGTGTAGTAACATGGCAAACCACGGTTAACCCCAATAATAATAATAACTCAAAACAGCGGTCCGCGAGGTACTTACTTTACGAAGTGTTTAAGGTCACACGGATCCCCCATCCTCGAAATCCCGGGTAATCGATCTTTTGAGAAGCATCAACTACCGATGTGTGCCGACGTCCAATCCATACGGAGCTGTCGGAAATGATCGTCGGTTGGAGGCTCCGCTGCTAACTGCTGCGCCCCAGCTTCAGCCCGGGTGAGTGCTGGAACTACCGAGCTAGCATTAGCTCACATAGCTAAAGCCAAGAGTTGAGACGAGATATCGACAACACGAAATCTCCATGAAAACCGAGCCTCAGAAACTGCCTTAATTCGGTTAACCGGTGAATCGCGGGCAGCGTGGTGGTCCAATCTGCTCAAAGGACAACGCAGATATCGTTGAAATGTCTCTTTATTCCACACACCGATGCTCGCAGCGTCCCTTTGGCTGAGGTGTTCAACAACATCACATGATGCGGGAACGTAGCTGGCGCGAACCTTGGAGCTCACCGCCGTTCCGATCCATCCACAACTAGAGCCATTTACAGAATACAATATAAACATAGCAGACGGATACATGTACAAGCATCCCACTAGCTGGTAATGGAGGTAGAAGGCAGGCACAGGGCCAGGACTCCGTGAAATGCAAACAACTTTCCCTGGTCCGAATTTGAATCAAATGAATGAAAGAATATACACATACAAAACTGTATTTGCACAAGCCGCACATCAAATGTCATGCTCTGATAAGATAAAATTATCTTTTGGTCTATTTAAGTTGTGCTCCCCCCTACAACAATCCTATGATGGTCTCATATACCTTCTAAATATAACTGCACTGTCTTTAAAGAACATAGTATATTTTAGATGCTAATTTTTAATGTCTCATGTTGTTGATTATCGTAGAGTCTAGTGGTATCCTATCCAATAGTTATAAAGCTGTCAGAGGGAGACGTGTATGATTAAGTTGACTCGGATAAACAGGGACCAACACCACAGGATGCATCGAGAGGAACGTGTTGAACAATGATGCAATGAAGGTTAGTAGCTTCGTGAAGGGAAAAACACGCTAATGACAGGACACGCAATTGCAGATAACCGTCGGTATTTACTCGTACATGTAACGTCATAGAGCCACGGTGAAGTCATAACGTTACCTGCCCCGATACAGTAGGGGGCGACATTCGGTTACGGAGCCATATGCTGCTTTGAGGAAGAAGACTCCCCGATGCACTTGGAAGAAGAAAGCAACGCGAAGCCAAACTCCACTGATCCGTCTCATTTGCTATCTCACTTTTAATCGGGTCTCGTTGCTAGTTGATTGTGTAAGTTTTATCGTCGGTTAGGTAGTTGGCTATAATTTGGTGTTAAAGATTCACGTTGCATTGTCGTGGCCGCAGCTCAGTGAAGGCCTTCACGCTAAAGCTAGAGCCTTAGCTAGCTTAAGAGCTATAGTTTAGCTCACGTTATATCGTCATTTTGGTAAACTATGTTTGAAAGCAGAGGACCTGCACGCTGTTTGCCATATTTCTTGATCATGAACCCCTTTGAACCACACGGTTGCAGTAGTTTGAGGTTATTTAACGTTATGTATAACCTTATTTTGACGCACTGGGACAAAATGCTAACGTCATTAATGGCAACAGGCTTACTAGCAGTACAGCTAGCGTCATTCGTGTTAACGTTGCGTAACGTTACTGTTTGACCTCCATGGCTAACAAACTGATTTTGAACATTAGTGTCTGAGCTAATTAAGTTATGTATTATGCACTTCATTTGCTAACTGACCATTGTCCGTTTTTCTCTGAGTAATGCAAACTTTCGACACGAGCTAGCTAACGTTAGGAATAAGCTAACGTTAATCTTTAAAAGCTAACGTTACCACTAAATTCACTAGTTACCTTGAAGTTTCGATCACCGCGGCGAGGTGCGGTTTGTTACAACACATCTATTACAAGTTCGTGTTAAGACAACGGTGGGTTGATATGAGTTCCCCCTTTTGTCATTCAGGGACGTTATCCATCCCCCTTCTGATGGATGGTGTTGAATCCGATAGCTGCCAGTTATAGCGCGTCACAGCCCTTCATGTAATCCGAATCGCTATTTGATTTTACTTCATTATTTGTGGTCTTTTGATCATAGGCATGTAACCAAGCAGCTGTTTGTGTCACTGCTGCTGGTAGGGGGCGGCACGGTGGTGCGGTGGTCAGCACTGTCGCCTCACAGCAAGAAGGTCCTGGGTTCGACTCCGCCCAGTGGCCTTTCTGTGTGGAGTCTGCATGTTCTCCCTGTGTCTTCTGGGTGGAGTTTGCATGTTTTTCTGTGTGGAGTCTGCGTGGGTTCTCTCAGGGTACTCCGGCTTCCTTCCACAGTCCAAAGACATGCTCTGGGGATCAGGTTGATTGGTAACTCTAAATTGCCCGTGTGTGAATGTCCATGGTGTACCCAGTCTCTCGCCTGAAGCCAGGCCACCCCCCCACCGCCCCCGCGCGATCCTGTGAGCAGGATAAGCGGTGTGAAGATGGATGGATGGATGGTGCTACTAGGATTGTGTCGTCAGATGTCACTTCAAAGGTTATAGGTCCATTCATGCAGAAGGCTTTTCACTGTATCGTGGGAAGTGTGGGCATAGCGCTCTGGTAGTCACAGTTATGCATCGTTCACCTTCGTTTAATTGCACGAAAAAGGATTGTGAAGCATATCCGTGGTGGGGAAAAAACGTCAGTTTTCTCAACGACAGGCGAATGAAAATGATTTGGCTCATCTCTGGATGGAGGACAGTTTGGGCTACGTGACGGTACCTAAAACGCTCCCATATTTAATGAATATGAACTGAAGAACTGAACAACTGCTAGAATATGCTCTTATCCATTTGCGCCACAGCACACAGAAGAGGAAATGTTGCTGAGGCAAGCAGAGCATGACTGGGGCAGGGCAATGAGAGGGGACATTGCCGCTGTCGGATTAACCAGAATGCCAACCTCTGGAATGAACACACTGCAGCAGTGGTGTAGATCGTCTAACAATGCAATCCACAACATTGTTTGTTCTGCCACGAATGGGATATTTTGTTAGAGCAAGGTTGCAACGTGGTCGATGTGAACGAGACTTCCTGATTTTAGTGCTCTCCTGCAAATGTGCAGTAATATTGAATTGTGTGTTGGGGAATTTCAGCCAGATGCGTCCCTGGTTGCCCGTAGTGAAGGCAGTTGTTGAAAATGCTAATAGAACATGTAGGTTTTGTTTTTAAAATGAATTGACATCTATGTATATGGTTACATGTTTAACATTTATGGAAATTACTCACATTCCGTTGGAAGTCACAAGTGAACTTGTCACTCCTTTGTGATCCTTATGTAATTCTATAGAACTTGAGGCTCCAGTTGGAATATCGACTGACCACAAAACATGCAACAACCAGACATGTTGATGCTGTGAGCAGTTTTAAGGTTCTATAAGCAGATGGTATTCTAGATTTTACCACATAAAACTATTGATAGCTGGCTTGACAACACTGTAATTGAAATATTTTCTAAACGAAATGATGTACTTGTGGTTTTACTTGTCGGTGCCTTTTGGCTTGTGGTTCAGTTGATTGACAGATTTGGAGCTGTTTTGGTTGTATAGTAGTTTTTGCAATGCTAAAGGGGATCTTGTTCTTGCTGTAGCTGTGTCCCAACTGAAGGGTTTTATTATTGTGAAAACAAGGCCGTTCCACTGTGAAGGACCCTCCATGTGCAGTGAAAAAATGCTTGGCCTCGTGGATCATTCTGTTGGTTGAATAAGTGGAACTACTTTCTGGGGAACTTGAAAATCTTGGATCTGAATTTGTGATGCGCATCACCTGGATTCTGCACGATTCAACACACCGGGAAGGATCTGAAAAAATGAAATTCTAGTCGGGGGTAGTTCTTCGTGAACTGTCACCTGTCTATAGGCCTTAGACCTCCTAAGTGTACAAATCTATCAGCCATGTTGTTTTGTCAAGCCACTAGTGGTTCTCAGATCAACTTTTACTTTAGTTCAATTGTATATGATGAGTTATAATATTTCACCTATGTTTAATAGAAGGGCTAGGCCAAAATGATTTGGCCAAATAAATAGTGTTGCTGTTTAAGTAGGAGTGGGACTGCATTTTTTAATGTGCTGGTGGAGCCAGCATGTTTAAAAAAACAAAAAAAAACAGTACAAATGAATGTGCGATAAAGCGTTGATGCTTGCTTGGAATTTGATGGAATATAATGAGAGTATAATTTGGGTTTAAATTACTGAAATATTGTGGGTTGGGACTATACGGTGGCAGCTATGGTACAATTATGCCAACTTTGCACATTTGAATTCTTTCTTGGTGAAAGTGAGTTATGGAGTCACTGATTTCACTGGTGTCCCTTGTCTCTGATGTCTTTAATCTCACACTCCTATTCCAGTCCAGCTGCATTCTGTTGGAATGCGAGGAAGTGGCGCAGAGCTAGGAGCGCTCTGTTGGCAATAATGCTATTCTATACCCCTCTGTCTGCAGGTGCTGTTGTTTGTCAATCAGCATGGCGGTCGTCATCCGTTTACAGGGACTAAGGGTCACCGCAGGTTCTGAGGATATTCGCAAGTTCTTCACTGGCCTCAAAATTCCAAATGGAGGAGTGCATGTAATTGGTGGGGAGCGAGGAGAAGCTTTCATTATCTTTGCTTCGGATGAAGACGCAAGGAGAGCCATGACGCGGTCAGGAGGTTGCATCAAGGGGGCGACTGTTACACTGCTACTAAGTAGCAAAGCAGAGATGCAGAACATGCTGGAGAAAAGTACGTCAAATGAGGGGCTGGATCAAGAGAGGCGACTCGAGGAAAATGCAAGACGCGCTAGAAGATCTGCAGACCCAGAGTTGGGCAGGAGATCGGCGAGCAGATCAGAATATTCGCCCCCCCACCAGCAGAGGGCTTCAAACGCGAATGACTTTGTCCACGTGTTTCTGAAAGGATTGCCTTTTACCGTGACAGAGGAGGAAGTGCGTGACTTTTTCTCTGGTTTACTTATTCGGGAAATTGTCTTATTGAAAAATGCAAATGGTTCACAAAATGGGAAAGGTCTGGTCCTATTTGCTACACCAGAGGATGCAAATGGAGCCCTGCAGAGGGATAGGGGATACATTGGATCGAGGTACGTGGAGATATCGGCAACCACAGCAGCCGATTGGCGTCGGGCTACAGGTAAAGTGTCAATGGCTGTCAACTCGCATGATAACTTTGAAAGGGAACGATCACCTGTTCGCCAGCAGAGGAATCCACTTCCTGTGAGATCACAATCTGCCGTTGCTCAAAGTCCAGTTGCTACCGATGATGAATACTGCGTTTTGGTAGAAAATCTTTCGTATACAGCTAAAAAAGAAGAAATAAAAAGGCTTTTTCGTAATGCAAAGCTTGAGGATGACCAGATCCTGTACCTAATGGATGGCGATGGGAGAAAAACTAGATCCTCGTTTGTGCTCTTCAAGAATCTGCGTGACTATTGTGATGCCTTATCTCCGGAAAAACGGCTGTTTTTGAACCGATGGATTTATACGCGGCCAATCTCGAGAGAGAAAATGATCGCCCTTCTGGAATCTCAGAGCACGGATCCCAGAGCTCCTGCAACCTCTGAAATGTTTCAGGATCGTCCCCCGTCCCATGACTTGGACAAAATGTGTCTGTTTGTGCGGAACCTGCCGTTTGATGTGCGGAAAGTAGAGATCATGGACTTCTTCCTTGGGTTCAATATCACAGAGGACAAGGTGTTTGTGCTGTGTGACCACGAAGGGGCTGGAGTTGGAAAGGCTTTGGTTCTCTTTGGGTCTGTGGCCCAGGCTATGAGTGCACTCTCTCTCAATGGACAACGGTTTCTCGGGTCAGAAGTCCTACTGAAGTGCATCTCGCGGTCTGAGATGCGGCAGCTGGGTGTTGAGCCGCCACTGGTGCAAGAGCCAATTGTACAGGAGCCGCTGCCGAGACAAGAGCAATTCTCCGGCAGTAGAAGTGCGGCTCCCTTCCGCCCCGCCAACGCGGATTACGCTGACTTTATGATCTCTCCAGATAGTAACGTACAGATGACAAACCCACAGGCTCCCTCCATGCACGGAGGTTCTCGTTATGAGCCCCGTGGAGGAGGCCCTTGCACCTCACAAGGCCGAGGTAATGGTGTGCCTGGTGGCTTTGGTCCCTCGATCCAGCGTTTTGATGGTCCTACCTGCGTTAAGCTACTTAATTTACCATTTCAAATCCGAAGTGAGGAAATCTATGACTTTTGCTATGGGTTTCGCGTTATCCCTGAATCTGTCTCACTCCAGTATGACCAGAGGGGAAAATCTAAAGGCACCGCAACTGCAGTATTTGAGTCCCGTCAGGAGGCGTTGACAGCAGTTGATGAACTGAGTGGAAGACCCATAGGTCCAAGAAAGATACAGCTTTTACTTGTGTAAAATGAAAACCTCTTTTATGGTACTGTATGTGCCGAAGCAGTGTAGTGTGGACGTTTACACAAGGCTGGTGAAACAAGTTCATTTAGGGGAAGAAATGCTATATGTGCTCGTTATTCAACTCTGTGTGACATGGCTATATGTGATTGTGACTACAGCAAATTTAGCTTCATATATATATATTTTTTTCCTGCTTTTTTAATGTTGATAAGGAAATCTAGTCTGATGTGTTTAGCATTCTATGCTAATCCTAAAGTGAAAGCACGATAGTTTTTTGTTTTGATTTAACTTCCAAAATATTGCCAATTGTGTATTTAAATTGCATTATCATAAATGTGGATTGTGTGAAATGTGTTGATTTATAAAATGCATACTATTTTGAATGGTCTGTCTCTTTTTCTGCCATGGTAATTTGAATGTAAAAAAAGACAAATGCATGAGTTACTGACTGCTCAAGATTTGATTGAATGGGATATCTTTCAGTTGTGTTCTATATTAGTATTAAGTTAGGATATACCCAGTTTACATTTTAAAAAAACCTGAGTACAAGCGCAACATTTTAAAATTACATCAGTTAGTTTTAATTTGTATTTCAAATATTGTTTTCACCGTTTTACTCTAATACAAAATAAATAAAACAGTGATTTGCTTAACACAACTTAACATAAATGCATCTTTATGCTTTTTCTTTGGGTGTCAAGCCAATAATATATTGCAATAAACACTGTTGGTGAATATTTCTGGGGAAATTTAGAATAGTTTTATGTGCCCTAACAAATTGACATGTTGAATAATGTTTGAGCTAAACCCTGGATATCCAAGACGTCCACAACATTTACAATACGCATTTACATTTACAATCTCAAAAACAAGCCACCAGTGCTCATGGGCTGATATGCAACCAAAATTCGCTCTGATCTGACAATGTTGTCGATAGGGGGTTCGTACAAGCATATATTTTATTTTGAAAAATATCAACCGGAAGCCATCATTTTACCTTGACCACCATGTCACCGGCGTTGTGATCACTGCAGGCAAGAGCACCACGCCGAACGAGCTGTTTAAAACTACAGGTGAATAACACGTCATAAAATGTCCTCTATTTGATGTGAAATACCGTTAAGTCATTCGGCTCGTGTCGCTGGCTGGAACACTGCTTTCGTAGAGTTTAAACTTCCCCAGCTGCGTTTGTCCTCCGTCGCCCTAAACTTTTTTCACGTGTAAATGTTTTGACTGACGTTTTCAACACGTTTTTTTCTTCTAAACTTGCTTCATCATTCACAATTAGACATAACTTATTTTGAAATAAGATTTTAAGCCTTGCTGTCCATGAGTTAAGTAAGCCATTAACGTGGGGGAGAGTGGGGTGATTTGTGCCGGGGGGAGGAGGGGGGAGTTGAGCCACCCGCTGTTTCTGGAAAACCGTAGAAGAATTTGGTCATATGAACGCATCATTTTGAAAAGCCATCCGTTTTGATCATCCTCCATAGGAGAGAGCTGCATGGCATGAGAGTTAAGCACAGTGTCGCTCAAAAAATAGTTTTCTTCCTTTTAAAAGTAACATTTCTTTGATTAAGTTTTTTTTTATTGTAGTGTCTAAATCATAGACACGTTTGAGAACGTTTCACAGCTGTTTTAGTGCTTTAGCAGGCTACACAATGAGTCTATAGTTAGCATGACGTTAGCTCTTAACTGCTAAATCATGCTGTTTTTTTAAACTTGTAGGTCGGGGGTGATTCGTGTCAAAGGGCCTGGGTTAAGTTGTGCCAGTGTATGGCGGTAAATCACTCAAAATTCGAGAGCACAAATCAGGTTGATGCGCGTGCGTCAATCAAACATCCGCGGGCATCCGTCTCGCGCGAGCAAAAGTTAATCTCGCGCGAGATATTTGCTCCCTCGCGAAACGTGAACTTCCTCGCTCGCGAGGTTAGTCTCTGCTCGCGCTCGAAGGTGTTTTCTACGCGCTCGCTGTTTTTCTTTTTGACAGTAAGGGGGCGGAGCCAGTCACCATGGTATCTACATCTGATTGGTTACAAAACACGTCTTTGGATTGGCTGGAGTGATGCATTCACACAACTATAGAAGCCCATTTCCGCACTAATGTAAGGGGATAGAAAGTCGAAATTATGAGATAAAACGTTGTCAAAAAACAAACGCCCCCCTTCAGTAATCGTAGTGGACCCTAGATGACAACCAGCTACAACCATAATTTACCATCATTACCGGCACATTAAGAGCAATGCGTCCAGCTCGCAGACCGGTCTGTCATCATCTGAATATCTTGCCAACTTTACCGAACTGTGGCGCATATCTTGTATATCACATATCACGTTCACTACAATCTCATTATTTATTTTTTTCAAAAAGTTGATCCGTATTGAAAGTTGGCAAGATATTCACAGATTCTGACTTTTTTTCCAGGTATTTTACAAATACGGACCGGTCTGAGAGCTGGACGCATCGCTCTTAATGTGCCGGTAATCGCGCAAGACAGAGATTTGCTCGCGGATGTTTGATTTACGCGCGCGCATCAACCTGATTTGCGCTCTCGAATTTTGACAGTGATTTGCCGCCATACCAGTGGCCCACTTGTGATTATTTTTAACTTATTATCAGTTTGTAATTGTACTCTCACATTTAAGCAAACTATGTGACATTCTTAATTTTAGACCAACACCCATCATTCCATGCACATATAAACGGAAGACAGACAGGGCTTCAACTCCTCTGGTGGAGTTGGACAGAGGAACAGGGAAAGACCATACGCCAGGTGGCAAGGGTGATGAAGATCTGCAGGATGACCTTGAAAAGATTCATGGAGAAGGAAATGACTGGAGAAGTAACAAAGACAGGGTATAAGAGAACAGGACTTGCCAAATGAGTCTTCAAAGAATACATGGAGACGGAGCTAGCGGATCACATAAGGGCCATGAAATGCTGTGAGCTGGCTTTTGACATCCCTGCCAGCTGGATCAGAGAGACAAAAGCAAGTTATGTTAAGTGTGCATTTATTAAGGGAAAGTTATAAGGAACATTGCTAATTACTTTCCCAGGACATGCTCATTATCAGTTATCACCATGCACATCCGACGGAGAAGCAAAACTGTGTGCTTATTTAGAGCATACATACCATACGGTATGTATACCGTATGTATGCCGTAAAATCAGAATGAATGATCAGAATGATCAGAAAGTATTTTTATTGTCATTTATATTAAATTACATGCATCATTCTGAACAATGCATTACTGCCACAATTTACCCCAACGTTTTCCTCCCACAAGGCCACTTTTTCCCAAAAGCTATATTTCTGAAACAATTTATTTCAGATCCAAAGTTATTGTTCTCAGGGATGCACCACATATATGTCCATCCTTAAGTCCTGCAGCACTGCTCGGTGTAGGCCAGGCCCGCCCTGCACAGTGTTTCCACCTCACTGACACCAGAATGGAGGTATCAAGGAGGAGGCTCCAAAAACATCTGGAGCCTGCCAGACCTCTTCGCCGCTGCATCCCTTTTGCAATTGGTAAGCAATCTGCTATAATTTGTAAAACCTATAGACATATTAAAGTTGACAATTTTACATTTATCGTCTCCATATATAACTGCATGCATAGGCTATTTGTATCTCTTTCTTCAGAGCCCAAAATAAATGCTGCTACATGTGCACAAGCACTGACTGAAGAGACTCACAAGGTAAGAATTCCCAAAAGGAAATAACATTTCAGAGGGTGCAACATTGTAATTTATCATCTCCCATGAATTTCAATAAAAGCAGCCAATTTCATTTTGGTCCTTGAAACCAGACAGTGTTCAACAGTTTTGGTTGATTAATGACAAAACAATTTCATGTGATCATGTGATTATCAAAATGTGATTATCTCTTTCAATTAACTAATTTCCATTTCAGCTCATCATTTGCTTGTTAAGCACTTGATTTTAACAAATTAATGGTTTCTAAATCTATTTAAACCTTGCGTTGATAGACAACTATTGGCATAGATGAGTTCTACAAGATTGTCAACCTCCACAAACAAAAAAAAGGTAACACACAGAGTCTTTTTAATGAAAAATGAAATGTATACATTCCATTTCATGTATATGTGTGTGTGTGTGTGTGTGTGTGTGTATCATAGGCCGAATATCTTACACAAGAGACTTTTTAATTGGTCTGGCAAATTGTCCTGAGGCACAGAAGAAGCCGGAATTCTTGCCAAATCATCCCATCGTCCTAATGGCAGCAGTAAGTTGGATGTTGCTAATTGGTTTTATGGTGGCATCCCCCATGAATATTCTGCTGTTTGGATTTAATTATGTTGGTATATCATCTTAACAGAGAGATCTTGAGGACCTAAGGCTTCATGAAACGGGAGGGAATGGAGAAAACGAAGACGTGTGAGTTTGAATTTCCCCTAGGGGATCAATAAAGTACTTCTATTCTATTCTAATGTAAATCAACATTATCCTATGAACAACATAACTAGTTTTATACTTATGTGAGTTTTATTTGTTTTAGATGTATATTAGCCACAACTGTAGGGCTGGGCAATATAGCCAAAAATTCACATCACGGTATTTTATGATTCTGGCGCTATCACGGCGTATCGCGGTATTATTTTTTTTGAGTAAACACTTTCATTCATTGACGCAGAAAAGAACCACCTGAACGGCTGTTCACCGCTTGCTGGCCGACTCGCTCTCAACTGGCCGGCAAGTTAACTTGTTAGCGTCTTAGCTGTTGTGGCTGCTAGTGTTGCCACCAGAGTCAATACCAGCAGCTCAACAGACTTTGCAATAAATCGCTTTCTGATCTAACATATATCAGATTTTTCAAAAGCAAAAACCCTCCAAACAGACACAGCTGCTCTCTTGGGCACACGTTGTGTTGGTGCATCTCTGGTCTATCGTTGTTCCTCCTGCCTCGCTTATTTCCTAAAGTTAGAACCCGTACTTCGGCCTCGATACGCGTAAGACAAATAGCTCCCCTGCGCCCTCGTGGGGAGCGATGAATATATTTTGCTGCCAGCCGAAGAGCAGCAACAGTTGTTACAGCTATACGCCTGTATGACAGTGTGTGTGAACAATTTAAAAATTGTAAATACATTTTTGTCTACCGCCCGGCCCTACACAACTCCTTAGATATTGTTTGTCATTTTATTACTATATGCTTTATAATTGGAGTGGTATCTTAATCAAATTAGTAAGGTAAACATTTTAATAACTTATTTTCCATTGTTCTTTTCTGTTTTTAGGGCAGCAGAAAGGCTTCGCTCACCTTAAGAAATTTGAGCTGGTATTCACTACCCAAAAGTTTTTTTGGAGTTTTTTTGTTCTGGTTTGTTTGCTGTTTTTGGTTAATTTAATTGCACTTGTTACATTTTGTTCATTATTTTTGCATGTGACTCATAACAGTTTGAGGTGATGTTGTATAAAGTCATGTAGTAGTCATTAAGTCATTAAGTAGGATTATTGTATGTTTGCTTATATTTACATTTTGAAAATAAGAATTGTTTCAAAAATAATACACTAAAGGTGATGTGTTAGTTGGGCTATTCATGTTATAGAAACTGGTGTGAGGGGATTGACATGTTATGCAGTTCTAGAGTCTCACCAGACATATCAGCTTCTCTTATAAAGGAATGTTTGGCTCAACAGTTTTGTGTCACAAGATTTTCTTTCCCACATGAAATTCAAGCTTAATCTGCAACCATGAATATATGAACTATTGATCTGACTACCGGGAGGTATTCCTCAGTTCTCTGAAGTATTATAGTGTCTTGCCTTACTCCATTAGAGCCACTGTACTCCACTTGTCCTGCAGCAAAGGGACCAAAGTAGCTGAAGTGAGAGTGAATATTTGGCTTAAATCCATCAGGTGAATATTCATTTCTGGGTGTGGGATGTGTAAATAGACCACTTTAGTTATACAGCATCAACTACTGTATCCTACTAAATGTATTAACTGAAATGGCACGTCTAATTTTCTCCAAAACATCGTAATGAATGAATATTTCCACATGCTCAAGATGTTCCTTTCTTTCACCTTCTGTGCAGTGAATGAGAAGGGGATTAAATACTCTACACTGCAAGTATTTCAAAAGTTGAACCATGCAGGACCACTGTGATCCAGGTATTACGAACACAAAGTAGTTTTCAGTCATTCTGTCCGCTACAGGCGTTGCACGTGTACTGTCTCAGACAACAACAACAACACAATTACAATTAACATTTTATTAAGATCGACGCCATTCTTCCTGTACTTGAATTCACATACAGCAGTAAAAAGTCTGACACTGTGGAGGTGATCACGATCTTCATCAAAATATAAACAAACAGATGTTGTTACGTACACAAGCCGCTGGGGTTGTTTGCGCGGACATCAGTGCGCGTAGTGACCGCACGTCTGTTGGGCCGTAGTGGTCCACGCTCGATGAATGGGCAAAGTAGGACTGGCGACGTAATCCGCGTCACGTCATTGTCGGCTGGAGCCTCCGGTTGCGCTAACGAGCACCTGTCAAGGGCGAAATATTAATTTGTCAAAAACCAAGGAACCGGCAGTCGAACAGCAACATAGCAGAAGGTAGTTGTCTATCCCGCGTTTGTTACGTAGCTTTGTGGATTTGGTGGCTTCGTAACGAATGTCGTGTCTCGCGAGCTGTCGGCCGTAAAGGGCTGCGCGCAGCAATATCTGATTATCTACATCCGGATGGTTTATATTTTGTAGAATGTTCTTTAATTGTGTGTATCGTTGGGCTAATTCCTCACCACGTATAAGGTAAAACACACCCGTCCACTTTGCCAGTGCGACGTTTGGTTCTCGAGTCGTTTTGACGGTACAAAGGTGTTTTTTTTCCTTCAGGGAAATGAATCCAAAGGACGTTGCGGGGACCGAATCATGCAGCAGGTGAAAGTTGACACAGTCAAAGTCACGTTTATTCAAGAACGGCTGAGCTTATTGCGGTTGATCCACAAATGATAAATACGCGGAAGATAATACAATGAATTACAATGGCCGCACCTCGTTTACTAAATACGTTGTTTATAACTTGAAATCGAAAAGGTAAATAATGTTCCTCCTTAGAGGGTCATTTCACTTAAATCACATATACAATATATACATTCTTAGATAGTAGATAGACTCTACACCAATTACTCAGTTACTTGGGTTCAACAAGCTAAAACTAGAAATTAATCTAATGCATTTATTAATTATGTAGGTATGACTATTTAATTAATTATGTTGGAAATATTTTTGGTTGAAATAAATAACAGAAACTCATCTGTATGATGCGATACGGTTCAAGAGGACCACAAACTACATGTTCCAAAATGTCATAGTTAAATCCACTCACTTCAGAAAATTACATTACATGTCATTTAGCTGGAAACTTACATTGCATTTTTAACCCGTGGTTTTACATTTTGCCCGGGGAGCAATTAGGGTTTGGGTGTCTTGCTCAGGGACACTTCGACATGGGACATGGAGCAGCCACGCCCTCTCTCTCTACTCCATGCGCCACCCTCGCCCCATACTTAAAACACATTTTAACAAATGAATGACGTAAAATGAAATGGTTTTTCCATCTGACTGTCAGGCTGCTACTAAATCTGTTCTCCCCCATAAGTTCGGTTTTTGTGCACAACCCACACCTGGAAGAAATGAAAGATGACACCCTCTACCACTTTGGTTTTGGAACCAGAACTCACAACCTACCAGCTATGTTTGGTGATGTCAAAGTAATCATTTTCATGATGTAAAACATCTATATTTATTTATATGAAATACTGTTGATATTCTGCAATAAGAACAAATGAATCACTTTGTGTGCGTGTTTTCTTTCAGTTTGTGTGTGTGGGGGGCAGTCCTTGGAGAATGAAATCATTCATTGAGTACATTGCTGCCGAGCTCCGTTTGGAAGATCCCAAATCAGAGTACCCAAACATCTGTGCTGGAACGGACCGCTATGCTATGTACAAAGTTGGCCCCGTACTGTCCGTCAGCGTACGTAATATGACGTACAAGTCGTCGTAATCGTAATAACCTCTCGGCCTACCTCTGTTTCAAAATAAAATCACTGTCAATGGTTTGAAACTCGTCTATGCTTTTGTCTTGCAGCATGGGATGGGAATCCCATCTATTGCCATAATGTTGCATGAGCTGATAAAGCTCCTCCATCACGCTTGTTGCACCGATGTCACAATCTTTCGCATTGGAACATCAGGTGGAATAGGTAAGCTTATTATGTCCAAAATATCTGCTTTTGTGTCGTGACTGAATGGTAATACATCTGTATATTCATGTGTTGGGTTAGCAAGGATTGTGTTTATAAGAGGAAGTTTATAAATGTTTATTGAGAGAAAACTGGTATTTACCAGCCGGGACAGTGTGTGGCCGGTAACGCTTTCACCTTGTTAATCTATTTAAATCTCTGTGTCATCCTGCTAATTGTGGTCGGAGAGACACCTAGCGGGAACTACCACAGGAATGGTTTAAGTTCTCAGGTGTGTGTCGATGTTTTCAACGCGATAACAAACACTGTGAAAGATGCAGTCACCACACTAAAAAAAAAAATCCAAATACAGGGTGAAATCAATGATGGGTGCGGTCCGAGCAAACGCGCGAGAACGTGGAGAAGCAGCCGTTTGAGCAATAATAACTGAAATAATATAAAAAATAGGAGGTACAAGAAGTTTCATTTTAACATGAACATGTTAACTATTTTACTTTGTATACTCCATATGAGTCCAATATGTTTTTTTGAATACTTCTTAATTCAAAGTTTCTCTTTTTCATCTCACCCGCCGTTTGTGGTGTTCAGGCCTCGAGCCCGGCACAGTTGTTGTGACCAAGCAGTCGTTGGATGCCACCTTCCTGCCCAAGTTTGAGCAGGTGATCTTGGGGAAGACGGTGGTGCGCAATACTGATCTCGACCCAAGCCTGGCCGAGGAGCTGTTACGCTGCAGCAAGGAGCTGGACCAGTTTGAGACCGTGGCAGGCAACACCATGTGTACACTGGATTTCTATGAAGGTAGGCTTGTCTGCTGCATTGTTTTTTTTTAATCACGTCTTAGTAAATGTTCATGGTTTTGCTATCTTCTCTGTCTGCTTGGTCTAACCCCCAGGCCAAGCCCGTCTGGATGGGGCCTTCTGCTCCTACAGCTTGAAGGACAAACAGGATTACCTCAATAAAGCCAGTGAAGCAGGAGTCTGCAATATAGAAATGGAGTCATCTGTTTTTGCTGCTATGTGTAAGCTGAGTGGTCTACGAGGTAAGAAAAATACAAATTTCCACTGTGTAGAAACAGATTCATCACCTCTCTCTCTCTCTAACGTTCGTGTGTGTGTGTGTGTGAAGCGGCTGTGGTCTGCGTGACATTACTGGATCGGCTGAATGGGGATCAACTGAACGTCGCTCCAGAAATTCTTCACGGCTACCAACAACGTCCCCAGATTCTGGTTGGCCACTACATTCAGAAGCAGTTGAAGAAAAAAGCACTCCGTAGCTAAGTGCAACTGTTGTTACGTTGTTGTGCAAGCAGCCATCACATTTCTTGTAAACATTATTTCTTTCTGATCAATAGCCATATCTATTATACCTCCATTATCCGCTGAAGGTTGAAATTACATACGAACTTAAATATCTTTTGGCTCTGTCTTAATACATTATAGGTTTTGCCCTCTAAGAGCTGTCCCTATAGCATTCATATGCATGCTCAGATTTTTGTTTTCTTACCCACCCTTAAGCTTTGTCCGGGTCCCCCTTGTGTGCACTTGCCAAATATTACAGCTCCGCAATTGTAGTTTTGCTCCAATTGTTTCCAGAGTGTCAATTGGTCATCAGGTGTAACGGTTATAAAGCGGTCGAGCGATTGTAGAATTGGCTACTTTGTCTTGCCTGACCTTCATCCCAGCGGAGCAGTGGAGGCTGATGATGATGAGGTGGAGGAGTAGGAGGAGCAGGAGGAGCGCCTCTTGTAGGTTTATCTCTGTCCACATTGTGGCCAGGAGTCCTGATGCAGTGGATCTCTCCTACTCCAGATCAGCTCCACGCTGTTGTGGTGACCAGCCGCCCCACTAACAATGTTATCAGTGACTGTGACATCAGACACACAACCACCCTTTTTTCTACTTTTCCACTAAAGAGCAGTTTCTGCTTATTGTTCGAGCAGTTTTCTTTACAAAACAGAGGCTTGATGCTTTCTTTTTAAAACTTAAATACAATTTACAAACAGCTGTCATGTAGCAACATGGCACATCTGATCATGTTAAAGACTGCCTTTGTTTTATACAATATGTAAAGCTTATATCCATAAAACATGATTTCAGTTAGGACTTTTTGCAAGATGATGTTGTAACGAAATTACCTTGAACTGTCATTAGTGTTGAATGAAGACTGAAAAAATGACTGATAAATGTTTGCCCTTTTGATGGTATGTATTTTGCATTGTACAATTAGGCTGATGCAGTTTCCTTCAGAAGCTAAAACATTTTTGAGAAGACGACTGAATGTCTTAACACTAAAGAATTATAATGCAGTTCAATGATCTTGTAATGTTCATACAGTTTAACGTCACAGTTTTGTCTGAAGCAAGAGGTTTGATGCATTATGACCAACATCCTGACCACTTTGGTCGGATTAGAAAGTGACGTTATGATTATCTCTATTGATTTCTATCAATTTGTCAGTCACATACAGTATATCATTCCTTTTCCTGAGCTCACCAACTCAAAAACATTTGCCTCCTGTCTTCAGATCAGCTTATGACGATGAGCCTTCACAGTGGCTTCAACCTGAATTTATAAGTGTCTTTGGCTGATATCTGTTAAATAACTGTTCCTGGTTCTCTTTCTGTAGGCCGGCAATGACATAATAGTTCTCATTCACAGCAGAAAATAAAATAGTCTGCAGTATTATTTGCATTAAAAAAAATTTTTTTTGCAAGATACATTCTTAGGAGACATGAACCCTTTGATATTGCGAACCTTAATGTGGACCCAATGAAACATAAGTTACAAGAAACCGGTCTGAAAAACACATTTATGAATTCTTATGTGTGATCTTATGCTCACCTATTGCATGCTGGAAAAACTCTGCGCGTCATCGGGCTGGAGGAGGGGGAGGGTCTGCCTGCGCGCTCCCGTGCGCGCCCATGCGCCTCCTGTTCGCCATCCGATCCTATCCCGGTCTATTCGCTGACTCAGTGCCTTAAGCAGCATCCCCGTCCACCTGCACAGAGCTACAGCATCCTCTGCGGAGAACCACATCAGCCATGTCCAAAACAGCCACCGGTAAGCGCGCACCGACGCACTTGTGACGGATCTTTTTATCCGTAAGCTAATGTTTTCTTTTTTATGATCAAAATTATACATTTAATGGGATCGTTCCTCCATCGCGCGTGCGTCTATTGTCTGTGGAGTCATCTAACGAACACCGAGAACGTGGGCTCACGAGCGTCTCCTTCATTTTCCTCATCTCCGTCCTCGTTTGCTCTCGATCAAACATGTTGTAGGACACGTTTACCAAGCGGATAACGCGAATCGGCCGGTGACAGCCTTTTATTTACTACAAGGGGGGGGATGATGCCACAGCGGCCCCAACATGCAGCATAATGCAGACGGACCCCACCCAAGATGCTGAGCTGCCGACAGCACAGCTGGGACTGCTCCATCCGTCTGACTTCCACATTGCTCAGCTATGGTCGATTGACAGATATATAATCTGAACGCCTTATTGTAAATAAAACGCGATTGTTTGATCAGATCATTTTTTTGTGCTTTCTCCTTAAAAATCAGTGCCTCTAGCTCTCCTTAGGAGACATCGCCCGTTGTGAGTGATATGCTGCTAATTATTTCAAAAACCAAAAAACCCTATTTGCATCCACACAAATGCAAATCAGGCGTGGGAGCTGGCGCAAGGAGTCTTACATTAACACATAATAACATAGCCTGCCTTAGTCATCTCCTCTGATGGCCAGTTATTGTTGTAGGCCAGGCATTTAGCATTTGTTTTCGGCTTTTTCGCTCGGCCTGTGGACGCGTATCTAAAACATTAGTGGATCCTTGACATTAACATCTTATTTGGTCCCCCTGAAATGCAGCAGGGTGTTTATTCTGCCGTCAGCGTGGTCCGTGTGGTGGCAGAGATGGAGCGGAGGAGACAGGTGTGTGTGGCAGGGCGGGAGGCAGGCCAGCCCTGCAGCAAGGGGCCGCTCACGCACTGGCCTTTGCAGCAGAAGGCTGAGCAGCACTGACAATCTGTAGTCCTCCCTTCAACAGCCATGTGGGCACTTTGACAAACACAGGACAGGGCATGGACTCTGCAGAGGAGATTGAAGATAGTCAGGGGGGAATTGGTAAAAGCACACCGTACCCCAGATGGTAAAAGCCAACGTTGTTTATCAGCTGTATTTTGTGTTGGCAGCACTCAGGGCAGATATGTATCGTGTTCTTCTTGTTAAAAACCTTGGATTGGGCGGTCTATTCTCAGAGCTTGGACAAATTACAAGAGGATATTAGGAAAGGCAATCTCATTTGTTTATGAGTCACAAGTGTCACAAATAAGATCCCGGAGCAATTAATCCAATTAATTGTTCAACAACAGGGAACATTCCTGATGCCGGTCATTTGATGTTAATTGAGTTTCTAATGGAAATACTGTATCTCAAGTATATTTAGGGCTTTGTGGTATCGACAGGCAGACCTAGCATGTCTATTTTACCGTCTTTGTGAGTAACATGGAGAGACTCACCAGGATGCTGCTGTGTGTCTGTTTTCCTACAGCATATAAAGAGAAGATGAAGGAGCTGTCCGTCTTCTCGCTCATCTGCTCCTGTTTCTACCCAGAGGCACACAACAAGCGTGTCTGTGAGTTTGAAGGTATGGATCGGCTGATTTTCCCTTCAGATCAAACCTATTGCCCTCTGGTTGTATTCTCTGCCCTGTAGTTACAGACGGCAGCGTTAGTGACATATTGTGGCATTAAACATGGACTCTGCTGGTATCATCATCGTCATCATTATCATGCATCATAATTGTCTGATTTGCAGACATGGAGGTGAAAGCTATAAACAAGCGAGCCTCTGGCCAGGCCTTCGAGGTGATCCTCAAGCCTCTGTCTCCAGTGTCAGATGTGGCCCACAACCTCCCCACCCCCCCAAAGAGGGATATCTCCTTGGAGGACATTGAGAAGAAACTAGAAGCTGCAGAAGACCGGAGGAAGGTGAGTTTTTTTTTTTTTTTTACCTGTAGCTTCAAAGTTGGATTATATTTTTAACTATATTCCAAACTAATCAGATGGTCAAACATGATTATTTTTTTTCTGTGTGTCTTTAGTACCAAGAGGCCCAGGTGCTGAGGGCTTTGGCAGAAAAACGAGATCACGAGAGGGAGGTGTTGATAAAGGCCATGGAAGAGAACAGCAACTTCAGCAAGATGGCCGAGGAGAAGCTCCTGATGAAGATGGAGCAGATCAAGGAGAACCGTGAGGCCCATCTGGCAGCTATGATTGAGCGTCTGCAGGAGAAGGTGAGAAATGCAGAGATCTTAGTTTGTGTTTCCTTTTCAAATCCCCCATTGGACGTGATTAAACTGGGCTTGGGCGCCGCAGGATGATGACTATTCTCCCACTCTCTCCCTTTCCCTCTCTGTTGTTCTTGTGCTTTCAGGAGAGACATGCAGCTTTGGTGCGCAAGAACAAAGAGCTGAGGGAAGAGCTGACAGCATGAGCCTCGCACAAGTCCTGATTTCCATGGTCCATCAACCCCCCCCCCCCCCCCCCCCCTCACACATCTCTCCCTCCCCCCAATCCAGTCCCCCCTCCCTTCCTTGCCCTGACCTCCCCTCAGACACCCAACAGACACCCAAACCTGGAGGCCGAGAGGTTTGAGGACCTCCCAACCCCATCACAACACACCACACCACCAGTACTTACCACTGTCAGTATTATCATTGGATACAAAAATCATTCAAACACTCATCTTGTGAGTTGAATTAATTTTAGGTTAGACAAAAAAAGTGAGAACACGGCTATTATTTTGTAAATACTCTTCTTTTCTTAAAGTCTCTCTCTCTATTTCTCTGTCTCTCTATCCCTCTATCTATCATGGTGGGTGAAATACGTACAGAGATTGTATCGTACTGCGCTGTACAATTTCAAACATTGATTGACGTTTCGGTTCTTGAAATTTGACTTCGCAACCATTTTTCTTGTGAAAGCCGTCGGTGTTGTGAGTTGGCTGTAGACTGACATTTGCAGTGTTTCCTGATTGTGTCATCATGATGATGTTTCTGTGTCTTTGTAAAGAATGACAGTCGGTGTACCTACAAGACAAACTCCTCAAGATATCACCGTATCGCATCTGTATCTTTCTCGTGCACACCCACTCATTCCCCACACTTGGAACTCAACAACACGCAGAACTCCACAGATGCATAACGAGTCCACCTCCTCCGAAATTTGCTTGACGATGAACTCGACAGGTGATGTGTTGTTATTAAGAATGTTTTTGCCAAATGGAAGCAACTGTTTATACGCTTGCAGGTTCCCATTTACACTTAGAACGGCATTTCACAATGAGTCCATCTCAAGCCAAATCAAAATCTCCGTTTCACACACGATATTTTTCCATTAAGCTCTTGAATGTTATGACACCATACTGGTTACCATGCATATTGTCCTCGACGTTGGGATGTGCTGTTGGTCCCACCTTATTATTGACAGTGTCACCACAAGGCATGTCTGTGTGGGTGTGCGTGAACGCAAATTTACCACAAGGCAACATTAGCTTCTGCCCTCTTTAGGGGATTAGATGGATATGATGGATGCGGGATGCTTTACATTCAGCCCACTGAACTAGTCTCTTTTTAATATACAGTACCACTGCTATCTGCCTGCATTCTCTGCTGCTTGTGTTTCTCTGTGAAAGCTTTGCTGAATTACGGTTTGAGGTTCTGTGAACATGGCATGCACCATCTAATACTTTTCTGTGCTAAAAGAGGGATAATGTAAACCGACAAATAAAAGAACCAGTTATCTACACCACCTGAGATTCACCATCCTCCCCTTGTTGATTTGTCATTCGTGTTTCAGTGTAATGTTAATTCATTTGGGACATTGCACACAACTGTTTGTAAACTTAAAAGTATGGTGAGGGTTGTTCCTTTGACGGATATACTAAACATATGAATCCACGATCCTCCATCCGGCACGTGCCAACACAAGGTTCCTCCAATAGGTGGCAGTGGCAGATTTCTTTAAGGCGAGGAAACAAAGTAAGTCTTTTTATACAAAAGTAGGAGGAAAGTCCATAATATGCTGAATGCCAACAGTGAACATTTTCAACTTTTTTAATAATCCTTGATTGTTTTTGTTTTTATATTTCTTTAGTAGAAGAATTGCAAAGAGAGAATCTACAATAATCCAAATAATTTGTGTTCTTTTTTCTGAGAAACAATATTTGGAATTGAGAGTCCTCATTTAGAGGGATCACGGTTTGCGTTGTGTATTAGCACTCACTCACAACATCAAATACTCTTTTAAATTTACGATAATGTAGAAAGACAATTTTATTATATTATTAACAACATGTGGCCTAAACCCTCAGAGGACAACTCACCGACTGTTCCTGCTGGAAGCCTGAGGTGTTGCATGGATGGAGAAAACTCTTTAAAAAACAGCAAACCTCTAAAACTCTGTCACTCATACGTGGCAGAAACAATACTGAGGAGCTGAACAATGATTTATTGGTCCATCTGTCTTGTATGTTATTGTTACTTTTTAACCGCCTTCCTCCAAAGTCCCCATCCTGTTCACACTATTGTCTCCGTTTCAGACCAACCCGAGCTGGTGAGGTCAGGGCAACATTGTAAAGGATTTCCTCTGGCTCTTAATGATTTCCTGGGTATTCATATGGGCAACAATGCTCTCAGATTTGGTTACTTACCTGGCACACAGTGAAGGAATCGCCTTCCAGTCAATAACCGGGACTCTATTATCTCATGATTAACTTCCACAGTATTGGAACAAGAATGCAGCTGTGGAATTTATGTAATTTGGGAAGATACGGTCTTAATCACTTGGCGGGAGGCTGGTCTGCTTATACGATCTACAATTTACTTACAACATGGTAAAACAATTAAAAAAAAGATGCCAATGCAACAGAAACAAAAACTTTGGTTTGAATCCCATATTTTAGATTTTAAATTTCAATTTATTGGTACAAAAATATTACAAATGGATACAAGAATTTAATTTTCCTATTTTCAAGTGGTTAGTTTTTTAAAACAATGGCAAATGTAATATGTTTTTTCACTTTACGAGAAGCAGACCGGATTTAACAACTCTACATTACGTTAAATACGGACCCCCGTGCCCGACAAATGCTGAAATTTCAGTATGTGGTCTACAAAAAGACCTCTAGCTTCTATACTTGCTTACAGTAAAACTATTCATGGCCCAGATCTGTCCTCAGGCTGGAGACAGCACATGTTCACTAAATTAGTCAATGGACAACATTTAATCATTCAGAATTCTTTTAGAGTAATGACATATTGAGAAATACCTCTTTTTCTTATTCTAAATACTTATAAAATCAAATCAGTTAGCTTTGTTCCCCTGTATTTCATGGCTATAAACACAGAGGCTGGTTTTCCTCTCTTGTCTGCGCTGCTGGACTCAGCTCAGCTGCTGCCATCAGTCCAGTTGTTACCTTCAGAAGGCCCCGATCTCCGTGCCCCACGGCCTGTAAGGCTTTGACAGGGTGGAGGAGGAGGAGGAGGAGGGGCTGACTGTGCTGAGAGCCGTCGGGCACACCAGAGGGAAAGCGCCAAAGGAGAGGGGGAAGGCCGACAGCGAGGAGAGCGACGACAGGAGTGGCGGGGAAAGCTTGGATGTTGGCACAGACAGACCGCGGGCCAACGAACCGTTAAGAGGCCCCCCGAGGGTCTCTGTGGGGGGCATCGCGCCGAGTCTGGATGTCCCCGCTGCCTCAATGGAGGGGGAGGAAGATGTAGAAGAGGAAGGGGAAGAGGAGGATAAGCTACTTTTGCTCCTGGATGCAGGTGTCCTGCCCGTAGGGCGTTGCTGCAGGAGGAGGGGGTGGGGGAGATGAGCAGGCACGGTCCCGAAGGCAGAGCCCCAGGCTAAGTGCTCCAGACCAGTTTGCACATCCCTTTGAGAGGCGTAGTTGCTGAGGTGGGACACCAGGCGTACGCGGAGGGGGTCTGCGCCATCCCGACCCTCTATGATGCTCAGGTAGCGGGCCGTCTCGGCCAGACACTCCCTGAAGCCCAGGCTGCGGTAATCCTTAGCGAGAGCGTGAGCCTCAAAGTAACCTGTCGGGAACAAAGCAGAGTGGTGAGAATCTCACAGCTTATTTGTAGCATTTGGGAATTACAACAACCAATTATTTATTTACAGTATCATCAACAGCCGAATAAATTATGTTACCTTTGCCACCAGAGGCATGAAGCATCTTTAAATGGTCCACTGTCATTTGCAAAATTTCAGCTTTTTCCAGTTTAGCAGCTCCCTGCAAAGAAATTGAAAGAAATATTTCCACTTTTAATGTTGTTTGTCATAGTGTCCATGTAGAAAAGAAAAAATGCATGGAGAAATATGTGCCTGCCCATGCCGGGAGGACAGAAGCAGGAGCACTTTACCTGTTTCTCAAAAGCACTTGGCACCAATCTTCTCAACTCTGACAGACTATTATTGATTCGGTCACGTCTTCGTTTCTCAATAATCTGTCAATGAGTAAAAGAAACAAATGAGTCCAATTCAAATCAGAGGTGGGAGACAAACAATTAGATCCATCATAACAGCGGCGTGCAACTTGGCACCAGGGATATTGAGTCAACTCACCCCTCTGCGCCTTTTTCTGGCTTGAACTTGTGTGGTTGTGGAGGGTGACATCGAGCCGTGAGAATCAAGTAGACTGAAAAGTAAGACAGAAATACATTGTTTTTTTACAAAACATATAGTTATTCTGATTTTATAAAAAAGTAGCAAGATAACAAATTAAAATAAACACAAATTTAATACATTAAAGACAAGCTGAAATATATCACAGCTGCTGGAATGACACAACGGTTATTATAAAATTGAACATACCCATTTTCGTCCCCACTATCTTTCTCCACCTCAACAATGTCGTCCAGGTCGCTTTCTGAGGAGCTGTAATTGTGGCTCCGCTTCATTTTGCTTCAAAAGTACTCCTTTTCGAGAGAGTTCCGCTGGTGTTCTGTCAGCAGTGGGTCGGCTCGACAGTCTAAACGTCAGACTCGCCTCCTCTCTGATCGTTTTCACGCCGAGGAGAGGGGGCGGGGACCAATGAGCGGTGTGGGCGGGGCTTGGTAGTATTTGAGCCTGTTAAAGTCGAGCTGGTGTTTGAATGACAGGCTGTACAAAAGCAAAAAAGAAGAAGAAATAATTGGAAAAAAAACCTCAGGTTTCTCAAAAAACTATAATAAATACATTTAAATAAAACCTGGAATAATTTAAATCAATAAAATGTATTAAAAGCATGATTTTTAATACATATCTTTTAACAGAGAGTGTCGAGTCTGTGTCCTGACAGCTGTGACTGACCTGTACACTCCTGGCCTCGGGTCCACAGTGTCCCTGCTGAGACCCCAGTTCATGGACAAATACGCCCCATTATAGTGGGAGCTCTCTTCTTCTTTGGTGTTGCGGAGGACACACACGGCCTATTAGCAGAGTGTGTTGTTCATTGTCTGCTGTCAGCTGTGAGCTTCCAAAACAGCATTGATCAGCCGGGAGGCCCAACATTAGTCGGTCGGTGTCGCCAGGCTCTCCTAGGAAACCCCCTCCTCCTTCGTTCCCAGTCGCTGCAAACAGGTCAACTGACTGGCGCAGACGGACCTTCTCAGGGACTCATTCATCCACTGTGGGTGAAAACAGTGAACCTCGCGCCGCTGTGCACTGGGAAAGAGAAACAGACGTGTTTTTATAGGCTCAAGCTGCAACTTGAGATTCATTTTTTGATTTTGAGTTACATTAATAAAAATATACCACGGTATAAGCCGGGAGAGTGTGAAAATGTTCTATCTAATACGCTCGGGGTCAGAGAGCAAGCTGTAAAAAACATTGGAACTTTTACTGTTCATGTTTCACTGTGTGCATGATCCCCTCTGACTGTAAAGTATGTATATGGAAATAAATGTGCCTCAATACAAATATACTTGTATATTAATTAATTAATGAGTAATTTTTAAGCAAATGTAAAGTAAAAAACAAAAAAAACGTAAACTTGTTTTTATCTTTTTTTACTGTCTTAGTGTTGTGTTAACAAAACCATCCTAAATGTCTCTCTGTTGTGTACTTTTGTCCTGAAGTAATGCTCACATTTTGAGGCATGTATAACATTGATCCATACTATAATAATGTATCATTCCCCACGGCCATCTTTATTTTTGACTCTTTAAAATTGAAATGCAGAACATTGACATGTAATATTTATAGAATGACATTGCTGCTTTAACGTAACACTGCCATCATATGAATATACATCCTGAGTGTGAGACTGGCGCGTCTGGTAAGGCCATCAGAGGGAGCGTGACCCCCCTGCTGTCTTCCATTCCAGTTCCTTGTAGAGCAGCAGCTGTTTCTCTGCTCCGTCCATCAGGTCAGTTGTTAACTTGGTGCGTTGGGAGCTAGACAAGTGCGGATGAGAGCTTGATTTCAGGGAGCAACTGCGGGCCAACACGCTGTTCCCAGAATGTCAAAGGGGCTTTCCATGATGACAGATACAATGTGCAAGCTTCTGTCGTTATGAGAGTAGACGAGCCTTTGCACTATTCCAAAGACTAGACACTCGCACTAAAAAAACGATGCTTACGTCAGTTATTTTATTTATTTCTATGCTTGCATGCTCCCATTTGGTTGATTCATAGACCTTTATTATGTGTGATCCTGCGGTGAAAACCTCCTACGGACTGGAAACATTTCTCATAGGCCCGTATTGCTCTACACTTCACAAAGTTTGCTGCTCGTGGGAGAGACTTGTGTACAGATCCTCAGCCTGTTTAAGTTCAAGCCCTCTCCTTGCCCTCTCACCCAGACGAGGCCATACATGGCCTTCCCATGACTCTCTGCTGATGGGCAGCTTTTGGATCACTTTGGTGTTGTTTTCGATGCTATTATGGTAATAGGGCTCTACTGTGCGGACAGCTCCACAGGACAGGCAGGTTCATGTGGTCTCTATTAAGCAGACACTAACCACTCTCCTCACATCTGACTGTCAAGGTCCTTCGCATTAGCCCCGACATTCCTGTGATCCATTAAGAGCAATTAGGAGTTTTCCTTGACTTTTTCGACTGCGGACATACAACAGTTTCTCAGGTTGACTTTTGATGATGATGTGAAAAAGTGTGTTTGGTTTGAACTCATTTGTCCGTGAATGCCGTGTTCCTATAAATCTTCTACCTTAAAGAAAGTAAACATACCAACTCGGCACCGATTTGAAGAAACTGATGTCAAACCGGTGCCAGGAAGCTAAGAGCTATAAGCAAGCATTTGTTTGAAACTGGCGTGTGCCCAGCTGCCTTCCCCAATCTTCCCTCAGGTTTCCCCTGGTGACTCTTTGTGTGCAAGAGTGCGGCCACAAGAGTGTGTGCTGGTGTGTCGGCATGTGTTTATGTGTGTGTGTGTGTGACCGAGGGTGTGCGAGTGTGTTTAGGAGGTGCTGTTTCCCACAGCCCTGATCTAATTCCGTGGTAACTCAATCTCCGTGTGAGCGCTTCCCGGCGAGTGTTCTCCCGCCCGTCGACGGTCTCTCTCTGGCTGCCCGAGTGGCTGAGTGTGCCTGACAGAGGCCGGCTCAGTCCCTTTGGACCCCCCTCCGCCTCCGTCTTCCCAACCCTCCCATCAGGATTGATTTACTATGTCAACCGTTGGGGCGGCCGGCAGCAGCGGCGCTCGCAGCCGTGCCTGCATCCTGTGTGCACACCATCCTGACATCTTATACCTGTCACTCAACAACTGCTGCAGTGAAATTTGCATTTGTGTGTGTGCGTGTGTGTGTGTGTGTGTGTGTGTTGAGGGAGGCTTCTGGGGGATATTTCAGTATGTGTGAGATCTCCTTGCTTTTGAAAAACTGGTTAATGTTAAAAGGTTTTAACTGTGCTGTAAATACATGTTATATTATATCATGTTCATACATGTCAGGTACCACAGAGAAAATGCCACCCATGCTGGTCCCAAATAGCTTGTCTGACTGAGAGAAATGTCTCCCAGACAACTTCCATGCAACAATGTTATCCTATGGGCCACAGCTTCCTGTCTGTCCCCTCTGGTTCCAGTCAGCACCCAGGCGGCTATATTGGGCAGGGACCGGACCAGGCCTGAGACCCATTCCCACTGTTTGATTGTAATACACCCGCCTTCTCATTCTTTACTTTCCTGCCTTTGTTGGCATCCATTCTCCCTGTGCTTTTGGATAGGTAAAGCCAGGGAGGATATGTTGACTTCCTTGTTTCTTTGTTTAGCAGGAGTTTTATTTTTTCTGTGCAGGACAGCTCCTTAGGTCATAACACTGACACCGGGACTCTTAGTACCGCTGCCAATTACAGGGCTCAGCGTCAATTACAGGGCATTAACAGTATTTAGAAAAGACTCAAACAAAATGTCCTGCTCTAATATAAACCACGTTACGTGCCAGCTTGAAATTCAAATCCATTTATAATGTTTTCTACAATGGCACCTGCTCCTCCCCAATGGCCCCTGACTATATTGTTCATAAGGTTTACCAGTGTAGTGCCCGTTACCAGTTAACTGCACAGTTACACAATAGAAGGAAGGCAGATCACAAGACCGCCTTTCCAAATATGCGCAACAGGAGACAGCACGTGATGTTCTTACAGAGAAAGGAGGGCCGCGGAGCGAGCTACTTTTAAGGCCACACATTGTGTTGCCACAGGAAAAACATTGTTTGCATATCAATGGAGTGTGTGTGCGCGCGTGTGTGTGTGTGTATTCGTATGTGTGTGAGGCAAGCTGAGGGGTGTTTGGGGCTCTGATTGAAATGTATCTCCGGGCTTACATCACGTGAAGGGAACCTCGCAGCCGCTGGCCTGATGAACTATTAGTACAGTCAAGTGGCCGGTCACCGCCGGAGGACCACTGTGTTTTAGAACAGGCCTGGTAGGAGGCAGTACTTTGCATTGCCTCGTACACGTAGGCTGAGGCTCTTTGGGTGGCTTTTGTGCAGTTTTTATGTTTGCCTTGATGCAAATTTGGAAGGGAAGCTGATGAAGTGGTGGCTGTAATAAGTGATATTTTAGACGCAATCAAGAAACAGAAAAGAGTTTATTTATGGTGTGTCACAAGTTTACTTTTTTTTTTTTAAATATGTCTTTTTTTTAGCTTATTTCCCAGAGGATGCTCTGTGCCAGCTGTCTGCGCTGCAGTAAAGTACTGCTTTCCCAAGCTTTCGACCTGTGGGAAACTCTGTTGTGGCCAGTAATTGATTCCGCCCTGCCAGCCCCATTACTCTACACTGCAGTCAAACTGCCAGTGATCTGCAGAAAGCCTGTTAGCAGAGCCCCTTTACTCTCTCTCCTCACACAGACATGCATCAGTAACAACTCCTGCTGTTAATTCTATTGCTGCTTCTATCTGTCTCTATACGTTATTTCTGTTACTATAATCCACAATCTTTGTAGAATCTTTGAGCTATTTTCACCTTTGTTTTCTCTATTCATCTGTGAATTCATATCAATTTATAATCTCATGGGGATTATGTTGCTTTTAATGCCTTCTTTCTTGCTAAATGCAAGACTAAATGCTAAAACGAATATACAGTATGTTCTCTAATCATGTAGGAATTTTTCTTTTGAAACGTGTTAATTTGTTGCTAAGCTATGCAACTACACCACTGAGTCCTAGCCGCCTGGAATTGGCATAATGCACTACATGCATCTGCTTTCTGGCGCAGATGTCATACGTCCTTTTAATTTAAAGATGGTTTGAATTGACAAGAAGCGTTACAGGACACTTGCTAATTAACCAGGAAGACGTCACCGATATTTATGATATCTGTTGTCCTCTTGAAAGGGATGCACGACTTGTTGATTTTTGGGCTTGCAGAGCTGCGTGGCAGAACCCGCCCCCCCTGAAATACCCCCTCCATCAAAGCCTGTCATGAAATATTTAGTGCAGTCATCTGCTGACATGGGTGACTTAATTGTCACAGCCTAACACTTACCACATGTCTAAATAAAAGTAAGTGCTCCCCCCTTCAAATTAATCTTCAATTAGGGTTGCTGCTCTGTGCCTCTGCTTTTGTGTTTCCCAGTCTCAGCTCAGCAGGTGGGGTTTGGTAGGCTCTGTGTGTGTGTGTGTGTGTGTGTGTGTACGAGGTTATAAGAGGATTATCGGTTTCTGTCTGGGTGGACGGGACAGAGATGAAAAGGTTCAAGTTTTCTAACACATATTCACATGATAACATTCTGTCCCAAGAACATCACTTTTTGCCGCCTTTACTACAAGACCACCTGTTTAAAGCTTATTCTATCGACCCATTAAACATTCTGTTCCATGTGAGATGTAGAGAGACATAAGAGGCTTCAGGCCAAATGGTTTATCGGGGATTCTCATGACTGGCGGGCTTTATATAACTACCAGCTGAGGGCTGCACTTTCCCATGTGGTAAGAGGTCAGGAGGTCGCCCTCCAAGAACTGTCGCGGTTGTTATTCATACAAGGATTCCAGCCCACTGATGGAGGATCTAAGAGAGCATAAAAGAGGAGCAAAGGACTGTACAGTAAATGCACCACTATGGCTCCTGGTGATCCCTCCGCCCACTGCCCTCCAAACCCGGGTGGCTGTCCCATCAACAGAACAAGCAGTGTCTCTGTGGGGGAAGCCCCCCGCCCCCCACAAATCCCCCCCCGACACACACACACACACACACACACACACACACACACACACACACACACACAGACACCCCATGCTTTTGCAGCCCCACTGTCGGTGCGCGGCAAACCAGAAGCTCGACGCGCAGGGAGCGTGTGGGATGAAGGGGACGCGAGAGAAGATCAAAGCGGGAAGCATGAAACAGCTCAGAGCACACAAGCAGAGGCACCTCTGTGACTTCGCCACACACACACACACACTCCTCTCTTCATCCTGACTATGCACAACATCGACCTCTGGTTCCCCTCATCCAGCAGCCGTGTAAAAAGGAAGCGAGGAGACGTGTGAGCCTGTCGGCAGACGGTCGGAACATGCAGGGAACCAGACAAGAACTGACAGAATCCCTCTTCAATTTTTACTTTACATATATGTATACATATATTTTTAAATACAAGTATGTATGTTAATACTGTGTTGTATTTTGAATGCGCGCTTCTGACGTTAAAATCTAATCAGCCGTCATGAGGAGAAACTGTTAAATCATCAGTGTGGTTCAAAAAGTAGATAGATGCTGTCTTAACTGCAGTCCTATGTGAAAGACACTGCTGAAATGCTTGCATAGATATCTCTACGTGGAGGAATTGTATCCTCTGCCTCGAGCAAAAGCTCAACAAAAATCGAAAAGACAGCAAAATAGGTGTTATTTAAATATTCCCACTGTGTCCGATCATTGGCCGCAGAGAGCCAGCAGCAAAGTTCACCATCAAACATGATCAGCTGTGACCTCTGTTTTACCTGCCGGCCAATTAAGTTGTATAAGGTTTTTAATGAGCCCGGTCAGACATGTGAACTACCCCTTGGCCCTGAGGATCCTCTCTCCATAATTCATGAGTCCTCAGGTTGGACCCTGGGAACAAGCTGAGCGAGCCCCTGTGTCAATACGAAACGCTGGCCGCCACAATGGGCTCTGCCTCCAACTACACTGTTGACAGACACCAACACAAAGGAGCTGAAAGGGGTCCCCTCCGTTCTCACACACACCGAAGAATGAGTCAGTGTGCTGCCGCTCAGAGCTGTGTTTGTACAGTATATACAGCTTTTGTCGACGGCCACTGTTCTCCCATCAATAGAGGCTGAAGTGTTTATGAAAACCAGGGGGGAAGGACTAGTCTGTGGCTGCTAGTTAGAGTTCATGTTCATTCGATGAGCCCTGCACCTTCTGAAGGCCCCTGCATGTATGTATGCGGGAAAAATACCCCGGTGACAAAACAACAACAACAACTGATCAAAATCAATAACATTCGGTGATACATCATACTGTCGTCTTGGACTATCACGTCATTACTGTCATTGGGTTAATGAATAATGGATCATGAAATGAAATACTGCAGTTACGTGTCTCTTTGAAGCATTTCTACATGACATGCATTGATATCAAATTCTCTGGTTTCTTATTGATGTCTAATTCTGCATTGTACATCAAGCAGCTACTGTGATGAAGGGATGAATCTCCCTCCAAGGGGTTGTCATGTTCGTTCTACCCATGCTCTTGGACAGTTGAATCAATATTAATAAGAATTAGCATATCTCATCAACAACTAGAATCACTAGCACTATGATGGTGCCGTTCAGAACCTGGTGTCAAAATTTAGTGGTGCAAAAAACCTCCTAGAAAGAACAGGATGAAAATGGGCTCTTGGGGGACTTTTCTCTGCACCCACTCACTGTCAGCAGCTTCATTATTATTACGCTTACTTGTTATGTAATCAGAAGGGGGCTTTGGTATTTTTTTTTAAAACTTTTTCCGGCTTGCCCTAGAATCCAAAAAAAGGTTCTTATTGTCTTAATGTCGGAGCAGAATTGCATGGTGATCCATGATACCTTGACTAGTTAGCACATTACTAGCATTTACGATGGCACTTACTGAGGGAGTCAGTAAGTGCCGTCGTGGTTCTTGTTGTTCTGGTTCTGTTCCCCTCTTGAGCTAAATGATAAATGCAAAATGTAAATGTGGGCACTCAAACATTCCTGTCCTGTGTGCAGATATCTCTATCTTTGACAACCATTTCACAAGTAGCAGGCAGTGAATCAACCAATCAGTTTCAAGTGATTTTATTAAGAACTTGTATTCTCCAAAATAATGTCTGAAAGACCCAAATGTACAGTGGGAGGAAATCAAAGCAGGATGTAACAGCTGAATCCAGTCTAATCCACTTAAGATATATGTCACATGAATAAGAATTGCTCCAAGCATCTCAAATCATTTCTATCTGCAAACTTTACTCTACTTTACTTTGATCTCCTCGAGACATCAGTCCCAGCACTCATTAACTCCCAACACTTCAACAGTCCACTCGAATCGAGAAATAAAGAGATTTACAGATCTTCCTTTGATGAATAAAACTGTCTGCATTTTGCATTCCACAGTCTTTATTGGTTGACATCTAGTTGCAGACTATACAAAATATTTGAACTAGATTGTATAGCTACTCTAATAGCAGAAGGAACACACGTGATCAATATTTGATTTTTAGTTATTTTTTGCTTTAAAATTCTACTGGTCAAGTATATTGGGTTTCTTTTTCAAAAGGCCTAACGTAATGTGTCACTGAAACCATTGGGAGGCAGTACAGGATCTGATTGTTTACTGCTTCCCAGTGAGCAATAGACGGAATTTCAACATTGAAATCTGGTTAAAAATCATGTTGAAATGAGGCCAGAACGTCTAAGACCTCATTTCAAGGGCTTTTTAACAGAAAAATGTTGGCTGGGTTCAGTCGTCTATCTTTACGTTATATCATTATCTTTAAACACCAATGCATGATACGTGCTCCAATAAAGACAGAACAGAACAGAACCTCTGAGAACAGTTTTATTTGCTTTTCACTGGCGACATCTACTGGTCAAATGCAGTATTATCATTTCCACTGAGGGAGGCGCCGTTCACTGCTGTTTGGAGGTGCAATCAGAATCAGATTTAATGGCCAAATGTGAACATGTTCAAGTATATTGTTGCTTTCAAAATACATACATGAAATCAAATGAGTAAAATGTTGATGTAACATATGTGACATTTTGGATGGATTTGTTTTTAATTGTGAGGTTGATACAATGTAAATTGTAATGTGAATCTCTTCCTCTTAGTTTTCACATACCAAAAGCAATCACGGGTTTTGTATTACAAATGGATGTTTCACTTTTAATATTGAATGCAATTTGAGTAATTCAGATATAATTGTCTGTCGTTTGTTTTATTCCCATTTTGTTGTCGTTGTTCACATTATAGTCCTCAGCATTTTTCCTCCTGCATGGGCAGCACGCGGTCCATTGTTTCACCTCGTGAATCAACGCAGAAGTCAGCAGACTCAGGCTAAACTCACATGATCTGTCACTCCTGTCGAACACGTCGTCAGAAAATGTCAAAGATTTAAAAGACACGCCCTCTATTCCGCTCGGTTACCATGGCGACGCCGGCGCGCCGCCTTGATTGGTTTCCCCTTAATCAAGCGCGTGTCTGACCAGGTATAAATACGCAATCTGTCCTGAACGAGAGTCTCTCTCTTTTCTTTTCCACCAGTAAAACCAGAGACGCTGCTTTAATCGCGTGTGTCGGCAGTAGACAGACCCTCCTCTTCTTCAAGTCTTCATCATGGTGGATCAGTTTGTTGGGACCTGGACTCTGATTGCCAGCGAGAACTTTGATGAATACATGAAGGCGATCGGTAGGTAGCTTAATTACTCTCTCCCGCTTGCGGGTTCGGTTGAATGATGCTTCAGGTGGAAGTGGTCTGCGTTGTGTTGAAGGTGTGGGACTCGCCACCCGGCAAATGGGCAACTTGGCAAAGCCGAACCTGGTCATCGGCGTGGACGAGGCCGGGCTCATTTCGATGAAGTCCGAAACTACGTTCAAGACCACGGAGTTCAAATTCAAGCTCAACGAGGAATGTGACGAGACCACCGCGGACGGCCGCACGACCAAGGTGGGTTCATCTCGCCCGCCTCCTCCAGTGCACTCCTTTTAAACGCGTGGCTTCTGACGGAGACGCGTGGCTTTTCAGACCCTCGTCACTCTGAAGGATGGCAAACTGGTGCAACAGCAGACGTGGGATGGAAAGACCACCACACTGGAACGAGAGATCCAAGGTGGAAACATGAGCGCTGTGAGTGATTTGGTTGATTTGAGCAACTGCTTCCAAAGTTTCGTTTTATTAAAAAAATATATTTATTTAGTTGATTAGACTAGGCTTAGGCTTGACTGATGTTTGCAATTTATCCTGGTGATGCTAGATTTCTAACGTTGGCTCATTGTCTCCACAGAAATGTGTCATGGATGACGTGGTTGCAGTGAGGACCTATGCAAAAAAAGCGTGATTAACCCGTTTAGACTGGCCCTTTACTATATGCCAAATGCTCTGAGCTATTGCCAATAAAGTCTGAACTCTGACACACTATGTGTAATGGTTTTGCATGATTGCATAAAATGTGTATATATCTTTGGGGTTAATGTAGTTTGACTTTTTAAAAAAAATAATTGGCCTACTTTTCTTTCAGTGCAGTGTTAACTGTACTGGGTACTTTTTTGTCTTGATGTCATCACATGCTTTGTTAAATCCCCACTGACTTTAGTGTTGAGCGTGATACAATAGCCAGTTAACAAAAAAATGCAACGGTATTTTCTAATCTCTAAAGCTTTTGGTCAGTGCTTAACAGCGGCTTTTGTAAAGCAAGCTAGTGCATTTGTTAATTAGGGTTCTTTGGGGCAGTGGGTTGATTCCCAAATTCTGACAGATTTAAGGATTAGTGAACTATGACCCACATGATGTTCTGTACTTTGGGTAATGTTCTACTCTACAAAAACTTATTTTCAAATTCACATAACTGAGGGGACTCTTCTCCTTAAACTTTAGATTTGTGAATACGCTCTCAGGATTTGGGGGTTGTGTGTGTGTGTGTGAGGTTTAGGCAGACCTCATTTGACATTTTACTCATTAAACCCAATGACCGCATGAGCTAAATTACTTTACTGCTGCTTGTGTTAGTGTACCATGTCCCATGGGTCATCGTGGCGCAGGGGTTAGAGAAGGTGTGCTGGGAAGTGGTTCGAGGCCTGGCAGCCCCATGTTCCATGTCGAAGTGTCCCTGAGCAAGACACCCAACCCCTAATTGCTCCCCAGGCAAAAATGAAAAAGCCAGTTTAATGTAAGTCGCTTTGGATAAAAGTGTCTGCTAAATGACCTGTAATGTAATAGTTTAGATGCATTAGATCTAATAGTTTTCACATGGCTAAACGTCTTCCTGCATTACTTTCTCTGAATTATTACACGATGGAAGTTTGCATCTGTTTTGCAGAAATACGTCCTCCTTGCGGTTGTCATTGGTAACAGCAGGCACTGACCGGACTGTACCATTCTACACTATTTTGGGGGTGGTCACCTTTTGACGTGATCGTCACCATAACCAAACTGGTGGGGATATTTTCAACCACATTTGCCCGATCGTCACGTTCACGCTACAGCGTTTCCGCAGGTGAAAATGAAATCACCGCGATGACGTCATCCGTCACGCGACGCCATCACCAAACATGGCGGACGAAGAGAACACAAACACGGGGGAAAATAACGAAAAGAACAAACCTCTGCGCAGCGCAGTCAAGCCGCTCGTCGACGGGGTCGCCCAGAGAATAGGCCACCGGAACAACGGCGAAGGCCCAAAAGACGCCGCCGAAAGCTGCACGACAACGGAGTACTGCGACAGGCTGCAGGGGTGGATGTGGCAGTACTACGCCGGACATGTCAACTGGCACAGCTGGATGAGCGCGTCGGCCATGTCCTACCCGTACTGTCTGCAGCCGGACGGTGGGACGCCGCTCGACGTTCACTTCCAGCACTGGCACGACGGCGCCTTCGGTCCTCCGCGGTCGACCTACCGGGCCGCGGGCCCCCCGCGGTCGGGTGAAGCCGCAGGCGGGGCTGCAGGTGTCGCTCAGCAGCAGAATGGAGACGCACAGAGACCAGGTAAATAAAGAAATAAAACAAAAATGGCTTATTAAAATAAAATAAACCTCCGGCGTGCCAGACCTCCAAGCTGCAAAGACCCAGTGTAGTTAAACAAAGATACAAGCTGCTATAGGTGGACTGAACTTCCTGCTTTAGGCCAGCGTTTGTTATTGTGTACGTTCAGGCTTCAGGACACGGTGTGCATACAAGTTACAGGTTACCGTCTTTATACCAATAGTCATACCAAACAATGCGAGAATAATAAGAGATGAACTGGATCAAAATAGGCTTTTTTTTTTGCTTTTCCCCAGGTCGAGAATATATAATTCCTTCACCTTTCCAAAGACTCCTGGCTGAGATTGTGGATTTCTTCATACTGTTTTTCATCAAAGCAACCATAATCATCACTATTATGCACCTGAGTGGAATCAAGTGAGTTTCTTTCATTTCTTTAGCGGTAATCTGTATGAAGAATCACCATTATTCAGAAATTTTTCACCCATTTTATATATTAAAAAAAACAAGTTAATTATATAAACTCTCTTGATATTAAGCAAATATTTCACGTTGCCTTTCAGGGATGTTTCCAAATTTGCCATGCATTTCATAGTGGAGGAAATAGACGAGGACACGTCAATGGAGGAGCTACAGAAAATGATGCTCGTTGCACTTGTGTATCGGATGTTAGTTTGTTTTTATGAGGTGAGCCCCCATGTAAAAGTTCTCCAGCTATTAACACGGGTAACAGTGGCCTCAACGTTAACTCCGCTGTTTCCGTCTAAAATGTGGAATGGCCCGTTGCAGTTAAGTGACAGCTCCCCTTCTCCCTTCAGATTGTGTGCATTTGGGGAGCAGGAGGAGCCACTCCGGGGAAGTTTCTCGTTGGACTCCGAGTCGTCAGATGTGACTCATCGGTTCTGGTTCAACCTAACAGGGTGCTCATCGTGCCAGCAACTAATGTCTCTCTGTCAGCGTGAGTAGTTCATTTTTAATGTTAGCATTCTGAATGAACGTGACCCAGTACCTCTTTCTCTCCTGTATGCATTGTAACCAGTCTCTGGTCTCCCTCCACAGATCAACGGTCCGAGCCTTGAACAAGAACTTTTCAATTGCCTTCTTTTTCCCGGCCTTCATCACCCTTCTGTTCTTTCAGCACAACAGGACTGTGTATGATATGGTAGCGGGTACGATTGTGGTCAAGCGCCCCAGGATCAGATGACGCAGAAGAACCCAGGTGAGGGTCTCTACGAAAATACTGAGGAAGCGCTGCACGTGGACCTCAGACATAAGCATTTCTAAGGTATTGTCAGAACTGAGGAGATTGCTCAGATGGTTGCAGACATTTTGATGCAAATCCGAAAGAACAATTTCAGTTCCCTACAACTTGTAGTTGGTTTGTTTTGGACACGTACTGTATTTCTGCATGTTTTTCTACATGCTACTTTCAGAAACAGTTTCTGTGCCAAATCGATGCCTCCTTCGAAGACAGGAACAAAGATGGTGTGTGGCACCATTTCATTAACACAACATTTGCCTCTTTTTAAACACTAAACTCATGGATAGTCTGCCGTATTAATCAGTATTGAAGTTGCTATTTATACCTTCAGTATGTCTTTGTATTAAAATATTGTCTACAGAATTATATACTCAGACTTTGTACTTTTGAGTGTGCACAAGTGATGCCTCATTAGAAAACAGCATGTGTGACTAAACAGTTAAAAGTATGACACATTTTGTGTAATTTAACTTTTTTTTTTTTTTGCATTTAGGAAGATTAAATGAAATCACCACTATTTCGTTGCATGTTTGAGGTGTGTCTTCTAGCAGCTTGTCTCCTGTTTGATAATCCGTACAATCTTTTGATACAAAATAAGTGGCCTCATGTGTAAAGGTTGTATTGACTCTTTATTGTGCAATTATATTTGCCTCGTAATTGGTATATTCGGTTCACATTCGAGCTATAGTTTCACGTTGTACGTTAACACCTTGGTAGGAAAACCATTCACATACCATAAAAAGTGGAAGAACAAATATGTGCAGAATCTGCCATGCGGGGCGGGAATGGTGACTGAACAGTTTGGTGAGTGACACCAAATGTCAATAATAAACCTTTGGCAGCTTGGACTGATATTTTTTTATTAAAAAAAAAAAAGGTATGTACATTTGTTTCAAAGCTATTGTATCATAAATGTAAATGTGCATTGAAGCTTCTCTGGAAACTTGTGGCACCGACTGCTTAAGATGTAATGATGTAGCGTGATGGATTTTCATTTGCTTTACCACCCACAGGCTTTCTATAAGTATTCCACGGTAGGTTTGAGCATTTGAACAAAACTCTTACTCCCTCAGAGCTTGTGAATAAACTCCACTCCCGATTTATTTAAGAAAGTGTGACGTGTGTTTTTTAGTTAAGTGTGAAATTGTAAAGAATGTTGTATAACAGACGACAGTCATCCCTTTCTTCTAGCTAGAGAAGTTTGGCTCCACCCGCTGAACGTTTGCGGGTCATATTGACGTCACTCTGGGTTGATGCATCACGTCGAATCCGCCCACGGAACCGTTACCCGCAACAAAAAATGTGTCCATGTGACCTTCTAAGTTATCGATGAGAGTAAATGAAGCCTCAACTGGTTGTCCAGATTGTACAATACACTGAGGGACAGCCTGAATAGACTTAAGACATTTGTCTTTTCTGGCGCGCCACCTTTACTCGGACAGGACTGTTGAAGCTCCAACTGTCTGTGTTAACGTGGTGATTGAGTTAGTGGGTTATGCCCCCTAAGTGGCAGCTTCATCTGACACCCACAGATGGTGCTCCCAGATTACAGAGCAACCCCCCCCCACCACCACACACACACACACACACACACACACACACACATGCTGTCATGCACCATGCCATTACTGCAGGCAATGGAATAATATCAACTCATGTTGTAAAGCAGGGGTCTCAAACTCGCGGCCCGCGGGCCAATTGCGGCCCTCGGGACGATATTTTGTGGCCCCATCCTTAATATGAAAGTGTAATGTTAGTGCGGCCCGCAAGTTTTATGCTGTAACCCCACTGTCAGCTGCTGTGTGGGACATGTTATGATGTTCTGGTTTCCTACTGTGTGCTTGTCCAGTGAACGTGGCATGCATGTGACTGACATGGGGGGCGGGTCGTGTGTGTCGGCCGAGGTGCAGAGAGCAGGAGGGTGAAATTCAGTTTCCTGCCCTCTTTCGCGCAGGTGATCATGTGACTAACCGTTAGCATCGCTGGTTTAATAAAGCTTCCACTCTTTATTACAGGGGTCTCAAACTCCGGTGTGGCAGACCGCCGCGGGGGGTGGGGTACCGACTTTGGCGTACCCCACCCCCCGTCGACCATGCCATTTCGACGCTAGTCTGGCCCGCGTTCGGTTGAAGTGGGCTGCATCTGGCCCGCAGCTGATTTGAGTTTGAGACCCCTGTTGTAAAGGGTTTCAAAGAGGAACAGTGTGAGCAAACACTACCCAGTGCCTCCATAGCACTGTACACGGATGAGTGAGTCTGTTTGGAGTTGAGGCAAGTTCATAATCTATATTTGTGTCGATGCGATATGGAAGGAGGATTTCAGAAAAGCCCAAGGGAACAATTATCAACAAGTATGAGAGGCCGTAGTGTGAAACTGCTTAATGTTGCAATAAACCTCACAACCCTGATGTAGTGAGTTTCATCCGTTATTATTAAAACGCAAATTGTTTATTTTTTATTTATATAGGAATTGCCAGGAATTGATTCCTTTTATTCCCATTGACTGTAAAAAGGGTTACAGCTTAATTTGTTCTTTTTAAAATTATATTCCACCGTAGATTGAGGTAATAACGGGTGAAAAGTTTGACAAATGTAGTGATTTGCTGTCACGTGGCGGACCACACATCATCGTGTGCGTGTGTGTGTGTGTGGTGTCCAGCCCAGCTTGTGTCTCTTTTAACGAGGGAGTCATCTACAGGCGGCACGAAGGGCTCCCAGCTTTCTCTGGCAGTCCAAGCTCAACTGGAATGTGAGATATTCTCAAACAATTTGTGTTCTTAAAATCATTATTCATTCATATGTATGTACTGGCAGCTGACACAAAATACACACACACACACACACACAGCAGGCTGCATGTTTTATTCAAGTCGTGGAAAAGGTGCTGTGAACTGAGAGCTGCACGGCGTTGTCGTTTCCTCCCAGCGTGTCTCTGCCGGATGGTATTTCGGTAATTACAGGCTGGACGGGCTGTTGATGAAGAGGAGACCTGTTGACGGGAGGAAAACCACCGCCTGCTCCAAAACAAGTAACGTCACGGGGACAAACGCATAACTGCGCACGTTTGTACATATTTTAAATTTGTCATGCTTACAGACTAAATGCCCTTGAATTAACAATGTTAATTGATACTTTTTATTTAAAACAGTCTGCACTAAAACTATTATTAGGGGTCAGTGGGTAATGTTGAGTATTTTTCATTTTTGCTGAGTGAAGTGGTCACATTGGGTTTTTGGAAGGGAAGAGAGACGTCTTGTCTGATGTACTTTTGTGTTGTACTGTTGTATGTTTTCCAAAATTAGTAAAGGAAAATGTGATGCATATTGTGAAAAACATTGATCCATTGATGTAATGAGGTAAGAAATAGGACAGTCAATAGATGGGTCACACTTTTATATTATTTCTTTAGATATCAACTAAGCCAATTTAAACTGTATGGTTCAAAATGCCTGTAGTTTATGAGTGTAATAATTTATCGAATAGTGAATAAATAAGCCTCAGATACAAACAACTTTCTTATAACCAAAATATCATCCATATTGTGCTGGAGGTCAATTTTCTGGTATAGTATGAATATGAGGAGAGTACAAGCTGAGTGATGTAGAAGTCAAATAGAGACTGTGAGTGTGTATATGTGTTCCCCATAGCATTCACACTAATTGAATTGACTAATGACATAACATTACGTTTCTAGGTTTTCTTGTTTTTGAATACAGTAGATTTCTGCATAAGATGCTTAGAAAAGCTTGAGTTGTCAAGACAACCGTGGAGCCTGCAGAGACGTCACACACTGCCCTCTGCTGTGTGAACCAGGCTTTCACGGGGGTTACCGAGTTCACTGAGGTCATCTAGATTTTTGGTTCCTAAATTGATAACTGAAATCCGGCTCTTATGAAAGAGGAGCATGGGCCCATGTTGCTTATTCGTGACTTGTACTCTGTAATGACGTACATGCTGTAAAATTGAAATGAATATTGATATTATTAAAGGAGTTTTCTCAGTCTCTTTCCATTAAAACCACCCAGCAAATACTTATTTTAGCTATTCTCCTAAACACCAGCCATGCTTTAGGCTTCCTGACTGCATAAACTGCTTGGTGTTTTTTTTTTGTCGCCCCATTGGATGTTTTTCTGATTGATATAGTTTATATGTTTAAACAAACTCTATTGAGTTCCTCCTCCACAAATCACACCCACGCAATCCTTTAGTTGCCTAAACTATGTTCTGGGATGTGCGTAAGCAGCGGCTTGCTATTTTCAGCTGAATGAAAAGTGTCCTGGCATTTTGACTCAGGAAAAAATCGGTTTTGTTATGCTGAATTTGGCTTTCAGCACATGCACATTATGACGCAACAGAGTCAGGTACCTTAGTTCAATGTGGACCTAAAGTTAAACCATAATCTACTGAGAAGCAACACGAATCATTGCAATGAGAGAAATGTGTCATTTTTTGGCTGGTTCCTGTTTGTAAGACGCCCTATGATGATAATGTTTGACGGTACAGGTCGGAAAAACTATGCTGTGCCTCAACTATGAATCACACTAATTAAAACATTAGGAAAAAATATTCCCTCATCTTCAAACTTGTCACTTCTAATTGTTAGTACCTACTAATTTGTATCTGTCTCTGTAGATAATCATTTCCTGCACCATCATCATTCAACACCATGATGTATTGTAACCTTAAGATAAATAGAACACTAGCTACCTTCTTATTAGAAAAATACCAGGACAGCATCTTTTCAGAGTTTTGACCCCTTGCATATAAATCATTCAATGTTTAGACATTGTTCTCTCCTCAAGGTCATTTGAACTCACAGGTAGCACTCAACACAGTCACTGACAATCTATTTTCTTAATTTTACACCCAAAGTTCACCAATCAAAACAATGGAGCCATGTTTTACCTCCAGCGTGCGCCCAAATAGAGCGGTGAGGTCACTATCGCCTGCCCGTAGGATTCGCCGTCCCTTCAATCTTTTCATCGACTGCAGAATTCACTGGCTTTCAATAGGCTCTTTCAGCGTGTCATGCTACACCACTATTGAGCCACAGCCACGTTGCCACCCATCTCTGTTAATGGGGACTTGAGACTGTGGAGCTACCCTGTTGCCATGGCAGCAAGGGCTTTCACATTCTCCCCACATAGCGCGGAGTGTGCATGTTGTTCCCTCCATTCGGGAGCTGCTCTCAGACAGAACCGAGCCAAGGTTATTCGCCTCCCGGTCTGATACCAGATGCCCTCTCGATCCAACCGCCCACTCACCCGCTTTCCATTGTCTTTATTACTAATGCATGGTATTTTCCCCCATTGGCGGCTTTGGGTATCTATGTACAGTCCAGTGGTCCACTCTCAAGTCACTAAACTTCACACCCGGCGTAGTGTTTAAGATTAACTCTGAGTCAATTAACGTTATGTTAAGAAGAAGCATTAATAAAATGAGTCTTTTTCAGATGGCGGAGTAAGCCAGAATGAGAAAGAAAACCACCCAAAAGGGTTAATACAACCTTCACAAATGTTATTACGAGTTTGTAAGCTAAAGTGGGAGAGATCACATGGTTGTCAGGTCATTATTGCCAGAGGTCACGTTGGCGTGATGATGATTTCATTTAAGCGACATGGCCGCGAGTCTTTCATCCAGCTCGTTTTAACGTATAAATCCTCACAGACTCATAATGCATGCTGCATAAGTGCGGCGGTTTCTGCTCCTTGGCTTGAACAAATGTTCCCGGGTAATGTGCTTGTAAAATGCATAGTTTGCAATATGTCTGCGTCATGCGTCGATGCAAACGCACGTCCCACATCCCACATTCTTGGCCTTGCTGTGCACATGAGGACTAGCGTTTCATGTCTGGACATGTCTGCTGAGAGGAGGACTCGGTCCCTCATCGGGAGCTGATGGGGAAAATGCACAACACAGAGTTGGTAATGGCGCTTGCAGGATAGTTAGACGGGCACTGAGCAGTTTCAAAGGTAATGCCACTATTCTATTTACAGTTTTGGTTAAAAAAAAAAGCTTCACCGGGAAATCAAAGTCTAAACTGTGTGAGATGCTTTTCCTGTTGTTTAAAAGGCTGCTGTTAAAGAGTATCAGTTACTCCTGTGCATGACACCAAATGTGGATTTGCTGATTCTATCGTACTACAGCTCTTCAGGATCATCAGATTTCAGTACTTTATGTTTGTAAGAGGACATGGATCGTATTTAGCTCGGAGCACTCCCTCTCATTAAGTGTGCAGCATGCAGAAGAGTGGACCATCTCACCGTGTGGGCTGAGAGGAAATGAGTACTACAGGCCAACAGAACCCTCCGTCAGGTGGCACCACAATAATAAGCATCCAACAATATTCAGTAGTATCTGAACAACTGTCAACAAAGAGTAAATATGCCTGATCCTGTTGGATAACGTAGGCGTACAAAATTGTACTTTACTGCAGAGGTTTGAGGGGGTTCAGGTTCATGTGGATCAACACTTCATTGTTTGGGAGTACAGTCACTATGAGGGGTTTTCACTAAATATAGCTGGACCAAAAAAATTTCCATCGAACAGACAGGGCAGAATCGGACGATGATCGACGTTGTGCCTTTTGGTAATGTCATGATCTGAGGGTCAGTGTCACAGTGGAGGTGCTATTTAGTCACTATCGCACATACTCCCCCCTTCGGCGATGCACAGAACACCCAGTGAAGAGCCTCTTTTGGCATAATGCTGTTCACTGGGCTTGTTGTCGTAATTCACTGGGCTTGAGTGTTCCCTCCGGTCTGGAGTCCAGGGGAAAGAGGGCCCTGCCACCTGCTGAAGAGCAGATAGGGGGGGGGGTCTCTAGGGGGAGAGATGAGGAGGCAGAGACCCGAGGAGGAGATGGCAGGTTGGTTTGAGTCACTTTGCATGTGGAATGGAGGTTGAGACTCCTAATTGTCGGAGCAGCTCGCAGGGCAGATTAGGAAGAGATTTGTCTCTGCAGGGGAAAATGCACACGGACACGAACCAGAAGGGAAGGAAGGAAGGAAACACATCACAACAGCTTTGATTCACTAACACGCGGAGCGATGGAATCCCTCTGACGGCTCGGGTGCGTGCATATGTGTTGTGTCCATGCACCTCCACGCCAGTGTGAATATCCCACAGCTATTCACATACGTGCAGTATGTCCGTCTGAGAAAACGCTCTCGCTCTCTCTCTCTCTCTCTCTCTCTCTCTCTCTCTCTCCCTCCCTCGCTCCGTCTGTTGCTCTCTCCCCCCTCCTCCCCTCTGTGTGTGAGCGTAGACTGGGCACTGAGCCAAGTGGAGTGCGTTTTTTTTGAATGAATACCTGATGCGGCTGATGAGGCTGGCTGGGGGGGGGGAGGAGCCGTCAGTGGAGTACCGAGAGAGAGAGAGAGAATGAGGAGGGAGGGGGAGATGAGAAGCAGAGAGGGAGGGAGGGAGAGTGAAGCAGAGCCCGGCAGAGAGGGAGCTGGCTCTTCTGGTGGCCTTGCATAAGGCGCGTTGGAGCAGCAGCGGCCCTTGGACGCGGGACTCGCACCGCGCGCGCGTGAGCCTCCGCAGCGGGAGGGAACTTCCTCCGCCGGCGGCCCGCCGAGGGCGCAGCGTGGCCCCGCGAGCCGGAGAGAGACCGCGGAGAGGGAGGCATAGCTGGAGCAGCTCGGGCTCCGGGGAGGGGGGCAGAGCCGCACAAAGGAGAGATCCAGGAAGAGGACTCCTAGGAAACACGTCTGCAACACACAAACAGACACACACGCACACGCACACTCAGGAAGAATCCTTGGACATGCTCTGCAAGCAGTGGCTGTGGAGAAACTGGTGAGCTATTCTTAGTACTCTAACCAGAGGGGGGCGGGGGGGTCTTTTCCTTTTGATTTGTTGCACAGTAGTATTTTTTTGTTCTGCCGTACTACTACACTCGTGCGCTGTGACTGTCACTCTGAAGCCCCCCCGGGGGGCCGCGCGCTCACAGCGTCTCTCGAGTCACGGCTGTGAGATTTAACAGCATTGACCCTGTTTGGTCGTGTCCGAGGGACGGGGGGACGGGAGGGGGGGACGCCCGCTCTGCTTGTATACTGTTCGATCGGTGCGTGTGTGTGTGTGTGTGTGTGTGTGTGTGTGTGTGTGTGTGTGTGTGTGTGTGTGTGTGTGTGTGTGTGTGTGTGTGTGTGTGCGCATCGGGCAGTGATGCAGAACTCTGGAGTCATTGTGAAGACAAACAGCCTGAACCGCTGCCTGTTCTTTCTGTCTGCTTTAGTCTGCCACACGGCTGGTCCGCCTCTTAAAGGCACATCGCACCCACTGTTGTCCAAGCAGGGCAGGAAAATGGCTCTTTGGGGAATTACAGAGAGCAGCCCACTGTATTGATCTGCTACGTGGTTAAAGCGGAGACATGTTTGCAAGCGTGTTGAGGAGACGTCCTGTTTATTTGCAGCAAAACACGCATACATGCACATGCTTATGGTTTTTCCTCAGTACCTCCCCCCTCTGTTTAAAGCCAGCGCTCAGATTAATAATGATGTTTTTGTTTTCTATATATAGACATCTGCTACTCGGAGTATTCCCTTTGTATCTATTACTGGTCTACCAGTAAAACACTCATTTATGGTAGTATCGACACTACCAATGCGTTTGCCTTTTGCATGAATCTTCTTTTGCCTCCCGGCATCATCCTGCTGCAGAGTAATGTTATTACTTTGAAACCGTGTGGATCAACGCGATGGGTAAATAGCGAGAGAGAAGATTCATTGCACGGGCGGAAGGAGTCAAGGTGGGGGACCGCAGGAGCTGGTGACTGCTGCGTAAAAAAAGAGGGGATCTCACCTGGAGACAACAGAGGAGGAGGAGGCTGAATGAAAACATGTCATCCGCTCTCCTGACCGACCGCCCATTGATGCCAGACAAACGGCGCTGTGTGCGCCTATTCCTCTGGTTTGTGCAGATTTTTTTTGTTTTCTAAGTATGAAAGAGGATCACATGCAAGGCTGGCTCAACCGCGTGTGCTGTGAGTCCGTGTGATGACGCTCCCGGGGGACCGTCCTGGGCCCGGGGACCGTCTCACCGCTCCTGTGCTCTGTGACTCTGGTTTGACAGTCACGTCTTAAAAGCTTAAAAGGTTCTGCATGGTATCACATCGGCCTTGTGTTTGTTGGTGTCAGTATTCTAATAATAGATGCTTAAAAAAAAAGTGGTTGGGCTGTTGGCTGCTACACTGTGTGTGTGTGTGTGTGTGTTACACTATGTGCAGCGAGTGCTGTGTACAGGTCACATGAGGAAAGAGTATTAAAGAGCATCCCGTTTTCTGCGCCGTCTGTAAATGAGATAACGCTGGCTTTGTCTCCCAATGCTGCTGTGGTCACAGGAGGTACTCGGGCTTCAGATGTGATGTCATCACAGTGTTGACACGGTGTTGCCGAGGTGGGGTTGGTTGCCACGGAGCAATGCTGCACAGCGTAGCTCGGGCTGTGGCAGCGGCCGTGTTGCTGATCAGGAATCTCTCGGCGTGGCGGGGGCTACGGCGCTCCGATGCTGCAGGCACAGCTCAATGTGGGTCAGGAGAAGCAGCACTCTGTCTTCTCCCCGTTCTCTCTCCCTCTTTATCGTTCCTAATCTGTCCCTCCCCCTTCCACCTCCCTCTTAGTCCCTTTTTCTGTCATCTTACGTTGCCTTTCTCCCTCTCCTCCCGCTCCTCTTTCGGATCATCTCCAGTTCCGCCGCTCTCCCCCCTTTGTCACATCTGGTGGTTCCACCGGGCCGTGTCGTTAGACAAATTGCACAGAGGGTTTTGTTACTTTTGGATCCAGTGACCTTGTCAAAGCCAGCGCCAGAGGTAGCTGCGTCTAACCAGAAACCGACCAAGGTCGCCTCCCGTGTTTTCTGTCTTTATGTAACATGTCTGCTGTGGTGAACCTCCTCTGAAATATAAAAATACAATTCAGCACTGTCAAATAGCCCGGCACATCTGAATGGCGTGAAGGGGTGGACGTGGGAGTTTGTGTCTATGGTGCTTCTGGCTAATCACCAACCAAGAGTCATGTCCATTGACCCCCAGACGAGCCCGCAGGAAGGAACGAAGAGCACCAGCTGACGACGAGCAACATGCTCCCGTTGTTGAATTAACACATGGTTTGTGTTGTCTTGTGTGGGCGTGTTAAGCTACGCGAGCGTATCAATCTACAGTTGAGTCTACAAGACGGTGTGTCGGGCCCGCGTTGCAGTGAAACATTGATACCGTTGACGTTACCTTTTCACTAATACGTCACAAGTTCCTCTCACCTCTGCATCTCTCGCCCAGAATAAAGAGCCTTTGTCGTTCCTTATTTAACTCACCCGTCAGCCCGTCTCTCACCGGAACAAACTCCAGGACCCACTCGTTCATTGTTTGCTCTCCACTTTGTGTTCCCTTGAACTTTGGATCAGCCCTCAAACTTGGGCAAAGCGGAAAGCCATTATTAGAATATTTTGGTACCCATTCACGCTTCTCGCTCAATGTTCCATGATCCAAGACATTTTGTTTCCACTTCATTTTTCCGATCAGCCCACTGACCCAGAGTTCCTGTCTGGAGGTGGATGTTATATTTACTGGAGCCCCACTGGCTCAACGCAAGACATTGTTAAAACAAAGACAAAAAAACACAAGCTCCTCTGAAGCTGTTGTCCACTCTGCTTTCTCACCCGAGAGCCTGGAGTAAGATAGCAGCCGACGCAATGCTCACACGCATGGACACACAAACCCGAGACACACAAACAGCGCAGCTCAGGGAACTCCTGCTTATTGAAACACGAAAGAGCTTTTTTCCATGTTATGTAAATGAAGCCACAACGCTGCACTGTGCTTTCTTGTATGTGCTGTTGCTCATGGAAATGCCGGTGGAGTTTTGACAGATTGTTCCACATTGAGGGGCATCTTCAGAGGTTTAGCACGGAGACATTTGTACAGAATAGCACTTGTTGTGATTTAAGTGCATTAGACCAACACAAATCAGATGCAGTCATTTGAAAAGGTTCCACCTTGTGGCAAAGCAAAAAACGACACCTCCACAAACGTGGAAGCAGTGACATCTCTATGAGTGAAGCATTTCTTAGAGTTACTTTTCTTTTGTGTCCTGCATTTGCAGACCTGCAGGAACCTTTTGTGATGGTTCACAGACACCAGCTTACTGAGCCAGTTCTGCAGCGCAATAAGACATTTTACCTTTTCCACGTTTTAAATAGAATTTCAAGTTTATTTCTATAGCAAAAAATTCCAAAGCAGGCCTGAAAAGGGTTAAAAATCTAAACAGCATAAGATTTGGACTCAATTTCATTTTCTGTTACCTGACTGTCTGTCTGGGCTTTTCTCCCCATCAGATTCCTGCCGGCATTGTGGAGGAGGTGGACCGGTCCGAGATGATTCCTCATGAAGTCTATGTAGCTCATTTTGTGAGCCGGAATGACTCCAGCTTCTCCGGTCTGAGACCTGGAGCCGTCTACCAGTGAACACCAAGAGCCACACTGTGAGGCAGAACGTTGTACCTAACCAGTGGAGCGGAGGCGGTAAACAAAGAAACACCTAGAACAACTTAGTATCACCAACTGGGAATAGTAACACCGCACTAACACAATGAAATCCAACCAGGAGCGAAGCAATGGATGTCTGCCGCCTAAGAAGCGCGAGATCCTGGCTCTGGAGCAGAGGCCAGTGGTCGTTGCCGCAGCAACGCCTCCAGCTGTGTTGGTTGCCGATAGTCCGCACACGGAGAACCTAGCGTGGCTCGCAAGTGTAGCCAGTGAACGCTGCAAATTCAGGGACGCGGAGAGCCCGAGGTGTCCCACCTCCTCCACCCCCATCCCCTCTTCTACACCCTCCACTTCGGTGTCCTGCTCGGCCACTCCTCTGTCTGCGATGCCCCTGGCCTCTCCGCCCGCAGTTTACCCCACGACCCTTCACCAGCAGGCCGGGACTATACAGTTTGCTCAGCTGGGACCCAACGTTCAGTTCATCAGCTCCGGGCCCTATGCCGGCTACATTTCCTCTCACATCATCGCCGCCAATGCCGGCTCTGCGCCCCACAGCTCCACCTTAGCACAGCGTCCCCAGTTGGACGGCTACACCGCGGCCCTCATCTCCCCCGGCGCCAAAGGGGAGCAGCAGTTTCAAATAGGCCTCTCTCCTACAGAACTGACTCCTGTGTCGCTTGCTGGCTCTCCCCACGTCACGAGCCAGTACATTCACCTGGACAACCGAACGCCTCTGGCTGTAAGCGGAAACGCCATCACTTCCCCCACGGGCCACCTCCAGCTACACCCCCACGCAGCGGTCCTCCCTCAGACGCTCACCATCGCCCCCTCCCAGCTTCTGGTGCAGTACGCGGATGGTTCAATTGGTAAAAAACCAGAGGGGCATGCTAAGGCGGTGCTGAATGGGGAATCAGAGGTGGTCAAACATACTAAATCACTCAATCATCAACTGAGCCATCAGCAGGTCCAGAGCTATGAGGCCAGACATATCCTCTTGCCTGCAGACTACGGCCAAAACCCCTCAGGACTCCAGACCTCCTTGGTGCTGTTGGCCCACCCCAACCACGGAGCCGAACACGAAACTGCCTCAAATAAGTTCTCCTTTGTCCAGACTGAGAAAGGAGGCATCTGTTTGGGGAAACCGGTGTCGAGATCGTCCTCCTTCACGTCACTCTCTTCCTCCGATGTGGTTAAGTCTGTTGCTCCTCATACGGTCATCCAGACCTCTCTACCCCACGAGGAGCTGCCGAGCAGTCTCTACTCCTCCACACAGCCGCCCATCATTGGCTACATCACCAGTACGAATCAGCACGCCGTCAGTTACCACGCCGCCATGCCTCAGCACCTGGTTATCCCCAGCGGCCAGTCCCTCCTCATCCCAGTCAGCGGCACCAACAACGGCAGAGAATTTGAGGTCAGTCGTACCGCCAGCGCCCCGAACGCCACGACTACCCCTCAAATATCCACCGCCATGCCGCACGCCTATCTGGCGACCGCCCTGTCCAAGTGCGAGGCGCTCGAGCTGGATGGAAATCAACCGCCCCCGGCTGTGGCCCAGGCGCCGGTGGTGCCCGTCCAGCCCTCACACCCGGCCCCCGCGGTGGTGGCAGCTCCCTCCCCGACTCCCGCTCCCGTCCCCAGTCCCACCCCGGCTTCCGTCCAAGCCTCCCACTCTATCTCCCCGCCCTCGTCCCCTGTTTCGCTTCCCCCGTTCTTCATGCGAGGATCCATCATCCAGCTGGCCGATGGAGAGCTGAAGCGCGTGGAGGACTTGAAGACGGAGGACTTCATTCAGAGTGCGGAGATTAGTAGTGAGCTGAAGATCGATTCCAGCACTGTTGAGCGTATTGATAGTGGACAGACTCCCAATGCTGTGGTGATACAGTTTTCTGTGGGGGAGCTCAAAGCCCAGGTAGGTTATTTCTCATTCTTGTGTGGTACATCCTTGAATCTTTGGTGCCAGTGATGGTATAAAAAAGGAACCGCGAGTCAAGGAGTCAATTGAATTCTGCACTCTATATAATTTCAATAGAAGGGATTGAAAAAAAGAACGGGATCCACTTGTGTTGAGCGCAATTGATCTCCATTTGTGCTCACTGGGGTCATCAATTAAGCCCTCAGCTGCAAAATAAAAATCCATGTCATTTATCTTCGATGCACAACTGAGAGATTGAGAACAGTCCTTTTCCATCATCATTATTTTCAAATCATTATGTTCCAGCCTGCCGGTTGTTTCCCAGCAGCACCACTGGTCCCTCCTGTGTCCAAGCACCAAAATATAGCATTTAATTGTGCAGACTTTGGCTTTAGAAAGGCAAAAAGCAATTACTTTAACAGATAAAAAATAGAGAAATGTGAACTTAAGTTTAAAGAGCAGATTTTCAGCAAGGCAACGGTGCATCAATGTGAACAACATTGGAGGAATTACAGCACATCCGCAAACCTCTTAAATGCTGCAACAAATTGGTCATAACCATCCATCCATTTTCAACCGCTTATCCGGGGTCGGGTCTCGGGGGCAACAGCTCCAGCAGGGGACCCCAAACTTCCCTTTCCCGGGCCACATCTACCAGCTCTGACTGGGGGATCCCAAGGCGTTCCCAGGCCAGTGCAGAGATATAATCTCTCCACCTAGTCATAACTTGGTCATAACTTCAGGGGCAATTGCAGTAAATAATCTATTTGAGTCAGTATCGGCCTCAAGTGCCATATCTGTAGCTGAGCAGCGCTAGTCTGTGAAGGGCTGTGGAGGTCGACTTGATTCTCAAGGCTGATAACATTGTTGATACTTTGGGGTAAATGAAGAAGACGTTTTAACAGGAATTCATAATGAAATATAACATTTTTTTAATATGGACTGGTTTGATTTGGTTATTAACGACTTTTTATAAAAGACAACTCTAGGGCTGGCCCCTTTGTGGTCAAATGGTGACATTATTTAAAAATCTTAAATATATGGTTGTAATTTCTGGACAGCAATGTGGTACTCTTGATAGACATATCGACATATTGGCCGCTACTGATGTCTGTGATAAGCTATGGTTATAATTGCTGTGCCAATAATGACTTAATGATGAAAAAAGCTAAATTTAGTTTCCCTAAATCCTGCTACGTGAAAATGTTTAGTCACACTGGTTTCATGTGTGACCGGAATGGTCACACTCTGCAGCCCTTCGACAGAACCATTTCTAAGATGCATAATCCTTAAACCGATTTGCACATAGGGGCTTTATGCAGATGGGTTTGTTTTTATAAATCCTCCACAAATATTTCCGCCTGTATCCAGCTAAAAGCTAACAGTGCATGTGCTCCTCTCCAGGTGTGTGTGGAGGTGCTGGGGGAGTATCCCTTCTTCGTATTTGGCCAGGGCTGGTCATCCTGCTGCCCAGACAGGACCACCCAGCTGTTTGAGCTGTCCTGTGCCAAGTTGTGTGTCGGGGATGTGTGCGTGTCGCTGACCCTCCGCGGCATGAGGACCGCTTCAGTGACAGACAGCCGGTTCTTGGAGACCAAGCTGAAGACCGGTCACTTCTCTGACTCCTGTCACACTGTGGATGCTACCGTCAAAATCGCCGGCAGTCCAAATGCTGCAGGCAGAAAGAGTGGGCTCCTCATGAAGGCTTCCAGCGCAGACAGGCTGGAGAGGGAGCAGGTTGCTGGACCAGGACCCGGACTAGAGCCACCACCAGGATTGGGAGTAGTTCTGGGCCCGGGAGAGAGGATCTACGGAGCCGGACCAATACTAGCAGTCTCTGGGACTGTAGAAGTGGGACAGGAATCGGTGAAAACGGACATGCCTGCTCTTACCAAAATACAATGCGGTGATCCAGAGAGACACGCCGTCCGCAAGAGACGCTGGTCCGCTCCAGAGCGGGACCAGACTGAACGAGCGGAGGAGGAGCCTCCTCTGACTCTGCCCAAACCGTCCTTCATCACTCAGGAGGTTAAAATCAGCATAGAGGGCCACTCCAGTGTAGGGAGTGAAACGTGCTTGAATAAAAGAATAGACTGTTGAGAGAACTTCACGGAATTTTGATTACCTGTGGTTTGCTTTGTGTTTAGTCCCTCTCTTTCCAGACTACTGTAATATAGGCTGAGTTTGGACAGTATTTACATGTTTACTTTCCTTTCACACAAGTCCGATACCGACAATGAAGTACGGTAGAGCACCTTCAAAAGTGGTATCAAACACGAGGTCAGTGCAATCATTGCTTGAAGCAAAACTGAATGCAGCGTAAATGTTGAGCATGAATGGAAGTCAAGACACCGAAGGGACTTTTGCTTCGCGAGTCACACATTGTGAGCTCATTCTCATTTGTCACGTGGCAGTCGACCATTCCTCTCATCCCGTAAACAAGCACAGACCCCGAAGTCAGCGTGCACAAAGTGGGTATGCACATTTTGATCATTAGTATTTGGTTTGCAGTGATGTTTATGGGCCGCTAAAGTCAGCAACCCATCCAGAGAGACCGTGTTTCAATGACAATGCTCAACCACCATGCCTGTGATCTTTGCTGCCTTGTGTTTCTCATGAAGTTTTATTTAATTATAGTCTTTTCATTTCCATGCTATTGCAGATGTGTGCGCTGCAGGTGTCTTGAGCCCGTTTTCTCTATCTGTGTGTGTGTGTGTGTGTGTGTTTCAGATGGAGCACAGAATTGAGGTGTGTGTAAGTGGCTGTAGCTGTTAGCTTAGTTGTCAATACAACCTGCGAAAAGGCCTGAATGTAAGTCACTGAATTAGTCCTCAATCAATCATTTGATAGCATTGCTTTGCAAAGTGTGGGAGACCGCAGTTGCTCGTGGGTTCATTTGTCTCTCACCCTCTCTGTACCTTCATAGTTCAGAAGTCTACAATTCCTTTCGAAGACAGCCTGTGTTACTTGTTAATATCTATTTTAACCCTACTATTTTGCAGCATTTCAAATCTGCACAAACAAACTAGACGCACTGCTGACATATTATACTATCTAGATTTGATATGGCGAACTTACCAAACAATTGAGCAGTTAAACCGCAGCCACACAGATCAGCTTTCATTTAATGTCATCTTTCAGTCCGTCTGATGAATGTTAGTCCAGTTCACGCTTCTTGCTGCTCTGCTTTGGTCTCAACCGGTTCCTCAGGGAAATCTCTGACCCTTGAGTTGATTAATTGTCCATCCTGGTCTACAGCTACATTCTAGATTTGGTTTGAATTCATTAAAGAGCCTTTCACTTTCTACCTCTTGCTCCTCTTGCACCTCAAATCCACCCCGGTGAGCGAACATTAAGGGAGGTGCAGGACATTAAATCAAAACATTGAGCTGAGAGTAAGTAAATATGGGACGACATTTACTTATTGAGGGAAAAAATGATATCTCCCCTTTCTGTCATCTTACCCAATTCATATACCTAGTTCACAGCATCGCATGTTGATAAGAGTTTGCCCATATAAATCTATTTTCTGCAACGATTGCATGCCTTTCTTAAATCCATACCTGAATATCCTACAGTTCATACTCAGGAACAGTGTGCATCCGTAAGTGTGTGTGTGTGTGTGTGTGTGTGTGTGTACTTGTGTGTGTTGGTCTGGGACAGATGGTGTTTGTCCAGAGTCAGTGTGTGTGTGTGTCCTGAGCAGCAGCACTTTGATCAAGCATCCAGCTCGAGTGAGGGTTTGTGCGCCTGTTCCTCGGCTTTTAGACGAAAATAATAAACTGACTGTTTTTCATCCGTCCCACAGGTTTATCATTGAGAGAAAACATTATATACCAGAGCAGGGAATGTAAACACACATCGGCCAAACTATCTCAACTTTATTTTTGATGAAAGAGAGTTGTGGAGCCAGTGAGAATTGATCATGTACAGTAAATTGTATTCTAGAGCGAGAGTGTGTGTGTGTGTTTGTGTACGTGCATAGATATTCTAACCCTTATGTTGCCTCTGTACTGTTTGTGCCACAGCGCCTCCTTCTTAGATCATTCCATTAACTCAACAGTATTAGGTGGTCCTGCTATTGTTTCAATCAGTTCAGGTATTGATCTAATGTTTATGAATGTGCAGTTCTTTGGAAACATTTACAAACATTTGGCCTCCTCAGAATAGAATTTAACTTTCACACCGTAACATGTAGTATGCGAACTGCAATTCATAATAAGAGCCATTAGGTTTTATTGTAAACCCAGTAACCAGACTGTTCCCTTCTGTTTGTGTTTGACTGCTCAGGCTTGACACTGCCCAGTGACTGTTCTTCACCAAAACGATCTCTTATATTCTTCACTGTTACAAATTAGAGGCTTTGTAGTAATTTCTTTCCTCAATAACCTGGCATGCATTTTTTATTGGTTTTTTAAACCATTTTTTTTTAATTCAAATTTAAAGACCTCAAACGACATCCTAACATAAATCTTTGAAATCTAGAATTTATGCGTAAAGGTAATTGTTAGAAATACACATTGTATTCTTGCTGAATTTGAGGTTACTCTTCAGCAAGAAAGCAAATAAACACATTTCCCAAAATGTTTCTTAAAAGCCCTACACACCCTGAAAATTGTTTGCTCATAAATATGCTGGAGCTGGGCCACTTACAGTTTGTAAAAGCCTTTCTAAATAATGTTGAATATGGTGTATAAACACCACTTTGGGGGATCTATGGAATTGCACTTTGTTATGTGGGGTGGGGGTTATTATAACTAATACACAGAAGTAATGTACAGCATGTCTGAGAGAAACTGTACTCCATCAGTACAGCACCTCAGTGATTTGTAAATAGCCAAAGTCTTCCATTAAAATGGTGGTATGACCTTGCAGACCGCCCAGAGGATAAACAATGAATCCGATGTACAGACCTTTTGAAGTGAAGTTTAATTTAATAATTATGTCATTTATTTGAAAGAAATACTGAATATAGCGTCACCTAATATAATTTCTTTCGCACCAGCTAAAAAAACAGGAAATTAGGGGAGTAAAAGACTTTTAAAGAAAGTACTTTGTAAATCTGTCTGTTTGTTCAATAAATCTCAGCCAAGATGCAGTGTGTAATACGTTCAGTATGTCGTATCAATAATGTTCCCTTATTTTGATGGTGTTGAGGTTTGCTAGTCAGAAACTGTTTAATCTTTACATCAAATATTTTACATTTGATCAAATATATTCAAAGAAATAAAAGTCTAAAGAATAACTGCATTATGTCTCTTTTTTTGTGAAAATGGTTAAGACAATAAAGGCACGTTGTGAATGAATTTTGTATTTGATTATGTGGTTTGTCAGCTGTGTGCTTGTGATAAACCTTCATGTACTATCGGGGTATGGTCAGATAATACTTTGTGCTTGCATCTAGGGATTATCAGATAAATAAATCAGGTCACTGAAAACTGAGTTCATCAAAAGGCTTTGACCCTTTACAGTGAGGTCAGTTGCTAAACCAGCCTGTTCGCTTCTCTTTGTGTTTGACTGCTCAGGCTTAACACGGCCAAAATGATTTCTAATATCGTTCAGTACTGCAAACTAGAGGTACTGTGTCATAGTAGTTTGTCTTTGTTTTCACTTCCTCTTCCTCTATATTATACTATACTTAGTTTTTGCTCAACGTATCTCACTGTTCATTTCTCACAACTTTCCGGATCATCAGGTGTCTTTGGTGAAACTGCAGGTCTCTGTAGTGTAGGTACGTTTTCAAATTTTAAAATAACTTTTGTTTGGCTTTTATTTATTTTAACTACATACAATAAAGCGTATTTGTTCCATTTTAGAATTTTTAAAATTAATAAAACAATAAATAATTATATTTGGCCCTTTTTTTTTAAATTCAGATTTACCGGAAGTGAAATAATTCCATTTCCGCTTATGGCGATGTTTACACTGCCGACGTTGGGCGGCTAGCGGTGAGCATCAACAGAGCGACCCGCATTCACTTCCTTACGTTACAAACCTTTCGCTCACATCAAATGGCATCTCCCAACCCCGCGGCCGGCGTCCGGGCTCCGCCGCTGGCCGCCGGCTGCGCCACTGTCCGGGGGAAGAAACGTCCCAACGCTCCGGCCGTCTCTGCCGCTGCGCAGGTGACCGGAAGCTGCAGCAGCAGCAGCAGCAAGAAGAAGAAGTGCCCGCTGACCGCTGCACCGACCGCTCAGGTAACGGACGGGTGTGTGGTGACGTTCATCGAGCTGCAATGTAGCCCAATTGATGGAGATAGATGTGAATAACGTTGTTGGGGAATACCTAAAGGCATGAATGAACTATCGCGTGCACACCGTGCAGCTTAAAACCTTCAAAGTGAGACGTGGTGGCTGTTGGTGTGACGTTGTGTTTGTGTTTCATCAGATCGCAGCGGTGGTGGAGTCGGTGCCTGAGGTGAAGCCGGTGACAGCAGCTGACTGCGGCCCCACCGGCATCCCCGAGTGCACCGCAAAGCCCCCCCCCTTCAAAGACCCCGCGTTCATGGTGAGTGGCCGGTTGGGTTTCTAAGTCGATCTGCTTCATTGGCTGTTCCCTCAATGTCTTCATCCTTTTCCCCCCTCTCTTAATCTGGGCAGCATTCTGGGATCGGTGGCGCGGCGGCAGGTAAAAAGAACCGGACCTGGAAGAACCTCAAACAGATCCTGGCTCTGGAGCGGACGTTACCCTGGCAGCTCAATGATCCCAACTGTGAGTTATCGTTTTCTTATTGTTACCCAGTACAGGCCGTACACTTTTTCTCTCAAAGCAATAGGCTGCATTTATATATTATAAAACCAAAGCAAAGCACATTTTACAATCTCTTAAAACGTTGCTGTGTTCACAGACTACAGCATTGACGCCCCTCCCTCCCTGAAGCCAACGAAGAAATACTCTGACATCTCTGGACTCCCTGTGAGTGATCACTTTGCTGAAATCCCTTATTGTACAATAAATAAGTGTTGGGTAAAGCTCACGCTGAAGCCTCTCTGTCATCGTTCCTCAGGCAAACTACACCGACCCTCAGACAAAGCTACGCTTCACATCCTCTGAGGAGTTCTCCTACATTCGCCTCCTCCCCACAGACGTTGTCACTGGCTACCTCGCCCTTCGAAAGGCAACATGCATCGTACCCTGACCGCCTGAAACCTGAAACGGGTTCAAACCAGAGCTGATCTAGTGTCAGTGCAGGACGGGCACCGGCCAGGAGACGGAGAGCACAGGCTGCGTGTGTCTGCGTGTGGACAACCCATCGGTGACTCGGACATGTGTTTGCATGACAAAATAAATGCAACAAAGGTGAAATTTTAGGGGTTTTTCTTAGACGGAAGAAAAAGGAATTTCAATGATCGCTTGATGATGTTTTATTCCTAAAGGGGTCAGAAAATGTTTATCAATTTATTCAAGTCAGTGTCTTACATGTTGTTAAATAAACAGTTCTCAGAATCCTAAATGTTATTTTCCCTCTAACTGCTCTTATGAACCGCGGTGGATTTAATGTCAACTCCTACGTTACGGGCAAGGATGCATTTCATCTCTTTGCTGTAGAACATCAGTCTGCATTAGTTAAAACACAGTTGATTGGGTTACAGATAAGTTGTAGACAAAAAATGTTTAAAATAATGTTGTTTCAGATTGATACTTAATACTCATTAAAGCTCATTTGAATTGTATGTTAAAGGTGATTTGAATGTCTCTTTTTCATCTGGCATTTCAATGCAATGTGGCTGAAATTAGTTTAATCTCAATTTAATGGATCTCTTGTGCAGAGAAAAAAAAAATAGTATAGTGTATTCAAAAAAGAAATGTATGTAAAATGTATAGTAAGACCCAGCATGCTATGTTAAAGGCAAGTCATAGTATTCTTTTATTTTAAAAAGTACTAGTATAACCAAAAAGAATACTATAGGAAGTAAGTCGTATTATAAGCATAATATGTCGAAACATTATATAGTTGAAAAAGTAATAAAAATATGTTATAGGACAGGGAAAATGTTTATCCATATATTTAAATAATTAAAAAAGCATAAGAAATCAAAAAAAGTTTCACGTACGTCATATAAAAGTATGACTTTTTTTTCAAAAAAAGTGTGTATTATGAAAAAAGTAGTATTGTGGTACGCAACGTTCTGTAATACAACTTTTTTCACGGCATTTTTCAATAACGGACGGCATGCTGCAATGTCTGCAAGGTCATTGCCTAATATGTCCAAGAAAAGTCCTAAAGAATGAATTAAAGTTAAAGTTACTTTAGTGAAGTAAACGGGTTAACCAAAGCATAGAAACAAGCCACACAGGTTCATTTCCACACTAAACCACCAGAGGGAGCGAGAGTGCTTCCTTCAAAGTGGAGCAATCAGCCTTCAGACTATTTTTAAACCAGAGCTCTGGAAGTGGTAGCTTTAGATACTATTGTATCCATTTGTACCTTGATAACATCAACATCATGTTTAAAGCATGTTTGATAGAGCACATTCAACTTAGAAAACATACAATATGTTTTTTTAATAGTGTTTGTCCTAATGTTTCTGTGCTCATTCTCTAACGTAATGGTGGACAACAAGACAGTTCAGTTTCCTTATAAAGAGCAAAGAATGACAATAAAAATTCAAACAACACTTTAATCTGATAAAACGTCCTTCATGATATAAAAAAACAAATATGACTTTAAAATGACAAGTTAATTGAGGACACTTTTGATGACCTGACTGCTTTGTAAAGCCTGCTCGTGCACGATACATTGATTTTAGATGAGAACATTAAAGACACGGTTGAATTCCATAAGGTACGTGCAGTGATGTACAAATTCTCAGACCGTCTGCAGTGCATTTTCATATAGAATGTTTATCTTTACAGTTTGTAAATCCCAAATAACATACACTAGCAGACCTTATAGTAACAGGGCAGGCCTTCGGCTGTTAAGAAATTGTTTGTTATCTCCAAATTCAAATTCTGAACTAATTCTAATAAGTTATTTAACCATTGACTTTTCAAAACTACTTTAGTGGGGCTATTCTGTAAACTAGTCCTAAATGCTTTTAATAATCACTTTTGTTGTTCTTACTTAGATGCTAATATCTAAAATACCAATAAATTTAATGGAAACATTTAGCTCTAATAAAATAATGCCAGTGTAAACAAGCTTCAGTATCACGCATCGCTGAAATATTGCACATACATTCATAAATATAGATATCAACTTTGGGCCTTTGTGTTTAAGCATGTGTGTTTTTGTATGTGTGTGTGTAAAACATTGCTACACAGCCCAGTTAAATCACACGGGGAAATGATTTCGTTACTCAATGAAAACCTAAAACGAGAGGCACCTAATAGACAAACATTTGAACAGGACATGCGTGCACACACACACACACACACTCACAAGCGCACACGCGCAGTCACGCGCACACGCAGACACACACACACACACACACGCACTCTTAAAACCACTTGTGCATAGATCTCAAGTATGTTTGTGCTCCACTCACACAGATACACAAAAATGTTTAAAATCTTGAAAAATCTTACATTTTGGTGCTTCATCAGAATGGATCAACAGTCTACATGTGTGTGTGTGTGTGTCCCGTGAAGTGTTTTTTAGTCCCACGTAGGCTGGTTTGAACCTCGTTCTTTGCTCCCAGTCTGTGCGGCGCTGAAGTCCTCCGTCTGGTAGTTTCATTACCGTAGAGGTAGAAGACCTCCAGCAAAGGAATGTAGAGTCTGACTAATGCAGATCTCAGATCTGATTTAAGTTACTCAGAAGGCACATGTCCCTCTCCAACACCGTTCTCCAATCCAGAAGCTGTACAACACCTTCCTACGCGTCCCCGGTTTCCTCGGACGTCAGCTTCTCATGGTCGGCGACGTCATCGTCAGCCGGTGGCCGCGCCCGGTCAAAGAAACCACACTGAAGGTAGTCGCATCAGCCCATTAGTGTCATATCGCATAAACAAACTACCGCAAGAGATGCCAGGTGATGTGTGTGTGTGTACCTTCCACATAGCTAACGTCAACATGGCCAGCACTAGCAGCCCCAGCAGTATGGCCAGGATGATGACCCAGAGGGGAACGGCGAACGACACGTCGGGAGTACCCCACAACACCAGCGTCCCCATCTGCGGGACACACGTAGGGACAGTTGGTTAGTGCTGCTGACGCATCCACGCTGTCCTCAAACTCAAACACTTCTTTTCCGTGCCTCCGTCTTACCGAGGTGGTGTGTTGAGGCAGGGCGGAGGGTCGGATGCGGTAGGGCAGAGATCGGACTGTGAAGAACACAGTAGAGTTGAGGATGTAGGGGTCGTTGCGCCGCTGCAAGAGAAGGATAACGTTATCATTCGAAGGTGCACTTTGCCCGTTGCTTTGTAAGTCTCTTTATGGTGTTTAGTTGGAACTTGGCTGTAATTTTGTAACTTTGCTAATTTGAACCTCCTCCACTAGCTGTACAAAAGTGATGCTTACAAGAAAAATATGACCTTTTCCAACTGCTGTTTTAAAGGTAAAGCACAAGTATTCAAGGTGAAAGGTAAAGACGGATGATGACCTGCAGGAAAGTGTGCGCCCAGAGTCTGGAGCGGATCTTCACCACGGCACTCTGACCGCGATCCAACCGGCCAACGTTACACACGATGTACAGACAAGAGATGTTGGTACAATTCTGAGAAGAGAAAAAGAAGAGAAAGTGTGGAAAAGGAAGAACCATTAAACCTTTGCGTACCACGAATGATCATTTAGTTTGGTTTCTCGAGAGAATGTTCATGTTTGCAAGGCTCACCAAGGTTTTACCGCTATTACTGTCAGCGGCAGAGGTGGAGCGCCTGTGGCGATGTGGAGGAGTGCTGGCGTTCCTCAAAAATCCCAATAATTCAGGTGTGTCCTGGAGAGAGGAGATCTGAGGAATAAAATGAGATACGTGTCAACATTGATTACCTTTACCTGAAAATGGGACATGATGAAGCAAAGAAAAAAAGGGTAAATAAATGCTTAATTGCTCCCATTACTATTCCTTTCAGTAAACCTTCTACAGCATGTTGTTTGGGCCTTCTAAAGGACACCCATAAGCTAACCAACATGTCTCTGATGTTGGCAGACAGCTGATGAGAAGGGGATGGGGTACCTGAGGACAAAGAACGAGTGAAAAATAGGAATTTAAAGATGGTTAAAAAGGAAGAAATAACATCCCAAAAAAGAACCAGCTGTGGAAACATGCATGACGTGCGGTTGAAAGTTGTTTTGTTAAAAGAAGGTCTGAGGAGATGTTTTCCCTGGTTGCAGCTCATACAGTCAAGTTAACAACAACAGAAGATGGCACATGAGTCACAGCGCACAGACAACGTGTGTATAATATCTAGATATTTTAATTGTTTCTCCACAGGGACTCGGGTCAGCAGCATGTGGAAGCAAAAATATTTATTTGTATCCAACCAGATGTGTTGGACACAACAACGACTGTTGGTTCTTCCTCCACTAATTTGGGAAGATGGCTAGCAATCTTGCAATGTGCTGGTATTGACAATATCCATAATAATAAAAAAATTAAATGCACTATACTCTATGCTTTTTATGATATGCTATAATAGAATATTTTTCTGACTTATCTGACTAATTATCTGATGATTTCATTTGATTAAATATCATAATATGATGCTTTTAGACCATACTTTGACTTCCTTGTGGCATATGACTTTATATAATGACTTAGTATTATGAATTATTTCTATACTATACAAGGACCTTTCATATGTTGTGTCTTTTTGGACATATGATGACTTTTTTGGATTTACCATACATACCGTAAAAAAACCGAAGATTACAAACTTAACTAATGGTTTCATTACTTTTTTTTAACACTATACTAACATTGGATAGAAGTCTAAATAGGACAGTGATTGTGGATGATGGGAAATGAGAAATTACCGAAGACATTTGACTTTTAATCCCACTGTGAATAAGGCTTATTTTCTTTTCATATTAAAAGCTTGAAGTGCTACAATTTCTGACATAATTATATACTTTGTAAAATTACTGCGTTTTTCACTTCAAATGACTTTACGAATGATATCATTGATATTGTAAACAATTTCATATCAAATTCTGCAAACATGCATAATACTTCATCCCCTATTGCTTTCAGCCAACTGGCAAAGGCCATGGAAAGCATTAAAACTTGGATGGATACAATTACAATTTAGATAGACACGTATAGTGTCCATTTGGGAGAAATGAATGAGCCTCTAGCAATATTACAAATTAAAGTTTGAAATTACATTGGCACCGATAGTTGGATATAATGCAAGAAAGTTCTTTTAAAAAATAAGACATATATCTATTTCGACTGCAGGCAACATTTCCATATCTCTATAATTAGGTATTAAAAATAGTTTTCAAAAAATGTGCATTAGCGCGTATAACGTTCATGACGTTGGGGTTTTACCTGAAGGCCAAGTGGGTTGAGGCTGGTTTCTGTACGGCAGCTAATAGGTCCGTCAGTTCTGATCTCCATTGCATACAGCAGGTTCTCGTCACGGAAACGGGAAGGCCAGCCGACCTGGAGCTCAGCCTCCTGAATACTGCTGGGACCAAAGTTATGGAGCTGGAGAGAGACAGAACAAAAACACACGTCAGAATTGTGTGCGCTTCTCATTATTAGGAGACTGAGGCTATAATTAGGTTAAGTTATCATAACTCTGGAATGATGACACGGGCCACCTGTGTTTTAGTGAAGATAATGTTAATGCGGCCTTCAGTCCATGGGGATCATCTAGCCCATCATTCCACATCAGAATCAGGATGAATGAATTAAGATTTTAAATGAAGCATCAATTGAAAAATCCTTTTGTTTTACGCCGGCCTGCATACTTTATCCCCCTCTCTCTCTCTCTCTTGCAACACACACACACGTCCTCTAGCAAAAAACACACAACACACACACACAGAGTCATTAACACTGAAGCGAGTCATGCAAACAGGACACGATCCCGGTGCTGGAGGGCAGCAATTCTGCAGGAGAAAGAAAAAACTCCTGTCCTCTCTAACTATAAGCAGCTGCCAACTGGGAAAAGTACCACAAATGAAAATCATTATCAGCTGCAGGACAGGCCAGACACGGCTGCACTTCGATTCAATGGAGCAGCCGCCCCTTTAAAACAAAAAGAAATCACATGTATGCTGAACAGACGCACACACATGCACACTCCCGACCGTCGCCGGTCTGTCTGCCATCCTCCCTCCTTCCATCTATTTGTCTGAACCTCGGTTTGACCTTGTTTTTCTGCCCTCAGTGATGATTGCTCTTTACACTGTGTCTAGTCAACGAAAAATCTTCCTTACTTCCCTTCCTCGTACTTGGCTTGCTCCCTCCTTTTCTGCCCCCCCCCCCTTCTCTGTTTTAACCCCCTTCTTAAGTGCGTTTACTCCAGAGACCTTTGATCAGCCAGAGCCCGATTCTTTATAGAGCTACTGGTTTTACGTGTGTGTGTTCACATTACAGAGCCCCCTCCTGCTGTAGTCTAATTACTGCTTCCTACACCTACTTTACTGCTCTTTTTATCTAAACGTCTCCACTTTGCTGCTAACAAAACAAAAACAAAACAACCCGGTCTTCTACGTCTTCATCTTGTCATCTGTGAATTATGTCCCACCTTTGTCTTCGCGTGAGCTGTGCGGCTGTGCATTTACCTCGTAGATGTGCGTTACTTGCGGTCCCACGTCGTCCTCTTTGACAGGCTTCTCTTTGGGTTCCCAGCGTGGGAAAGGCAGCACCACTTGAGAGGGATGAGACACCCTGAAGAGAGGAGAAACAGATCAGTGACAGATGCATGTACGCACATACTTCCTGTTGCAGTGGGTTTGCACTTGGATGGGTCATGACTACTTTGTGGAAGGGGAATAACTGCAGAGACTGATTACTATTCAACCTACTGTAGTGAGTATAATATGGACCTCTGAACTTGTCCATTAACAGCCAGTGTAGGTCTATAATTGAGGTCATAGTTAGATGTGCTGTTGTATTGGACTATATTAATGTGGTATTTCACATTTTTGCCCTTGACATTCTCTTTTTCTGTACCCAATGGGGCCGGATATAAAAGAAAAATCACTAACTGTAACTTCAATATTAAGGCACATCATTTAATTAACAAAATTGTATGTTACCATCAACAAACAATGTGACTGCTGCAAAGGTGATTCTGCCACATTTTCTGACATCATTCAGAGGTTTTAAAGCCATCTAATCCCCCAAATTTCAAAGTAATAATTGTCATTTGAAAGGGCAGCAATTGAGCCAGTTTAAAAAAAAAAGTCCCACCCTATGAATAATAAGTCACCCAAATATAATAATTTGGTCAATTTTCAAATTCAGTATTGAAAACACAAATTTGGACAAAATAGACCGAGCTGAGGCGGGACACTTTCACAACATAAACACAGGAACTTGTACGTCCCTGTGTCTCCTCCACTGTTTGTATGTGCAGCTGACCACACCCAAACAAAGCCACGGGAGACTCAGAGCTTTGATGTGTGGATTCATGCGTGTATCAGTGTGCGTGTGACATCCGTGAACATATCAAAGGCTGACCAGCGTCCCATGTGCGCATGATTAGTTTGCATTTATTCCTACAAATATGTTCTCGTGGTGTTCTCCATCTGTATACAAACAATGCTCTGCAAATACCAAACATTAGAAAAGTGGCAGTAATATTTTTCAGACACCAAAAGGTTTAGACCGAAACCCGATGAAGTGTGTCAGACACAACAAGAGGCAACGACGGAGGTCGTCACTATGTTTCACGTGCGAAGATGCTCGGCTCACCCGCGTAAGTCAAGCTGCGCTCTGGCGATGACGGACAGATTCAAACTGACCGGGTTGCTTTTGGAGTTATCTTTGTTGGAGCTGTGGAGAGATTGAAGTTTTAATGAAAATCTAAAACCAAACACCCGTCACGCTGACTGCGCCCCACGTTCCACACACAGTTGCACCCGTTTCACATGAAGCAAGCGAAAGCTCACAACAAAGCCGTATTTTTATGTTGAGTCCAAGAAGAATTTCCCTGGTCGTGGGCTGCGCCTCACATCTAACCGCCTGCGTCTACTCATGTGATGTCTCAAAATCCAGTCCAGGGAGCAGACAGTGGACATGTTGTGTGGAGCTCGTCTTCTGCCCGAAGCCCCTCTGGGCCGTCGGTTTTCCTCAATCTCTGCGGTCAGTTTCATCCAAACCACGGTCGACGAGATCAGGACAGACCCGGGGCTCATTTACAAGACTCAGAAGAAAGACACATGGCTCTTTGTGTGGGTGTGATGTTTGGGGGGAGTGGAGGGGGTGGGGGGTATGCGTGTCACCTGTGGATCTGTAGCCCAAAGGTCATCTTCGGTCCCGCGTCTTCTAGCCTTTGGACGGAAAATCTCAAACCGACGGACAGCTGGGCGAGAGTGTGGAGAAAACAGGAAAAGAGAGAGAGCATGAAAACACGTGACAGGAGAAAGAGCAGCAGAGTTGAGGAGGAATGACTGAGGAAAGAAAGACAGGAATAAGATGCACAACATCAAATCTGTACATCAGAGACCACTAAAAGTGACCGGTAATAAACGGTCAAATCCATGTTAACTAAAGCCTTTTGTTGTTACATTGGGTCTGTGTTGTGTGTGTGTGTCTGTCTTCAGGTATGCACGAACATCTGTAAACAATAATAAATGAACAATTCTAAAATCTGAGAAAATCCAGACTACACACATAAAAGGTACCTTTAAGTTTCTTGTCTCTGTGGAGTTTAAATCATATCCCAGAGGCTAACTCGAAACACGTGGAGGCCCAAGTTCATCACCCACTGTAAAACGAAAGCGCGGGTGTACGTGCTTGTTGCCGTGTGACAGTGAGGACACGCATGTGCACGCGTGTGTGTGAGCTGTACTTAACAACAGATCAAACACATGGTGCAGAGATGGGAATGACGGCTTGCAGACTCGCACTAACACTGCAGGAGGCAGGCCTGTCCGGGGGGGGGATTCTAAACAGACACCAAGTGAGTATGAGTCATTCAGAGAAAAGACCATAAAGCCCATAAAGCTCGGTACTCGAGGAGGAAAATAATCCAACATCAGTCTGAAGAGGTCAATTTAGGCTCTTAAGATGTCTCTTTAAGCATCACACTCCAGCACGTCAAAGGTGACTTTTTAAAGTATGTTGTTTGAATTTATGTTGGTTACAATGGATGGAACGATTTCAAGGTGGAGAAAAATTTATATTAAAACACCCAACGATGCAATGTGGTCTTGCAATGTGGGCAGATTGTATCTATTCTACAACACGACTGAATACACGGCTTCAGTTGCATTAAATCCTGACAGGATTTGTTTATGGTGCAGCATAGTTTAAGAAGCCTACAAAAGGTAAGATCTTAATGCCTGGAAAGTTGTCTCCAACTCCGATTACACTTAATAAAATGTTCTCATTTTCACTTGACAAAGCTAATACTAAGATTGACATGTGTCCATCATATAATAATGTGTTTGGAACATGCTGAATTCTGCTTGATGGCATCAGAACGAATTAAAGATAAAAGAAAACAAAAAAACACAAAACACACAGCTGAGCATGCAGAAATTCTCCAGCCCCAACCAGCTTTCTACCAGGCGTGTAGCTCGCGCGGTGACCTCGCTCAGCGAGGCACCACAGCTGTGTTCTGTGGCCCAACGAATGAGGTTCAAGGATGAGAACGATGCAACTACAGTCTGTAAGGGGGGCGTACGGAGGTATGTTCTGCAAAAGGTCATGGATTCCTTGGGCAAGGGGAGAGTTAAATATGGGAAACATCTGGCCGGCTGGAGAGCGCACTCAAACACTTAGACACACACACGCTGACACACACGCTCACATGCCTTCTTGTGCGCTCCTCAAACAAGGGTGAAACTTGTTGGTGGAGGAGGTGGAAGTATGCTGATCCTAGCATCTAGTATCCCGCGTGTCGCCTCCAGAGGTCAAACGCACCTCTGTGACGGCCTTAATAAAAATCCCACATTCACAGTAATACACGTACTGGATCACACACACATACACACACACACACACACACACACACACACTGAACCACATGTGACATGCTTAGTGGCACACATGCGCAACCCGGTGTGCTAGAATTTCATGTAGGAAAGGGAAGGTTCTTTATTTTACAAAGCCTTGACTTCCTGCATATGTCATCCACCCGAGAGCTAAATGGATTATTATCAAAAACACTGCAGACACACGCGCACGCAGGGCAACACACTCGCGTAGACACATTGAGTGTGAAGCACAGTCAAGGGAGTCAAAGTGTGTGGAATGAGGTCAAGGTGTTCAGTAATCACGTGAGACCATCAATCAGTTTGAATTAAACCTGAGGCGTAACAGTGTGCAGCACCTGAGCATTGAAATCGATGCTTTAATGCTTTTTTTGTGTGTAAAAACTCACCTCCGTTCCTGCCACCATCGGGTTCCCGAGGTCACACACCACCATTCTGGACTCGTTGACCAGCTTGTACTCGCAGTTCAGCTGCGATAAGGACTAGAGAGCAACAAGAAGCAAGGAGAGAGGAGAAGCGCGGCGGGTGTGACGATCGAGTCAAAAGTGAAGGACACGACAAATGAAAAGAACAATGAAGAAACGTATAACAGAAGGGAGGGAAAAAGAGGAGTAATGGGACGGGGGGAAGCAGGAGAGGAAGGGTGATGAATGCTCTGACAGTAACAACCTCATCAATCAAACAGCCCTATTACACACTCATTAGCGCACACACACACACACACACCCACGCACACAGCCATTGACCCTATCCATTTCCGTGGTCACTGATGCAGCTTGTAAATCATAAAAGGGGCTTTTGGGGCCGCTGCCAGTAAAGCATAGCCGGCCTTGCCTTAATGTCTCAAACACAAACCACCAAGACACAACAGGAAGTGATGTCATACTGCTTCAAATCGCTGTTCATATGTTGTGCGATAACCGATGCTGCCTCAATGCTATCGTCTATTTTAATATATTTCCTACTGCCCCCCTAACTAACAAAAACAAACAGCTTCAGACACGCATGCGTGTGTTTGAGTGTTTGTTTAATTACCTCCACCCTGCGCTCCACTCCAATGTAGTCGGCCTCCGTCGGTATCAGCGTGTAGAGTTCCGTCTCGTAGGCTCCCTCTCCTCGGTTCACCGCAGTGATGGTCAACATTACCAGGTTGTCGTCTCCAATAACCATCTCGGAGCGGTCCCTGTGTTTGGTTAATGAAGAAAACAAAAAAGAACATCAAGAAAGAGAGAAAATACAGTTTTTCTGTCACGTAGAGGACACAGAAAACGAAGCACTTTAATCCAGTTACATAAAAGAATATCCAAAATCAACTTTCTTGTTTCATGTGCAGTCGGCTCTACAGCTTGGAATGCAATAGCCCTGAACCCAACAATAGTGTGTGTGTGTGTGTGTGTGTGTCAGTGTGTGTGTGTGCACGTCAGTCAGTAGAGGGTGACAGGATGTTTGTATAACACTGCCATGGAGATATCGTGCAGCTGGAAACACTATAAAGACAAATTCACACACACACACACACACACACACACACACACACACACACACACACACACACACACACACACACACACACGCACACGCACACACACACACACACAGGTAAATGGAATCTAAACCTTTCTCATTGTGTGAGGAATAACAGACAGACTGTCTTTAGTTTTGCTGTGTGCGTCTGTCGGTGTTGAGTGTTTAACGGTGGAGGTCAGAGGGGCCGTGTCAATCTTACATGGTGGCAGAGAGCTGGAGGTCGGGGATACAAATATTGTCGTCACCGCAGTCCAAGAGAATGTAGGCCTAAGGGCAAGAGGGGCACAGACAGGGGGGGGATTGAGGAAATTATAGAGGTGCACTGGACAACATCATGAAGCACAAAATAGAAATACACATAAGTGAGATGCAGATGCTGCATACGTGCAGACACGTTGAATTGTGACATGGACACTATACCATCTTTGCTGTCCGGGTCCTGCAGAAAACGTTTTGGGTTTGGTCATTTTTTTCCGTTACAATAAATAATTTCTCACTTTTTATGCGTTTCACATTTTGTTAATCACGCCTGTTTGTTTAACAAAAAATGTTTTAAGTGGTTCCAGAGTGAAGTTTTTGATCAGTCAAGTTTCACTTGGCAAGAGGTAAGCAATGATAATGTGATATATCCTGTGAGAGGAGAACGTTGACCTTCATATTAACAGGTTAAGCAGAGCTTCTTTTGTTCCCATTTTTCCTCAGACAACGAGATACGACATCAGGTCAAATTTGAGTTTATTCCTCTATTCAGCTCAATATCACAGATTTGTGTCATAACAATCTATCTTCTACTCTTATAGCATAGATTTGGGTTAAACTTTCAAAACAGGCAACATGTAATAGATGGAAGTGAAATAGCAAAATGACAATGTGGAAAACCAAGAAAAAAATGTAACACTAGCAACCGAGAATAATGAACTGTATATATACTCACGTGCTCTTGAAGGAAGGTACTGCTGTAATGGTTGAGGACAGGTGGCAGGCTTCCGCTATGACTGGGTGGAGCCAAGCTGTAGTTCAGAGCCAGTGAGATTGGGGTCAATTTGTCCCTAAACTCATCTTCTTCCTAAGACGGAAACGGAAAGAGTTGAGAAATGTGTAGTAAATCAACTTTGTTTGGTATGAATAGTATTTAAAGAATTGCACAGGTGTAAGATTCACAAGTGTGATTTGCTCACTCTCAGATAAATGGTGTAGGTCAGACATGCATTCGGGCTGTTGTATCCCAATTTTAGGATCCCGTTGCGCTGAGGCTGCTGGGTGTCCAGGAACAGAACTCTCTTGACTCCTCCTCTGGTTCCCTTCAACCAATCCAGCTGCAGCTCCGCTCTCAGGTCTGGACAAAAGGTACCGATACAGAGATGGATGGAGATGAGAGGAGAGGGAAGCCTGAGTGTAATGACAGTGAACAACTAGATCCGTCCAAGTTGACAATCCCCTAACATGTACACATGTGTACTCCACAGACCATCATTATTGGAAACAACTTCCTATTATTCTTTACTATTCCAATCCGTGTACTGCTGCTTACCCACAGCGCTGGGGATCCCCACTCCACTCACTGCTGCACACACCTCCACCTTTAGGCTGGAGGAACATGATCAGAAGATTAATAGTTTACACAAGCAAGGGGGACTGTTTGCATATTGTACACAACACATATCTGTCTATTGAGCCACATCCACAAAGTCAACAAAAAGCAAGCGTGTCAACACATGGGAGTCCAATTCCTATTGGGACCTTTAATTCTAAAATATTTACCCACTCATGATACCATAATACTGGGTTTTATATGTGTAAGAACAGTAAGCCAAGCAAGTACAGTAAGAGTGCTCCAAAACCGCAGGCTTAGTTTTAATGTTTTATGGTTAGATATTGTTTCTCAAAAGCTTTAAAAATAAGGATCCAAGGGGTCTTTATATCATCTTCACTGGGATTAATCTTACAGATCAGAATTAAATGATGCTGTTTTAGTCGTTTAGACATGGAAATGGAGGCTTTCAATTCTGAGTATCATTTACTTTAGGCTTTAAAATCTGAACATGGTTTCTATCAATTTGTGGTTTCTGAAGACAATGCAGGCTGTTCATATTTGCAGCGTATACTATTTCAGCATGAGTTGTGTGGTTTATGCACACCAGGAATTTGATAAATCATGACTGCACACTATGCTCCAATGATATTAAACCATTCATTACAAACATTTTCTTCCCTCTTAATTATATGCATGACAAATCCTAAGAAAACTAACTATATAATCAAATACACTGCCCCTAAGCAAGGTATTAATTCCTTCCTGTGCTCCAGGAGGCAGTGGGAAATACCGCTGAGGGCCCTTTGAGTCCCTCAATTAGACACAGACATGGGAGACTGGGAAACATTTCTGCATTTCCTCTATTTTAGTGTATATTAACATATGTGTAAGAACGTGTGTGTGTGTGTGTGTGTGTGTGTGTGTGTGTGTTATCACCTCTCTAATCACGAACAGGAAAGTGACTCCCCACAGGGAGCTCTGCACTGTTAATATGGGCTAATCTGAGGAAGCTTACAGATCCAAAGCTCCTGATTTTAAAGACTAAGCAATATGAGACATGAGGTGACTTCATGTGAATATTGTTTGTTTTGCTTTGAGTCCACAAACTCAAACCACCAGAAAGCAGATGTTGGCTGGTAAAGGCTTGTGTGTTTGTTAATAATCAGGATCCCCATTAGATGAGACAATAATGATCAGCCAGATTTCCTGATAGTGATGGTGTGCAGTGCAGATGGGACTCTATGTGTGTGGGATAAAATACAGGTTTCTATTTTAAAAACGACTCCCCTAAGTCACGTTGACCTCTTTAGGTGGTTTCTTGCGTGTTTATTATGGGTTGCATGTTAGAAGGTGTCTGTTTTTTTTATTTTGGGTGTGTGTCCCCCAGTGGCTCTAACAAGCACTGTGTGTCAAACATAAAAGTATGCGCTGGGGAAACGACCCCCATTTTAACACAGCTCTGCCGCTTGGTTACTTATTTCTGTGTGTAATTTCCCCCTAAATGCATCTGTGCTCCACCAGCCGCCCCCTGATGGACGGCCCTCCCTGCAAATAGGAACACATACATCCCTTCATTTTAAGACGGCTCATTAAGTATCTATAATTCATTCGATAGTACTGAGTCCCAGAAAAGCAGACGTTAATGGACGGATGGATATACACATATTATGTATTCATTGTTAACAAATACCTTAAGAATAATGGTGATTGTTACCACCTTGCATCAATGAAAACAAGTGGAGAGAATATTTTTTTCATCCAGATGTTGTCTTCGAGGACTTTGGAAATACCTTCAACCACGTTTGCGTCCATGTCTTACGAGTCCGATCTGATTTCATACCTCCGACAAAACATTATTGGCGGTTTATTTGAATAAGCTGAGTTATGTTTTCACAGAATTCCATAGTTTAGTGCTTTTTGTCCGATCCAGATCCTGTTTCTTTTTTCACCTGCCGCCAAGATTCACACACACACACACACACACACACACACTATGACGTTAAGCCAGCCGAACACACTTTCCCGTCCAAATAGTCAGACGGACGTTCCGGCCCCAATAAGTTTGGACTAACAATAGACTGTGGCGAACCAGCAGGAACCTTTAGGCCTTCTATCCACGGGGACATAATAATGTATTCAAAATAGAATTATACTGCTTTAAATCAATAGCAGGCTTTCATGAATCTTCATTTCCAGGTTATATGAGATTGTTTTTTCAGTCTTTCTAGATGACGGACAAACAGTCCTTGGCTGATGAGAGACGTCTCGACCACACAGATAAAATATTACACATTGTGTCGGTGTGTGTGATTTGAGAATGCGTATACTATCCTTATACCATTGCAGGATACAGTACACACAAGTTACACAAAACTGCAAACAAGCAGAAATTAATGCCTAACAGTAGTAAATCTACTAAATGAAGTACACACAAAGATTTAATTTCTTTTCCTTTTAGCTTTACTCTGAGTGGGCATTGATGGACGCCTTTGCCACTCGATGGTCCGCCCAGCTGAAAACCGCCGTGAAACATTGTGAACTGTGGTGACGAGCTGGAGGTCAGAGGTTAGGATTGTTACCTATATTTACTTCTTGTCTGTAAATATATAATTTATACAATTCGTATATTTTGAATCTACCTTGCAGAAGTATTATTAAAATCTACCTGAGCTTGCCATTCTTACCAAGTAACCATGGTATCCGTTTGAGGCAGGCGACACTGTCGGTCATCGGGATTCAGGGTCCTGGGGGTCAAGGTCATCGTGGCTTCCACGGACACCACAGCCTGAGACCTGCAGACAAACACACCACACACACTGATTTAAGAAGTATAGAGTGAGGAAAGGCACAAGCAGCAATCTACACAGAGAAGCAGTTTAAACGCTGTGTTCACTCTTGTACCTGTACAGCGACACCTCGCCTGCCCCGAACGCCCCCACTATCAAATCTGCAGAGAGAGAGAGAGACAATCAGAGCCAGAGAAACAGAGCCAGAGACAGAGACACATAGAGAGACAGACAGAGAAACAAAGGGAGGGAGAGACAGAGAGAGACACGGGGAATCGGGCTTCAAAGAAAGCCACAGATGGGACTGATTTCAAGGTCTCCAGTAATCTTCATTAAACACAGACTTCTCATGTTTAATGCACACACACACACACACACACACACACACACACACACACACACACACACACACACACACACACACACACACACACACACACACACACACACAGTAACACACAAACACACTGTGATATTGCCGTGGCATTTTTCTTCGACATCGCTGTTACTTTCACACATGAGCCAGCTCAGTGTAAATTCATAAATGACTAAACACACAACAAGCATTTATCTGTGTGTGAGCTAATCACGTATGTACGTGTGTGTGTGTGTGTGTGTGTGGGGGGACGCATGTGTGTGTCTGCGGCGAGACAGGGACCCCGCGCTACATTCCAGTGCCATTATAAAGTTCACATCGCTTCAATCACATTTCACAAAGCCGCGTTTCCCAACAGCTCCTAATTGTAAGCAGCAACAGATCTCATCTATATGACATTTTTATTTGTTTTGTTTCATTTTGTGATGAACACACACTTTTAATTGGCTCCCATGAGTTTAAAATAGAGCCTGGTATTTAATGGCTGCGGTTAGGGGACAAATGCCAACGAAAGCCTAGCGCGCGCACACACACACACACACACACACACACACACACACACACACACACACACACGCACAGTGCTGATTAAAACAACGTGAAACTGAAGAGAGGCACTTTAAGGGTACAAGCCATCACAGCCCGATTAGGTTGTGTGATTCTGAGAAAGATAAGTAAACTGAGCTGCAGCTAATTCTTTTTTTTTAAATAATCCAGTACTTGATTTTTATTAAGGATCAATAGATGAATTGTTTGGCTTATAAAGTGATAGAAGAAAGAAAAGTAAGCCAAGAAAAGCATCTCTATCTCTGGCAATCTGCTGCGTGCAGGATGGGACTAAGCTGGTGGGAGAGATTCGTGTAGAATTTGCTCGTCATTTGCTGCGTCTTTCTCTCCCTCCTGTGTATTGAAGAAGAAAGGACCTAATTGAATCTGAGAGAGGGACATCTGTTTCTGCTACTCAGTCACTGAGTCCACCTGAAACCAAAACATTAAACATTTAGGCCTTGTCCCTGGTCCCCTGAGGTGTCCCCATGTGTCTCTGTGTGTGTGCTGTATCGTAGACCTCAAGATGTGGGTTTAGAGGGGCAGCTGGAGAACTAAAAACGGGGTGGGGGGCAGTAGGAGGAAAAGAATTATTGGAAATGGAGGGGGGGCAGAAGATGGTGCAACCACAATCTGTGGAAGCCATCAGACACAAGGTGTTTTTTTGAGCAGAGGGAGAGAGGGACCACTTCACTCCCGGTCCTCTGTCCTCTGTCCTCCCCTCTGCTGGAGTTGTGCAACCAGGAGATCCAACTCCAGTCCCACCATCGCATCAACTCAGTGGTTGTTCGCACGGTTTGTTTTCAAACCGACAGTCTGACATGAGACTGACTGGTTGACAGGGCACCTTCGGGGTTAAGAGTGTGTGTGAGTGTGTGAGTGTGTGAGCGCGTTGCATGGCTGCAGAGGGCTAAATTAAATAACGGCCCACTTTCCTTTTAATGTCAATCCCATTTCCTTCGGCACAGGAAAACTTGCCTGCCACTGTTAATTTGAGGTTAGTGTGGGCGTGTGTGTGTGTAGATACGCAGCGAACCATAGGCACACACACACACACACACACACACACACAAACGGGCCGACCACCACTACGCACACTCCCAAGTTACAGACTGTACGACGTGGAGGTACAGTCTGTAACTGAGCTCCTTTAGCTATCGGTGTCCCTCCTGGGCTGTGAAAACACAACCTCCATCCCGAGATCGGACCGCACGTCACAGGCTGCCTGCTTAGCTGCAGGGGGGCGGCCTCCATGATGAAACGCCAAAGGTCAATGACACTCCCTGGAAAAGTAGGCGGTTTTAAGAGGCAAATTGAAGATTTCTTAATTTTCGGGTACATGTGCGGGATTTTAGGTCTATTCGGTAAATTGACAGCCATTATATATATTTTTCCAACAGTACATTGGCTTGAAATGCATTTTTTTAACACGGCAGACAGCGGGATTGGCTGTTGCACATTGTGGCGGATCTTTTTAGGATTGAGCAATATGAGCAATTCAAGGACTTGTTCACAAGTCACACGTTTGGTGAATGTTATTCTAATATTGAGGGAACGAGAAATGGACAAAAGAAAACTAAAAAGGCTCTAAAACAAGAAAGAGGTACAAATTACACAAAAGCCCATGCAGAATGAGGAACAAAATAAAGCAGGCAGACGTGAGTCCAGCAATACATTTTACACACACTTACTGACCTAACGACCAACCTAATGACCCACTCGCCACCACACACGTCCAAATCACCGAACCCGACATGTTTCCCTGGCTGCGGTTCACTTCGGAAGTCGGTGTGATTGACAGGTAAAACATTGTCAGTCTTTGACCTCTGACCTCTTAACTGAACCTCAAACGCACCCCGAGGCTATCTGACCCCCTTCCGATACACAGATGACCCTGACCTTAACTCGGGCCTTTAGTCCAAACCACACTGCTTATTCACCACATCAGTGAAAGATCAACTCAGGCGTCCGTGTCGACCGGACGTCTGATGAAGTTTAATTCTGGGCTGCGGGCCTTAAGTGTTCCTTTTGATTCATAGCGTGAGCTATCAAAGCAAAGCATAAGCATCTATGACAGAATCTTTTAGAAAACAAGTGATGTGGAGCTTCATCACCAACATTTAACTTCCATGGAGGCAAATGGCGGATTGAGCCTCCCAGACGGCCGGTGCCGTCCTCTCGTAATAATGATCAAACATCCGCGGCTCCTTTGAACAGCGTGACTTTACTGCCCTGCTAACGACACTCTGTGTGCGTGTGTGTTCATTTCCGTCAGCCAGCTCTCTAATGACAGACGGCCGCGTGTGTTTTTGTGCGCGTGTTTATATGATGTGTGTGTGTGTTGGCTGAAAGCTCTGCCACCCATGAGTTTCGACTCCGCTTCCTCCTCCACCCGCCTAAGTTCCAACCTGTAACCCCCGTGTGTGTATTTACAGTGCAATGTTTTTAATTTGGGGTCTCAGATGTGCAGTGGGTCCACGCAGGGTCGCGCTCTGACCCGGTGCCTGGCACGGGTTCAACACACACTCTCCAGCCGCCAGTGAAACTGATCACAAGCCACACATGCAAACCTGTGTGTTCCCCTGTGTGTGTCCCTTGCTCTCCTGTGTAGAATGAAAAAATATGTTATTATAGCAGAATGAAAAGGAAAAGGAGTGGGGGCAAAGATAAATAATAGGTAAAACAAAACAAATTCTTTTTCTTTCCAGTCTTATCTGTGTAAGCACAAAGCCAAAGTAATGTTGAGAGCAGAGTGGCTCTAAATTAGGGAGAAAATTAGGTAGTAAAACAGCGGTTTTACAGACCTGCTTTGTTTCAAATAGATTTTTTTGTACTAAAAACTCTTACGTACATAAAAGGCTTTGCTCTTAGCAAAGGTTCCTAATCCGTTTTTTTTCAAGTAAGAAGGTGTCCACTAGTAAGTAATTAAATGGCAAAGATGTGACGATGTGAAGATGTGGAGTTTACTGCATGTAATTAGATTAAATGAGGCATTTTCCGCACATAGTATTTGGGACACGGTTCAAAGCGTGACTTTTTAGCCCACGCAACATGCGGATAATGTGTCATTATACTTCTCCCGTCTAGAATCTACTTTTCTCTCCTTCTTCGGTACTATAATCCCCTAAAGAATGAGTGATTCAGCACTACCTTGGCACGCATCCCCGTACCCCCTGCTTCTGACTGATGACTTTACCAGAGTAGAGAAGGAAAGCAATACAGGAAAACATGGGGATGGAGTTGGAGAGGAGCATGAGGGGGGCTGAAATGTGGAGGTCAAGAATGAAGAGGAGGAGGGAGGCTGTAACGAGAGAAGCTGGCGGGAAAGCGGGAAATGTGAAGGAATGCAAGTCGGCGAAAGAGGACCGGTTCTAACATGGGGGGAGTTGAGCCGGGAGAGATCGATCCGTTGAGTGTTTACCGGGATACTGATTGTTGTCCAGGTCCTGGCCCCCTCGCAGAGTGAATCCAAATCCAGGCAAGCTGCCGCTGGGGGTCCCGGCTGCTCGCAGCTCTTGGCTCAGCGTCAGGCCTCGCGTTGATACGTCTCGGTTACCGTTAAAGATCAACACTCTGCCTCCGCGTTCCTCGCCGCCGAACGGACAGCCCACCGCCACGTCTAAGGGATGAAACACACACACACACACACGCGTGGTTTAGACATCAGCAGGGTAAAGGCCCCTCCGAGACAGAATCAGTGGAAAACAGAGGAGTAAAAAGGACATATCCTTTTTTCACCTGGACGGAGGGGGGACCATGTCAACATGATCCTTTCTCTTTTCTTTTGTTTCACTCGTCTTTAACGCTCGTCTGGCCTTTAAACCTCAATAAGAGGAAGTACCACATTTTATCTTGCATCACTTGCATTGTTATCTCTGTGCAAGTTGTGTATAGTAAATTGCCGTGGCTCGGATTGATTCATTATTGTGTACTACATGTGTGTAACACTTCACAGATGTAGAAGCATGAAAGATATTTCGGAGCCGAGTGGAATGCAGCAAAAACAAACGAGATATAACAACTTGCAAAATAAGGTAATTTTCTTGAAAGGACGTTCAAATTGTAGCGTCAAACTGATTTTGTTGTTTACAATTTAACCTCTTAATGCCGCACTCAATGGACCGTTGCGTATGAAAGCAGGCTGCCTGTCGGTGCTGTAACTGTCCAAACACCTCTACACATCCTGTTTGTCCGCGGACTCCGTCTCTCTCAGCCTAAACAACTTGTTCCACATGAAGCAAATTGTGGGGGGCGAAGAGGATAAATGCAACCATGTGTGTGCAAGTGTATATATGAGCATGTGTGTGGATACGTCTATGGTGGATACGTCTATGTATATGTACATAACCAAATGGCTTTGTAAAAAAAAAAAAAAAAAGAATAATGTGAGAATGGCTCATGGGCATCGCTCGTAAGCATCTGACATCCACAGCAAAATAGCAGAACACGCACCGTGATCACAGACGGAATTGGGCTGATTCTTTGAGCCAATGTTTTTGGGGTCTTCTTATTTTTTTTCAAATTGAATTAGCTGTACTGTACGGTTTCATTCTACAGCTGCAATGAAGTGATAAAGATGAGATGACATTGGTGCGGTTCCGCTTACATGTAGGACTTTGGACTCGGAGTGATGAGGTCACTGCTACGGGAAGGAGGAAGGCGAAGGCTGACTAGATATCTGCCAGTCATTATGCACGGAGGGACCACGAGGCCGCAGGGAGACTCGAACACCGAAGTTTGACGTACCGCTGAAAACCCTGATTACAACGTTTCCATGGCGACGCCGTAATGCCGAATAATGACTTCATCCAGGGGGAAATGGAATCATTAAATTAACTCTCAACAAGTATTCTCTTTGCATTTCACTGCTGCGGGTGGAGAGGCTCCATCTCTTTCTGAGATACAGCTGCATCCTGACGGAGAGCCTGATTACAGTGTGTTTTAGCCCAAAGAAAGCTTTAGTATTGATCCAATTGTTATTGATTCAATGGTTAAAGTGTTAAAAAAAGGTTTGGGGAACACGTTGACGCAGGCTGTCCATGAATAAATAAAACCTGGACTGTTGTATGAGGGCCAGATGTGCTTCAGATTCTCATTTTTAAAGCAGCATTAAACATGCCTGAACTTCATTGAGTATTTGGGCTGCGGGCTGCGTGGTCGCTGTGTGTGATGTTATGTGCGTGTGCGCCTGTGTCTTTGTTCAATCAAAGTGACGATAAAACAAACACATTGGGAAAGAATGAACTGCAGGCTGCCGGACAGAAACTCCCAGATGATTTCATCTTGGGACACATCTGGCGTTGAGTTAAAAATAACTCCAATACACACATGGCCTTATCCCTGATCATCACAGGAGGAAACAGGTTCACGTAGACAACCTTTCACCGCCGCACGTCCTGATTGGCTGAAGAGCTTAAAGTTTCTCGAGCAGCAGCGTGTGACCAGTAAGCAGCGCACGAGACACCAGCCGCACATCGGCAGTACAACAGAAAGAGGAACACATACTGCCACATAAAACATATGACAATATTTAGTTTAATCTTCTGGCCTCCTTTTCCATTTCCTATTTTCCGTCTGCAAATTTTTGTTTCTCATATAATTTTTTCTCTTGCTCAATTCCCCTTTTATCTTGTCTTTCCCTTTTTTCCCCCCCTTCATGCAGTGCATCCTTTTTAGCATACCATCGAAACCATCCTGGTTGATGTCTCCCAGTGGTGCTATAGCCGTGCCGAAGCGCCCAAAGGTGTGTGTGCCGGTTAGTGCAACGGGTTTGGAGAAAGTGAGCGGGGCCATCTGCAGGTACAGGTACACTCTCCCCACCTCTCTGGGTTTGCTCTCCATCTCTCTCTCCATGTAGAGGGGCGCTCCCACCAGCACGTCGTCGGTCCTGGGAACGAATGAGCTGTAGTTTCAATGCTACGAAAGACAGGACGGAGTACGTGTCCAGAGAGACAGGGAGAAATTCTACTTACCCATCACCATTAAGGTCACAGACAGCCACACAGTAGCCAAAATAGGAGGCCATCTGAGGGACAGGCGAGAAAGGAACGTCAGTATTTTCAACATGCTTTCATCTCATTTCATTTTTCACACCCATTCAAAGTGAAGTCCTTCGAAATGGGAAGAATAACCATATCAGCTGGTGCCCATTTTGCAGTGGTTTAAATGCTGCCCTGCTGTATGACTCTGACCAGGCTGTGTTAGTGCTCCTACCTGCTCCCCCGTAAAGTTCTGGATGAAGGTCAGATTAGTGGACTTCATCATTGCCACCTAAAACCAGCAGAGAGAATCCAGTGTGAACATTAAACCACCAGACATTGTCCTCCTAGTACTCAAAGAGCAAACACGGCCAAGCAGTTTGACAAACAGGCACATGGACAATGCTTGAAAGAATTACAAGCCTTGATTCTACTTTCCCTTCCCTCCCCCACCATCATCATCTTAACCGTTTCCCCCTTAACTCTCTTTCCTTCCCCCCATCCTAACCCCGGTCATGGGGGGAGATGGAGGGGGGAAGGCTGAGAATTCCTTCATAAGACCTAAAATAACAACCACATGGAGACAGCCGGGGGCTTAACGTCTACACAAATGCACGCACGCACACACACACAGACACGCACGCAGGAGGATGGATGTTGACCCATTCACAGATGTCTCAAAGACATACAAAAAAGGCATATGAACACGGACAGATAAGGATGTGTAAACACAAATGTTGAATCCCAAGCTGTGGCGTTAACCTTCATGCACTCGGAGTTGTCAGACTGGTCACAGACAGCTACACTAGTGCCGGGCCTGTACCATGTCTGACCTGCATCCCTCACAACACTCCTCCTGCTGCGAGCTGCGAGCCCCCCTCCTCTGTGACACTCACAGTGTCCGTAAAGGAAGGAGCACCCTTGCATCAGCTACAATGACCAGACACACTCTTGCAGGGTGCTGCAGTTTAGCTAGTCCCGTGGTTGCACTGCAGGTTTGGGTTAGGGGTCGTGTGTGGAGTAGGGTTAGCGGGGTTAGGTGGGGTCACCGCCCTCCACATGCAGCGGAAGCTGTGTGTCATTAGGGTGGATTGACACTGGCGGCCCTTAGGACATGTTCCCATAAGAGAAAACTAGACAATCTACGGTTTTCAAAGACACACATACATCATTTGTCGGATCGGTGTAGATACGTACAGTAAAAGCTATAATTGTAGATTACTTCATTGTGTGTCTACAAGTAAACACTGTACTTCTTATCTCTCTTATATCATAGACGGCAACACACAATGTACATCTGCAAAAATGTCAGGTTTTTATAAAGCATACAGACGGAAAAGAATCTTAAGACGGATACAGAATGCAGACGCAAAGAAAACCCCAATGGGTCCCTGGCATATTGTCTTGTATCTTGAAACATACTGGAGGGATCAACAACATCTGTGTTGGTCAAGTGTAGGTCAACATCTGCTAACTGTGAAGGCCAAACTATGTGGTTCACATACTTTTCAATCTCATCAAACCGTTCACTGACTGTTTGTTTTCTCTATGCAGTGATACCAACACTGAAATGAGATACCAGTCTACCATACCATACTGACTCAGAAAGCTGGATCAGGGAATTAATTTGTTCTTATCAGTACTAATAACAATTCAGTTTATCAACCGGTATCGGATGTCTAAAGGGGTAAATGAAGGGGTGTCGTACCCCCTGACACCTGTGCAACATCTGCATGTGTTAAAAAGCCTTACCTCTTAACTTTAGCTATTGCTAAATTTGGTAGCATTTGTAAATAATCCAATATTCTCCCCCTGTTGCAAATAGATACTACTATTCTTAAATGTATCACCAGTCTGTCACAATGCTGTTAATGCTGAATAACAACAAATATATATTTCTGTCCATTTCTGGATTTGCTTCTCAGTTCTCACTTCAAACGGTTACACTTAAATTGTACCTGTAATGACTCTTATCTATAGCAAGTTGTAAATCGGCTTATTTAGTGAAATTGCACTTTCTTGTTCTTTTGACTTTATCACTTTGGATAAAAGCGTCAGCTTAATGTAAGGTAATATCATGTAAAGTTCATACTCACATATCCAAAGTTCTGAGCTCCTCTTGGGACTCCGGCTATCAGTTCTGGGAAACATACAAACAAAGAAAGACTTAGACTAGTGTGTGTGTGTGTGTGTGAGAGAACTACTAACAGAGAAAGAAAGGGCCCATCGGAGGTTTGTCTCAAAGGCCCGAAGCATTAAATCCCCGACGTAGCCCACCCTGTCAGAGGGGCCGAGTGTTGCTGAGAACGCAGTGAGTGATTTGGTGCTCTGCGCTTGCGTTTTGATTGATGAGTGTGGTTCAGCGGACGATCAGAGGGACCCACGCAGAGACGGAAGACAGGGTCGCTTCTTCCTGCCTTCAAGCTCTACCCGAAAAGGTTCCACCACTAGATTATAAACCAGGTCCTCCCTGCTCCACCACCACTCACTCACAACTCCCAGTTAAGACCGGTCGTCCGTTCAGAAGAGCGTTCAGGGAACAAGACCACAACAAGCTTGGTACCACAACACGACACGTACACACGCATGTGTATCCTCTTAAGGCCCACATTAAGACTCCCTGACATGTGTTGTGCCAGAGGCGGCTCGGGGCCTTGGTAGGATTTACATGGAGGTTTGTAAACGCGAGGCAGGGCCGCAGAGATCCCACTAAACGCTGATTAGCAAAGAGGCGCCGAGAGACAGGAAATTATGAATGGGAAGCTGAAGTGCCATGGAGGGGGAGGGGGGAGGGTCTCGTGTGTGAGACGGAGCTACACAAGAGCGAGTATGTGGTGGCAGAGAGTAAGTAATACAAAAGCGTTTCAATGGTTTAAACAATTTTGTAGAATGATATTGGTCACGTTTCCTTTTTAGATTTTCTTTAGTTGAGCTGAGCTTTGTTTTGAAATCATCATCCTTTGTGTGAATGAAGATCAGCGTGAAGCTCGCATAGAGATGGGAATCAAAATGTCCCACATTCATAAAAAATAAAACACTCTATACATTTACAGGAATCCCAAGCGACTGTATTTTGACCTTTTTTTACTTGAAAAGTCACACAAAGATGAACTCGCCATCACTTTCCCCCACCTGCACCTCTTTCATAAAACAACGCTGAGCGTGCCTGTGCCGCCTTTCCACCATATATTTCACGCCCAGGGAAGATTGCCGACACACTCCAAACCTCAAGAGTCTGTCACTAATCAGTTTAATCAGTCAAAACGGGGGAGAGGAAGTCCCTTTATCAGCAGTTCTCCAAGTCTCGTCCCCTCGGGGTCGTGAGCCAGACATACAGAGACGCTTCTCGTTACTGCCTTTGAGCTCGGACCGGGACGCTGTCAACCAGCTGTCCACTCCCTATCGCCCCCCTCGAGGCGGCGAGAGGACGTGGAGAGAGTGCTCTTTGTCAGGGCGTTTCGCCATTGCAACATCTGGGGCGCTGTAATGAATTGTTTTCTTACTCACCTTGTTCAGAGTCTCCTGTAAACTCCCCCACTGCCACAGAGTAACCTAGAGGGGGATCGGTTGCACATGATGACATGTGGGCAGGATTAACTCGCACTGCTCTGTTTAAACTATACGTGATACGTGTAACGCAGTGTATAATTACTATTTAGGTCAAAGCGGTTGTCACTTGTGTGTGTGTGGTTGTTTTGTAAATGCTTGTTACCAAGGTAGCTGTCGTCGTGTGTGTCTTCGGCAGCTCGGGTGTGTTTCTCTCCTGGAACGCGTCTCAGCACCGCCTTCAAGGAGTAGCCGTTGAGTATCTCAGCTATCCCCGCTGTCATTACCTGGCCTGCACACACACACACACACGCAGTCACACACAGATAGATAGTCGACAAACACTCGGGGTGAGAGAGTCACATCTGTTCATGGCCAGTGGTTTTTAGCTTCGACCCTCCGCTATAGAAACCCGCTGGAGCTGCTCTCTGTGAAAGACTCATGGCGCCAAACAACACGTCGCTGGCTGACTTGAGTCATTGGACTCAAGAGACCAACCGCTGACGGGAAAAAACTGTTTCTGTGGCACAAACGACACTCTTCCTCTGGCTGTTGAACAATAGGTCAAAAAGAAATAAAGATTTTTATCTATGGCCGGCCATAACCTTCCATAAATCCTCCTGTGTATGTGTGTACGCACTGCGCTTAACCTTCCTTCCACTCCTTCTCCCCCCCTTCTCCCTCCTCTTCACTCTGACACCACACAACGAGTTATATCGACTCAATCATTAATTGATTAGACGCCGCCTCACAAACTGTTAACACAGACGCAAAAGTCGCTGCTGCTAACTTGAAGTGTCCTTTAGAGGTTTTTTTTAATAATGACCTGGGCTGAAGAACATCTTTGTATATTAGAAGCTATACAATCCAGGCCGAGTGCTTTTATAAACATTGGGAGGAAGTGTTTTAACTGAAGGCAGCTTGCGCTTGCCAGGCTGAGGACACTGAGAGGGAGGAACCCATTAGGCTGTCCGTGATGTCTGTCGAGAGCGGTTTTGTATGCCGGAGCATTTATTATTTAACCATATGTAACAGCAGCAGACATGCCAAACAACAATCTGAACTCATATTAACAAATTGTTGCACTTTTCTCTTTATTTCCTGACCTCTGGCTCCATCCTTCTTTTGTAAAGAAACGAGGGCTGGTGGAAGTAACACGTGGGGTTAAAAAAAAAAAAGGAAGGACTTTTTAAACTTAGTTAACCTCCTTCCACCTCACAAACAGCTGCTTGGACAAGATATACTAATTCAGATAACACACACAAACACTCTCACGCACCTGGACCCGAGCGATTAAAACACGTCATCCCTCTGCTTAGAACCCTTCATATCCAGCAAGCCAGAGGAGCAGATGATCCATCTTCCTTCTGGGTGTCTGACTTACTGCCTCACTTCTCTCTCTCATGCCTACGCTGCAACTCCTTTCTATCGTCTCCTTAGCCATCCTTAAATCTCTCTCGCTGTCCTCCCTGCTCTTTCCCCACCCGTCTTCAGGCTTCCCTGAAGCCTCTTCCTCCCTCTGCGCTTTATCACAGGGAAGAGGGGCAATTCCTGCACACTCCATTAGCGGCCGATCAGCTCACTACGGAGCCCAAACACACATTTCCTGTTGCACTGCTGCACACAGAGAGGTCCAAGAAGTGAAGGACCAAGCGTGGGGGCGGAAAAAAAGAAAATGAAAGCGACAACGAAAGAGAAGAGACACCTGTAATGAAATGCTGTATTTGGCGCGTGTATGTGGGCTGTTTAACTGACTGACTGCTCCTTCACACACTATTCCCACGTTTGAACATCAATGAAATCATTGTAAAAAAAAGAGACCAAATGCAGGCTGACATACTGCTGCTGCAGTTACCTTGCCAGTAGAAGCTTCCAGGTCCTCCCACCACCAGCATCCCGTCCTGGGATGAGTGAGAAGAGTTGGGGTCAGTCATATGACAGATGCTTGTGCGTGTTTGTTTGAGACTACTGAGGCCCATGCGTGTGTCAGTGTGTACGTATGGATGCTGCTGTCATCCTGGAGAGAATGACAACTTCCTGTACAAGAGGGTAGAGTTGGACCACGAGACAGAGGTCACAGTTCACATTGACTATACAGTGAAAGAATGCGTGTGTGTTTATGTGCGTGTTTGGTCCATCGTGTTCAGAGGCGACGGGAGGCTCCTCTCGGGACAAACGGAGGGGGCTGTCCCGTTTGCAGAAAGCCCCCCTCTGCTTGCACCTCGTCAGGAGACAAGATGTGGGCCCTCGGTTGTCATGGTGATAATGTCATTTCTGATACTGTCTTTACCTTGTTGAAATCCACACTAAAACCAGCCTGGCAGAAGCCTTGTCCCTCTGGGTCTGGATCATCTGAAAAAGAGACAAACATCTCTTTGCAATATAAAATATAAAAAACACCTCACTTCTTAAATAGAGCACGGCACTCGTCTAACTTTACAGACAGCTTTTACATAAAATCCATTACAGTTTACAGAAAAATGAACCACTGGGATGTGTTAGTGTTTCAAAACTGCATAAAAGTGAGCACTATTAAACAAAACATAATAAAGTGTTCTCTGTTTCAGAGCCAACCGGAGGGGCAGACTAATAATGTGTAATGACACACCTGCATGTATAAACCAAAAGTGAGTTGTTGTTGTTATAGTCTGAGTTGTCAGGAGTTGTGAATTTTATGTTAAGATGACGCAAACTAGCTGTTGTAGGCAGAAAAAAACATATATAGACACCTGATAAAGAAATACTTCCTCTGCAGCGCGAGTCCCCCCCTTGAGAGTGGTTGAGTTTACGATGTGATTATTCTAGTCCTGATTAGTTAGAACTGAGATAAACAACCAAATAGAGATCTTTAACAACCTTAAAACGCTACAGGGAGTGTAGTTATTAAAGTGTGTGTTTCTGTGGAGGGTGAGGCCTTTTATGCAGAGCAGATGATGGAGAGGACGATAAGAACCGTGTTTGATCTGCTGTTGACGATGCGCCACCTGATAGTCTCCATTTCTACTTATCGCATCGAGAGGAAACATTTTTCTGTCATTTCAATCGTGTCCTCTGACTGTGGTTTTGGTGTTATTGGCCCAGATTTTGAGATGTTCCTCTGAGATTACTGCTGCCAGGCGAATACAACAGAATTTTGATTTTGAAAAAACACTTCAAAACGGTGCCTTTGAGCTTGAGGCCTTGGTATTATGTTTTATAGGCAGAGTACATAATACGGCGTATTAGGGCGCGGACTACGAAAGCCACGTCGTTAACATTCGGAATAACGTGGTTCATTTGTGGTCAAGCTGACAGCAGAGGGAGAGAGAGACAAACAACGGGCGGCGGGATGGAGGGCAGCCAGAGGGAGAGTCGGAGACGAGGCGACGGTGACTCACTGGTCCTGCAGGGTGAGTACTCGGCGTAGGCGCTGAAATTCTGGACGGCCACGTAGCAGGTCCCGACCGGGTCCTTCTCCCCGCTCAGATTCACTGTCCGCCAGTGGTAGAGAGGAGCACATGCCTGCACGACACACACGACTCTCATTCCGGTTCAAAGAATGTTGGATATTACCGCATGTCGTGTCCGCTCACCACCACTTTTCCTTTGTGGGTCCTCACGGATGCTCCGAACCACTGGTGCGACTTGAACTCCAGAGGCTCTCTGGTGCCGTTTACCTTTATCATCCTGTTGTCTGGAGAGAGACGGAGACGAGGGGGGGGATATGACATTTAAAAAATAATATTAATGGCACCAGTAGGAGCTGATATTGGCTGTGGTAATGTGGATACAAGCCAGCAGCTCTGCCTCTGTGAGCGGAAAACATTTGTCCTTGATAAACGAGGACAAACAGTCTTAAAGAAGCCAATAACCAACATCAAACCACCATTTGTCCCCCAGAAAAGACATTTGTCAGGATGCTGGGTTTTTTTTCTAGTTAAAGGTTTTCCTACAACACTCTAACTTCTTGGCCTACGCACGCAAACACACACACACACACACACACACACACACACACACACACACACACACACACACACACAAGGCAGTATGTGCACATTATGAGTAACAATAAAGTCTTAGTTTTGGTGTGAGTGCATGTGTGTCTCTTCTCCGTTATAGATATTTTCCAGCATTGTTAAAGACCAGCTGGGTCCCTTTAGGTCTGTGAAGACCCCTTCACGTTAAAGGCCTTCCTCTGCCACATACCTACACTTAGAAAGGCAATAAATGCATAACAGCCGGGGGGGGCGGTGGATTGTTATAGAGTTTATTGATTTGAAAACTATTTCTAAATGTAGATCGTGTCACTATCACCTCATCGTTTACAGGATCTATGGCGGATTGTTAGACATGTGTGCTTGCATTTTTCATGTAAGTCGTTTCATGAAAAATCAAGTCGAGTTTGTTCTGGAAGATTTAAAAGCAAAAAGAAGGACCAAGAGACCAGGTGTCTTTACTCTAATTACGGACATGAAATCACTATCACTACATCACCCCCACCCCTCCCCCCCAACCCCCCTCTCGCCCTACTTGACACATCTGCATAACGTCACAGGAGCCACACAAGTACATACGCACACACACACACGCTGAGATGCACGGATGTTAACCAGTACAGTGCCCACAGATGTTCACCTCTCACTCGGATACATCAACGGTGTGCGTGAGCGTGTTTGTCTCCTTGTCTGGTTTGTACCTGTGATAAAGCGTCTGCGCTGTAACTATAGAAATATCTACCGTGGTCACCGTCATCCACCACCCACCCATTCTGCTGTGTAGATACGCACACATGACACACATCTGTTCCCCTCTGTGTTTATTCTTACATCCCCAAGATCTGAAATTTCCCCTAAAACTCACACTAAAACTAAACCCCTTGGTGAAAATAACACATAATTAACCGGGGAAAAAAAGAGAGAACGATCCTCACTTTTGAAGTTTACCCTCATGTGAATGGTGCCTTTCTTTCGGTCAGGCAGAACAATAATGTTGGGCATCATCAGCTGATCGGCTATCAGCAGTTTTATTCATAGTTCAGCGACAGAGCAGCTGATCAGGAAAACATCCAATTATCTTCATACTCGCACAGCAGCGTACATTACATGACTGTCATCAGCAGGTCCATCCACAGTTTAAACTTCCTGACTAAACCATGAGTTTTTGATACAGTTCACACTGCCGCATTCTCATGTTCATGCATGTTGACGCCTCTCTCGCGATGCTGTCTGACAAATGATCTCATCAAGACAGAAGCTCAAACCACTTCCGCCAAAATAAAATGTGTAACAAACGATCAGCTACTTCTGCATCTCTCTTTTTCAGGTCCTCACAAAGATGATGGAAGTTCTCACAAAAAACGACAACAGAAGAACAAAGAGAGGGGAGGGAGAGAACGATGGAGAGCAAGAGAGGAGACAGGAATCATTTTTAAAAAATCTAATACAAAGCAGACCTCACCCAATCCCCCTTTCCTCTGAAGGGGAACAAAATTCCCATGTGCACACGGTTTACCCCCCTCCCCTCTGTCTCTCGTTTTCTCACTTGTTCCCCCTCTCCACCTCGTTCACAAACACACACTTACTACTCAGACGGAAAAGCGTGCATCGGAGACATTAGACGCACAAACACGGGCTGATTGGACAGTAAACCTTGATGATGACATATTGAAAGCCATAACCGACCTGATGGAGGCTTCTGCCAGCAAACCCTCCAGCCACCTTTTTTGTAAGATGAAGTTGATGCGACCCATATGTCTTATCTCTCTTTTTCATGCAGCAGCACATGGGCCAACTCATTTCCACACACTACGCACAGGCTACAACACTGTTCCAAGTGGATGGAGTAACATCTAGGGACGTCTACGCGTTAGAAAGCACACGCCACAATAGAAGGAGTCTACAGAACATGTTTAAACCCAGGGGGGGTCCCTCAGGAAGTCTTTCAGTAATTCATTTTAATCTGCAAAAGTATTTTCAGGTAACTCACTTGAATTATCAAAAGGAATCTGTCTGCAGCTGTCCGGCGCTCCGGGCCAGGGGCAGTAGTAGACAGCCCCAGCCTCCACCACACCGGGCTGGGAGGTGTTTGCCTTGGGAGCCCCAACCAATACACTGATCCTGAAAAGAAAAGAACAAAAGAACCAAGCTAAAATGTAGGAAAGTGTGCAATGGATTATACAAGCTTATTATTTTCTCTTCATAACTCTGGTTTGCTCAGTCAATCAGAAATCTGAATCGCTGCTCCTCCCGTCCCATTGCAGGATGTCATACTTTTGGATTTCATTACATGTTATTGAGTCTGCTGGAAAGCATATCTTGGCAGCTTAAACTAGATAGATAGAGTTTGATCCTGATGGGACAACATTCCTGATGTTGCCACTCACGTGTTGCTGTCGGAGGACGCTTGGTAGAAGTCCACAGAATAGCCAAAGTAACTTCCATCGGGTCCTCTGTAAACGGTAGGACGTTCTGCGTAAAGGTTAAAGCTCAAAACTCCATTTGGCGCCGACCACAGTACCGTCAGCACCCCGAGGATAAACATCCCAGCAGAGCAAGCACCGTCCCGTGCGCGCTCCATCCCGAAAGAACAGACGCGCACTAGTCCCGAAAAATGAGAGGGAAACCAGGGGCCGGGGGGGAGGAGGAGGGCGGGTGAAGATGGAGGGTTTCCTCGGTGCAGGTGAGGTGGGTTTTGTCCCGGATTAAGCACGCCGACTGGCCCTCTCACCGGATCACTGCGCTCCTCCAGAAGTGCGTCCTGACGCACGGAAACCACCAGGTCTGTCCGGAGCCTCCAAGGCTGCGCCGCCCCGCCCACAAAACCTTACCCCCCACGCGCATACACACGCGGATACACGCGTACACACACACTCACACGCACGCACACGCACGCACACACACACACACACACACACACACACACACACACACACACACACACACACACACACACACACACACACACACATTAAAACGCATAGGTCGTAACGGGGCATGCGCGTCACGGTCCCTCGTTTTATTGCACGTGCAACTTTTCTGTGGCGAATTGCGCGCTTCAACCTGAAACAATAAAGAATATTAAAGTGAGATTTACGGCCGGCTGCTCAAATCAGTGGCACAAGGAAAGTTGGAGCCCAAATACAAAGGTTTTGCAATGAATTGCACGCCATTATGCTCGTGAGCACTTTGTCCAATCATACCTGCAGTTCTTTCCGCTGAGATGGATCTGCTGTAATCACGTGGGCGGTTATTGCGTTGGCTCGCTGCAGAACGAGTCCAGGCGGTTTGGACCGGCCACACTTTGAGGCGATTTAAACGAAGCAACATGGGCCTTCTTTCTCACTGAACAAAATGATAACAGTCCCGCGACGATAGAGAAGTGACGCGCCACACCAGGCAGTTATTTTGTACATTCAGAATCAGCTGAGCACTCTTTGGAAAATCTCTCTTATCAGAAATGAGAGGAAGCGATGTGATCAAGGGACCATTTCATTTGGTTTTAAACTAATGGGCACTTAGGAAATGGATTCAACTCCCACACCAGACTCCCTCGAAGACTGCAAGTCAGTCAGTTCCTCGGCCAGTAGAGTTTATAGGAAGCAGGCGAGAAGGTGAGGTAAAGAGTGAGAAGACCTTGACCTGCCACATGGGAGGGTGTCTCACTTCCACGGCCTCGAACTGCCCTCCTCCACTTGTTGCCTTCCATCCGTCTGTCCATTCATCATTCCGTCAACATCCTTCCATTAAACATGTCTCTGTCCTTTGTTTTCATTTCATTTGTGCAAACTTAAACATCTACCTGATCATTTTTGTGTGAGAGAAAGAGGAGTAAGGGAGAGGGTCTGTTTCTTCTCAACCGTGTGCAACTCAATGTAAATCGGAAGAAATGTGGATGATGATGATGTCGATGATGGAGGGAGGAAGGAGCAGATGGGTTCAGTGTGTGGAAATGCCAGGGAATAAGGGCACAGTGGTGCTTTATATTCTACACACTGTAGGCCCACATCCTGTCTGCATTAGACATTAGACACCCAGCCAGCATCACAACTCAGATACTGGAGCATAAACAGAGTTAAAACTCCTGAGCCAGAACAGAAAACTGTCCCTTTGCAACGTGCCCCTTGTTTAATGGCACATAGAATTGCATCTTTTGGGGAATTTTGATGCAAACCTAATTATGCAGTTTTGTGTTTACATAGAGACACTTAAGTCACCATCAGTGTCGTGGAGATTTAGCGAATTACTGATTTAGAGTCTCTCTGGGGGAAAAGGTGATGGTATGTGATTTAGTGTAGAGGGAAACCATAATGACCTTTGACATCCTCAACCTGAGGTTGTCAATGGAAGGATATTAATGAGGAAAAAAAAGACACATAGAAAAGAACAGACATACGATTTAAAAAAAGCCAGCAGACCACGCAGCATTTGAACAAAAGAAGTGTTTATTCCGGAACCTTTGAGTGTGATAATAAATACATGAACACTCGGCCAACATCTAATGTGTGTTGCACAAAGCACGCACACACAGAGCACCAAAACCAGCTTCATCTCAGTGAAAAGAATGAAGAAACCTTCTGTTCCATGCGCCCGGGTTGGTCCCTTTTACGCTGTAAACGCTTATCAGTTGGTGTTACGGAGTATGTGTTCTCAAATGTGGAAGGCTTTGGTAGGTTTTCCCTAAAACAGTCCTGTGGCTGGATCAACAGCAGAGTGGCTTTACATGCGGTTCAGTGTGCGTTTTTTGGTGTCACGCTGAAGTCGCCCTGAACCGGTTTGCTGTCCAGTTTCCGTCTACAGTAGCAGAGTGTTATAATAAACAGTTAATTTTTTATTTCTCTTTTAAATAATTACATCAACAACATCCTGTGTCAAATAGAAGCAAGAATAGAATAGAATTTGTGTGGAATGTGTGAGTGAGAATAGAGGAATGGATCTCAGTCATTCAATGTGTTCTTCTCCGTCTCTTGTGGCCATTTGTGTTCTTCCCCTCTCATTCGTCTCTATTGTATATGTTGATGTTGTCTCAGTTGAAACCTGCCGTCCCTTCGAGGTGAGTGTGCAGTGGGGACGTTGGAGAGGGCTGTGTGTTGTGTGGAGCAGTAGGGGTCCGTCCACGTGCACAGACACACGGACTGGGAGTGCTAGTTCAGTGAGGGGGAGCGGTCGGTGGTCCACAGGAGCTCGATGTAGGGCCACCGGGTCTGTAGGCAGCGCTTGACCGGAGTGTCGTCCGTCCGCACCATTGGGTCCTCAAAACCCAGAACCAAAGCTGTTCCTTCTACGTATTCCACCTGAGCGAGCGAACACAAACACACACACAGGGCAATACACAGTTAAGTAAACACCCAAATTGAAACACTGTCTGCCATATTTCTTCTGAAAAGGTCAGGGGTGAGATGCCAGGGATGGAGGTAAAGTAACAACACACACATACACGCACGCACACCTTTCAGTAAGTCTGTTATTCCCATCTGGAGCTATGGGAATGGAATTGCCATCCCCCACCTGATAGGGCTCTGATGCCAAGTGCATATATATGTGCGTGTGCGTAGGCGTGGGTTTTTGTGTGGGCAAACATCTGGTGACGTTCCTACATTTTCAAATAGATTTATGGAGAAACTCTGCTTTACAACCTAGACTAAGCTAACAGATGAAGAAAGTGATATTCCTGAGTACCTTTTTTGTTTTTGCACAGCCACCAACGGCCTCCTATGACAACCATCCATCAAACTAAGCCTACTTAACAGGCCTGAGTTTGAACATTTATCAAAGCGAGGCTGCTGACAGCGGCCTCCGTGTTGAAAGGACTCAGAAATAGGAGGCTAAGCTGAGGTTTTGGGATGGATGGACAGGCTATTAGGCTTGAAATAGCTACCGTTTTTTATTTTGGAATGCTCGGCCACCTCCAATCTGCGTGTGTGTGAGCTTGTGAGTCATGACAGGAACGGAAGAAGAGCAGCAGGCGGGGAGAGGGGACAAGGAATCACCATCAGTCACTATGAGCAACATGCAGGTGAAGGAGTGTCTTACCCTCTCGTTGTGGTTGGACTGTTTGAGTCCGTTGTAGTGGTAGACGGGGAATGAGTCTGGGATTCCTGAATCCTGAGATTGTAAAACATGAGATATTCTTGGAGAGCCTGTTCTCACAGAGAAAGAGGTAAAGAACCACAGGAGCAGAACATTTCTGAACTGAAAAAAAATAAAGCAGACACATCTCTGCCTGCAACCGAAGCTCCTTGTTAAATCCCTCGTGTTCAATTTAAACATGCGCCTGTGTTTTTGTACGGGGAGGTGAAACTCCAACTCCAATTACCAGACAACCTCCAACACTACAAACACATCCGAACAACGACATTGAGCCAAAACACTTCCAATGAGATTGGCTTCAAGGCGCAGAACGCTAATAGGGAGTGTGTCCAGCTTCCCGGGTAGAGATGCCTTTGTATGAAACTCTAACCCTCACCCCGATCCCACGTGTGTCTGAGTGTGCGTGTGTCCAGTTGGCTAATGGTAGTATAATTTCTTTGCGGCTTGGGGCCGTTCCTCCGGTGAGTCCCTGAAGCCCTGATCACTTTAACACTGTTCCCCTGGATCGCTCCCCCTCCCGCTTTGCCTCACCACTCTTTCTAAGCTGACTGGCAAGCAACGGCACGTGATGGTGAAAGAGACGTTAGTGTCACAGATGTGTTTGCATGTGGACTCGCTGTCGTAGTTTTAACAGCATCTTGGAAGTTGAAGTCTTGCGTGTGCACACACACACACACACACACACACACACACACACACACACACACACCTGATCAGGGAAAAACTCCAACAGGAACGGTCCAAGAAGAATAATGCCCAAATTCTCTGGATCCAGTTTGCTCTTCACCAGACTGACACTGAGAAGAGAAAGAGAGACAGAGAGAGAGATTGAAGGGAAGTAGTAAAGAGTAGAGAAAAACAGATCAACAAATCCAGAGAGAAAAATGCCGTTCACGAGAGAAGCAGCCATCAGAGTAATACTTATGTTATTTTATGGTCTTATGTGTATGACAACCCAAATCCCTTTTACGATCCTTTTTCTGATACGTGTTTTGGCGTCTGTCTCCATGTTTTCACGAATATCACGGTGCAACTAAATATACCTCTTCCCAGACATTCCTCCATGTTAGGTCAGTGTTATTATTATTTCACTATGATAAAAAAAAAAAAAAAAAACTCTGGTCAAATTGTCCTTTTAAGGCTGCAGGGAGAGAAGTGAGCGTTATAATAAGACACAGGGGGAAGGCAATGCTGGTTTCTCCAGCTATTGATTCTTACGGTCGACGTGTCGTTGAGCAACACCAAGACGTGCTATTCTATTTTCAACCGTATGTTTCCCTAGCAAGCAACGTTAGTAAAAAGGGCTCAGAATCCATAATATGTATACAAACACTTTTTCTCATTCAATTTAATGAGAACGTGTGTCCAAACTCTTGACTGGTACATGAAAGGGAAAACCTGAGGGCAATACCAGTTTTAGTGGATTTATGTTGTTTAAAAAATAAATCATATCAGTGTTCGAGGACTAAGGAGATTTGTTTCAGAATACACAAGCATTCATGTTTTCAAGGCTGTTTTTTGACAATGACTTAGTATGTTAAACAGTAAATCAAGTAGCTAATGATCAAGAGACTAATTATAAGCTGTGACTTTTTCTGAGAGCAGTCAGTGTTCAAAGTGGTTTCAACCAGCGGCTGGTCACAGGATATGTACAAATCTTACGTCATAAGCAAAAAAAAAAGTTTGCACTTATCTTCAATGAGGGATGAAAGCCCCCAATTCATTTAATCTAGACTCCCCCATTAGTCCATAAAATGCTCCCTTTTCACACGGAGGAATCCATGCAGTCACTCTCAGTTTGTTGTGATGCATCGGCCATCTGGGGCCCCGTGGAGCAAATCCGTGGTCCAGTTACTTGGCCGATGCCCACGACTGCAGCGCTCGGGCTTACTGTTGCTCAGAGGAGACGGTGCTTCTGTTTGAAGTCGCACTTTAAAGCATTTCCTCCCTCCGGGTCTTTTTTCCTGCTGTTAATGATCTCCCTCTAAGCCTCTTTTCGGGACTTTTTATGCGCTTTTATAGTGGGCGCTCTCCAGTCTTACTTTATAGCAGGCTGGTAGTGAAACATGAGCACGGGGCTGATGACCTGCCCCGGCCATGACTTAGGAGTTGGAACTTTAGAAGCTCTACAGGTGCCACACACACACCAACATGCAAGCACTCACTATTCAGGCTCGGAGACAAGGTCAAGGGCTTTCATCACGTCCTCTAGCAGAGAATCGGGGATGAAGCCATTATCTGGAGAGAAAGAGAGAGAGAGAGACATAAAGAGAGAGCAATGCAACGACTGACCCTGAAAAGAACATGAAATACAGGCTGTAGCTGAAAACCAGGGGAAGCCTTTACCCACACATATGGCACAAGCACTACTTACATCCCTGGCCTTGGGGAATTAACTCGTCTGAAAAAGAGGAAAACATCCCCTGTCCCTTCTGGTCGGGCCTACATTCCATGGCCATGATGATGGCTTTACCTGAGAGGAGAAGCTCTAAACACCAACATGTGTTTCTGCCCAAGGCATTTACAGATTTGTCTCATTAAAACATCTGTGTGTGAGGCCTGTTGTTTAGATACATACGCTAAACCCCCCGGTGTGGGTTGTGAAGAAGAGGAACTCTCAAGCCTCTCAACCGTGCCTTTTCAATACATTGCAAAACGCTGTGACACGATAGATTGCTGTGCGCGTGTTTCTGGTGAGTCACTGCGGTGGGTGTTAATGTCCCTGGCGCCTCGTTTTCCACTACACAGGGAGCTCTGCTGACTCCCCATGTGACACATTTGTGGGCTTTTTACACCGTACTCAACTGTGCTGCTGGCTACAGCCTGTGTGTATTGATTGCAGTGTGTGAATATGTGCAAGTCACGTACGGTGCATCCCCCTTGCACGTGTGAATATATGCATATTGATCTGTCTGGAAGCATCTACTGTAGTCCGCGCACCCTTTGGGTATGCGTGTGTTTTGGGGTCTGTCTTTGCACGGGTGTGTTTGGGAAATTACCATATGGCTTGCAGAATGTCCTAGCAGATTTGAGAATGTGCAAAGCTGCATCATGTGTAATAAAAAAAGACAGATGGAGATCAAAGGGGAAGAACGAGGTGACAGTCGGGTCGAACATATTTGTTTTTGAGAAATGACTGCTTTGAGCTGGTGGGATTAATCTTATTGTAACATCCTTTTGCACCACAGATACAGATCAGCATGTTGTTCCTAGAAGCCTGCACATGAATAAGGTTTTTATGTCGACAGAGAACAGCACCCTTCATTTCATCATGAGAACAGTTCATATTAATGTATGTGGAAGGCGGGGGGATTCTAACCCTCGTAGCGTAGATAGCTGCGTGAGGGGTGTGATGTTCCAGCTGGACATTCACACTCATTGAATGAGACTCCCAACATCGCTGCATGTCTTCCTCCTCTCGACAGGGATTCTTTTCAACACTTCTTACTGTGCTCATGATCACATGCAAACTTCCCACACTGATTTCGAGGCGACATGAATGATGCAGTAAAGCTTCTCTTTAAATTTTGACTGTCATCGCGTCCCTTCCTGTTTCCTTCCCCTGGCCTTTAAGCCCAACCACCTGGGAGTCACGAGAAAGTCGGTTGAGGAAACGAGGAGCGAGATGGTTGACTCAGCTGTGAGAGGAGCTCACCAACCTAAACATCAGCAGTGGAGATGAAGGGAGAGAAGCACACCCTCGTTCTGCCGGAAGAGCAAAAATAATGCTCAACCAGGAAGAAGGGAAGAGAAAGAGAAACAGGCCCGGGATAATGTTTTCTCAGTGTGTGCAGTTTTGTGCGAGTGAAGGTTTGGATTAATCAAAGTACTTCTGTTTGCCAGGATTGCCATAAAGCCGGCATGAGAATGGTCTATAAAAACAAGTGTGATAATATTAATAATGTGTAAATTATGCACGACACAAACGCTTGTTCACTACCTTCGGGATCAAATGACTGGAAGACCCTCCGCGCCTGTTCTGATGGAGACTCTGGCCCCACCAGGGACATCTCCTACAGAGAGGAAGAAACAATTCATGAGGGAGAGAATCGCAAGAAGGTGTGAATAAAGACGTACGACCCAAAAGTCCAGAAACAACAGTCATTAAAATGCTACAATGGGGCGGCGGGGAACGGAGCACTGGGGCAATTGGAGAAGTTATAATATCATCGTGAACAATGTGGCTCAATCAGTGCTGGAACAGAACAGCAATTGACGCGCAGCTACGAGTAGCGTGTGGTGTGCGGGTTTGTAATCCGAGGGGCCGGGGCAAAGCACCAGAATCACAACGCTTATTAACTGATCTTCTGATAAAGTTAGACGGCCTGTTTTCACTCCAAACACACAATCAGGAAATTGAGTCTTACATATACAACCGTTGATTTATGACAAGCTCTGCCGTGTTTGTTGTGGAAGTTCAGAACGAGTGGTGCTGGCAGGCAGATTAGAAATGACAGTGTGTGTGTGTGTGTGTGTGATGCCCCTTTAGACTGGCCAATGATGCAGATGATTAAATGAAGATGTCAGCGTTCTCTACACTGCTAGTCAGATCATCTATTTGAGTAGGAAATCAATTCAATTGGGCAACTGAGTGAAACAACGTTCAAAAGACACCCCAAATAAACTGTTAAGATAAATTACACTGAAACAATAAATAAATACGAATAAGACATATAGAGATCACAGACACAGGGCGCCACAGCCAGGAGGAGCGCTTTTGATTGTGACCTTTTTGACATTTTACTTTTGGATTTGGTGGGAAGATAGTTGGAATTCCCAGGTTTGTGTTGGACAAATTTCAGCACTCATGATCTCATGGGAAAGGAACTTCTGTCTCGTCTTATTTTTTATTTCTAAACATAATGTGATATCTTAAAGCTTACGGGGAGATCTTGCCCGGAGCTTACAGCATGTTTAAAAGCTGAATGAGCATCACTTTCTGATTGTCAACACAACAATGACAACGAACGCAAGGGGCGAATAGCTCCTTAAAATACATTATATGATACAACAACTTCAAGAAGGAGATACAAGGGATATTTTTACAAGAGAGGATGAAATTAGATACATCTCAGAGATGCTTACTCAGCCGTATCGGTCTTACATACACACATAAATCATGTTCAAGCGATTCAGAGTTCTCACTCTTCTCCTTTATGACAGAGAGTGTAGAGCTGTAAAAACACCGTGCTTTTGGAAAGCAAATGAAGACTTCTTATCTTCTTTATTAACGCTCAAGCCTCAGATTCACGCAGCCTGCTTGGGTTTCAGGGTCCACTTGCTAACAAATTCAAGGCTTACTCAGGGAGGGAGAGTGAGGGAGACAGCGAGATGACTCCCAGCTGCCAGCTCTTCAGATGCAAAGAAATAACGGGTACAGGCGAGCGAACACGCGCTGACTCACAGTTGTGTCGCAGAGCCTTGGTGTGTGAACATTACAGGCTCCATAAATCTGACGTTAGATTTATCATTAGCTTAGCTAGACACACATGTGTGTGTGTTTCACTCAGAGGGGTCATTTTGGTGCGTTGGGAAGAGTGGTTGAGTGCATCCCAAAGACAAACATACATAAATGTGGGATTGGCAGAAAAGCGTGTGCCTCGAAACGACTTGTTTTGATAAAACTTAACTTATTACATTTAAGAACCATAAATCTGACCTAAGAAAACATGCATCTCTCCCCAAGGTGATGAGCAGCCAATCCATCTCAGGCTGCCAAATGCAATGCTGCTACTGTAAGTCTTCTGAAACAAAGGTTGCTTAAATCAGTCAGATTAAATGGCCTGGTCACCGCACAGCTACAAGATGGTAACACTCTTAACACGGGGCTCAAGACCAAGGAAACAACTTGAAACACAACATTAGCCCATGGACATAATATCAGGCTAATGGGCATGACACCGTGCGCAGACCTACATAATGGTGCAGAAATGACGTGATTGTGTGTGTGTCTGCCCGGCTGCGTTTGATCTGTGTTTTTATGAGCAGCCTAAAGGAAGATGCCGCTGAGTTAGAAAACATGTCATGGAGCGAACACACTCCGCAGGGAAGACGTGTGCGTGTTTGTTTTCACGGATCCCACTGTGTCACAGGACGATTGTGTCTGTAAGAGAGAATCCGCCAGGATCAGGGCTGTCGTCTGCCGGAGGTCGTTTGCTTGGACTCGAATGCAAGCAGGCACCCCGTTCTCTCAGCGCGCCCAAGCAGTCCCACTCACGCAGAGATGTAGTACGATGAAACACTCACACAAAAGGACGGGTTATCAGCAAAGGGGTAAATTATGTAATCAAGGGGCACATTTCCAATTACCACAGACAGACTTTTTGGCAAAAACCCTTGACCCCCTTAACATAGGCAGCTGAAGAAACTCAACCTGCCAAAGACGATGATGGTCCACTTCTACATGGCCATCATCGAGTCCATCCTCTGCTCCTCCATCACCGTCTGGTACGCTGCAGCCACAGCCAAGGACAAGGGCAGGCTGCAGCGGGTCATCCGCTCTGCAGAGAGGGTGATCGGCTGCAATCTGCCGTCCCTGCAGGACTTGTTCGCTTCCAGGTCTCTGAAGCGAGCTAAAAAGATCGCGGCCGACCCCTCCCACCCCGGACAAAAACTGTTTGTGCCCCTTCCATCTGGCAGAAGGCTGAGGTCCATCAGGACTACGACCTCCCGCCACACGAACAGTTTCTTCCCGTCGGCAGTCGGGCTCATCAACAGAACACTGCACAACTCCAACTCTTGACTTTTTCTTCCATTCTTGCCCCCCTCAGCCTGCCTTTTCCCCCTTTATCTGATCTTGCAGGTAGGTACTTCAGACAACACAGGTAGGCACTGTATACTTCACTAGAATTACTCCCTCTTTCCCTCCGGTCCAGCTAAAGAACTATTGTTTGTGCTGAGAGGCTCTGAGTGGCCATAGAGTGCGCCTGAAGGGATCAGTTTCAAGACAACAAAGCAAAGGGCTCGGACAGTGTGTCTCCGGCCTTGTTCCTAGCAGGCAGCGACAGACACACAACATGACAGGCCGAGGAGGACGCTCAGGACGGAGTCTAGAGACTACGGGTATGCGTTCATGTTTTTTGCCTAACTTTAAATAGTTTCACATGTGATTACGAAAACAAAAGGAAAACCTCTCTTTTTCTCTTGCTAACAAAGGAGTGTCTGAAGTATCTAATGTATTGTGTGTGTGTGTGTGTGTTTCAGGTGTGAGTGACAGTACAAAGTAGTGATTTATGGAGCTGTCTACAATGACAAAAGACTATGTCTCATCATAAAAGAGGCAACACCAGTGGATAGTTACACAGCGTAATGATGGGTCCTATAACGGAAAACGACACACACGGGGAACAGAAGAATAATGCAGCATACACACACAGAAACGGACAGCTTTTCATATCCCTACAATGACCATGGTCTGACCTGTCACAGATTATTAATGACTGTAATGGTCTCCGCTTTGTGACTCGGTGTGTGTGTGTGTGTGTGTGTGAGAGCCTGCACCCTTGTATCTTACAAAGGACGAAGTAATCTTCTATAACAGAAATCAAAAACTTGTTCCGGCTGCCTTTTACATGTTACATGTACATATTACTGAATGTAAATTCCCATGCGTAAGATTCTATCATTTTCAGATTCATCACGTCCAATGTAGTAATTCCGACCGACCTGTGATTAAAGGCAGTTTGCGTTTGATTTATTAATATGAAATGATGGCCTCATGCGATGCTTTACATAATTTACTGCCTGATTTTTCACATTCTGCTGTACAAACGGTTAATCATTATTGACCTTAAGAAAACATAGTTTGTTCCAAACCAAGAGTCTCTTGCTAGCTCGGTCGCCTGAATCAACTTCAAGATGCGGCTGAAAGCTCTGAAACAAGGTAATAAATCAACCTCGAGTCTAGAATATTATTCTACAGACTGTCATAATGATTTTCCAAAGATATAGCCAGAGTGCCGTTACGTTACCAAATATATCAATACAGAAATACCAAAACCAAATACTAAGATTAACAGAATAAAAATTTAAAACAAGTATAAAATATATAAAAACCCATGTGCAAAGCTTTAATGAATTTTGTTAGGTTGCTAATCAAAAGGACCGTACTTAATTCAAATTCCCGCTGATGAGCAGCAACGTATACGTCTACTTAAGTACTTTTCAGTTTTTCATGGCGATACTCTTCGAGTATCGGTATATCGTGCAAGACCCTTACTTTAGTTTTGCCAATAAAGCCTTGCTGAGAAAACTGACCTCCATTAACAGTGTCATACACACATATGCATTTTAGGTTCCTGGTCTGTGCCAGCAAATGAAGGACATTTTGCAGACACATTTTAACTCTAGACACACAGCCCCTCTCTCTCTCTAATCACCAAACCAGAACACGACAACTGCGCGCGTGCGCACACACACACACACACACACACACACACACACACACACACCGTGAACCTCATCAGTCTGTGAGGAGAGAGTAAAGAGCAACAAGAAATTTTCCCGAGTGACCACTGCAACGCTCTTTAAAGTGCATCCTTCCATTCTGCTTCCTTTCCTCCTCCTTCATTCCCATGAGGGACCAATAATGTGAAGAGGATGGTTGAGGTGCCCAAGGGAAACCTTCACTTGAGCATCCAACCTGCTGCACAGTTTTTCCAAAGGTAGAAACAGGGAAAGGAAGGGCAAAAGAATCCTTTTTAATAACATATTGCATGATGTGTCTCATAAATCACACGTCCCATTTCCCCCTTGCTCACTTTCCTCTGGCGTCTCAGAAACTCTTGTCCAAAAACAGATCCATTACATGCCATTATACACACAGCCTCTTTCTCCCTCTCACACACACATAAATACAACAGAGGATAGATAATATGGGGGGTGTTGTGGGTAGGGATCAGAGTTGGCGGAAAAGCCTTTGTGTAGGTAGATTAGATAAAAACACTAATGCCATTAAGCTGATGGTCTGAAAGCCACAGTCACACACTGACAGCGACTCGTGGGAATACACACCCGTCCCCAATGGCAGACAGAAGGAGCCGCTGACACATCAGAAGCAGGGATCGGGTTTTCGGCTTTTGTAGGGATGGCTCTTTATCGGAGCTAAAAGCTAGAAAACCAGTTAGCGTGTATTTTTGTATCACACAGCCTGGGAAATCTCAGTGTGTTTCAAATTAGCCCTGGTAAGGGTCACACCGAGTGCGCCCCCCCACTACCCCCAGCAGACCGCCCTTGCCCCGTGTCTTCCCCCCTTGGCTTGGGCTCAAAGTTTTAGAGGCGGCACGCTGTAGCGTCAGCCACGTACGTCAGTTCATGTGCATGTATGTGTGTGTGTGTTCCCAGTCTCCAATGGGACAAATGGATCCAGATGGGAACTCTGGAATCACATTCCCTCCAGGAAGCCATCCACCTGAAGCCCCACACACACACACACACACACACACACACACACACACACACACACACACACACACACACACACACACACACACACACACACACACACACAAATCAGGATTAGGTTCCCTGGGCTCTGGAATGTGTGTGTATATGTGAACATGTCACTAGTTCCCGAGGAGTTGTAGCAATCTGCAAGTCTGCTCATCAGCGCATGTATGACGACTTTGGCTCATCACTGAGCCAACTGATCTACTCTGATCTACTCCCCTCGCATGCCAGAGCTTAATGCATGTAACTGAGCTTTTAATCAATAGTAAATTAAGGGTGTGGCGTTATGATGCAGATGATTGCAGTGGATTTTTCTGCCTCTCTAGTGCCATTTGCACAATAGCAGGGAGAATCAATTTGCTGCAAGCAAACCTTGCAGCTTACTCCACCGGCTACAGCCATGCGTCATGCTAGATGTTCAGCAATAGAGATGATGCTGAACATGCTGGTCTGAGTGCACACTGGCCGACTGCAGGCTGGTGCATACTTGAGTTGGTGCTGTTTAGGAGAAGGACTTCTCCTTTAAGACCAGGAATCCTTTGAGTTTTTCCTGCATTTTGAAGGACATATACCTGGTTTTTGTTTCCTGCATCAGTCTTTCACGAAAAGCTACAAGAGTGATATTCTGCAGCACAAATTCTTACAAATTTGTCGAACCCAGGCATCCAGAATGCAAATATTTGCATGGAGCAGTCATTTAGAGCAAACCTCAAAAACTAGGATATTTTCTTTTAACAGGTCCTTTTTGAAATTCATCTAATTTTGAACAGTAAATCAGCAGCTCTTCATTTGATGCTATTATTATGATTTCTCAAAATCTTATGAATCTCAGTCTAATTGTCCAATCTTGATATTTCTTGAGATGCGTTGCAGAGTCAAATGAGAATACGCTGGAGGACTGCTAGTTAATTATTTCCTGAGTGCTGTTTTCATGAACAAGTGTGTGATGTGTGATCCTTATGGTTGAAATTAACCTGGCAGTGTATAATGGAAATGGAAGCTCCCGCTGGAGCTCAAATTTCAGCGGTTTCAGCAAATATAAGGACCAAATTGTTTAGTTGATCACAGATTGATGAGAAACGTAAAATGTATTTTTTGTATGCACTCCGCTCGAATGCTGGATAGCTGAAAAAACTCAAGATCAGCACAGGCCATATATGACTATCTCCTGCACTCATTTCCCCTCCAATTCTGCCCCTACTTTTTCCCCACATTGACATGTAATCTGCACTATAATAAATCATTCAAGCTCATTGCATATTTTGGTTTTCTAGGCTGCTCAGCAGACAGGCTCGTCATACGCAGAGACACGCAGAGTCTTTTTAAGTGAAATATGTTGCTTATGTATGAGTGTATTGAACTTGCCTTAGCAAAAAACACAGAGAGGTGAGTTTCACTGCCAAGGATCCAAATAGGGAACTTTGGAGACTTGAGGAATGTTCCAACCTGAAACAAACACAATGAAGGAATGTGTAACAAATGAGTGCCTATCTACTGTCATTTTCATCAGGAATCAATACTTGTTAAATGGATGGTCTTTTCATCAAGTACATTCATATTTGAACAAAAATGACATGCCTCAGTGTACGAGTAGCATAATAACTCTCCTCCACAAATAATAGTAGGTAACAAAATGGATATCATCCATGTTAACTTGATTTCAATGAACTACACACTAAATGCTTGGGCAGCTCACATACAAGAATACCTTTCCTTATTTGATAAGAGTTGGTCTCTTAAATCACTCTTAACAACCCTTTTTGGCAAATCAATATTTGCTCTATTACTGCTATAGACACTTATTTTTTCGCTTACTTATTTTGGCAATGACAAATAAATTCCAGTTTCTCAACACGATTTCTGTTTTGCAAGATAAATATGTCACATCACATGTATCTATAAATTACTTTTGGGGATTTATTTTACGTAGTGCATGTGTGCCAGAAAATAAAATAGTGAGAATGAGTAGGAGAGGGTTTACAGTCTGTTGGGTCTCCAAACACATATTTTCACACAGTAGCGTTCCCTGTCGTATCTCCCACATCTTAAGAGTCACAAATAACAGTAAGCATTTATTTGCTTTTTTGAGCAATCTCCTTGCTTAGTGCGGATGTCTCGATTCATAGGATAAACATAGACATAGACAAAAAAACGAAACTGTTTTGGCCATGAACAATCTTTGCATGTTCTGTTTCTGTACCTTGCAGTAGCGGAGGGATTCCATAAGTGTGAGGAAACCAACTGATGCCTGTTCATGAATACCATGCAGTTCTACCATAACAAGGAGGAAAGAAAAAAAAGAGCATGTTAAATTACATCAAATTGGCATGTATTTGTGCATTGCTGTAGGATATGAAATGTTTTTCCATATGGTGGATAAGCTCAAATCTGGTGCTACAAACTGAGTTCTGTGATATATGTGCATTACTGTTGTACGAATATGCAGTTTCTGTCTGCTTGCAGTGACTTTGTGGAAGTCTTACTCATGCCAGAGCACTCCCGGTCTCCATCCCAGACATTAGAGACAGCATGGCCAGTTACAAGGAGGTTCACCAGACTCTGACTGAAAAGATAGACAGGACACATCCAGAGTTTTTGAGAAAGCACAAGATATCCAACACAAACAAAAATAACTTGCAAGGACCTTTTTGTGTGCAAGTCTAGCGGATGGAGACACATTTATGGAGGAAGGTGTAATACCTGCCATGGCCGTGCACAGGGTCTATGAGAGGCTCCATTGTGTCCTGGATCTCATTTTTTATATTCTCTATGCCCTGCATAGAAGAGATGTCTGCGTTTCATTCTTTGTGTATTTGAACATTGATGCTACATAAATTAAATAACAAAAAATCTGCCCAAACAATAACTAATACATTAAATAAGGTAATTAATAAACGGCAAAATCATATTGCCCACAGAAATTCTTCCCAAATGTCTTATTTGGTTATCAATACAATTACATAATAAACACGCTATAAGTGATAACATTGGTTGGCAATATCAGTATTTTCATGAATATTCTACTATTCAGTATCTATATTAATTTCTCTATCTAGCCTTTTCTTTTCTTTACCTTGGTGAGGATAACGGAATAGAGGAATAGCAGGACTCCACAGCACCCCCTCCAGGTGTGGTAGAGAGACAACACCTCCTCTCTGAGACTTGACACTGACATTATATTCCGCTTACTGCAGGATGGAAACAAACGGCAGGTTCGTATATTGAACACACAAAAGATGGAAGATTGGTTGGGTCAATGAGACTGATGTATTAAATTGTATTTGTCATGTCCTCTTGGTGAAAAATAACTTTCACAATGGGGAAGAAATCGATTAAATGCATCATAGGACAAAGTAAGGTTGAATGTCTATTTGGAGCAACTCCTCCCTTCTGCTCCACCCTGGAAAGCTTGCAAGAAGAGTTGTCAGTCTTAGTTAGCATGCACATCACTGTCAGTCAGCACTGCTTTTTGTTGACACTGGTTATGGCTGCTAATATACTGTGTGATGAAATATCAGTATTTCTTCTGGCCAAAGCAGCCTGGAATACACTCAATCTTTGTGTATATGACTGATAACAGAGTGTTATAAGGGTTGGGAAAGGATTTCATCTATATTAAAAAAACATATATACTGAAGGTGCAGAGTCACTTAACTGTGAGAGTGAAATGGCCAATTAAATGTGAAAGCCAGTTCTCAGAGACTTTGATTAAATCAAAATCCATCCCGTCCCCTTGGCGGATACTAATCAGAGAAATATGAAGTCTGTCCCACTACTGCATGACGGAAATTGTAAAACAAGAATTCATGGGGTGTTCATCCCTCCAGAAACCATAAGTATTATCTGATTATCAACTTGGAGACAGATAAAAGTATAAATATATAGTACAAGGTGTTATCTGCAGTAACTTACTGGAGAGCACTGTGGAATTGCTCAAAGCCAAGATCTTCAGCAGCCAAGGCAGCTAGGCACATGGAAACACACATAGAGGGCAACATCAGAGCATGGCACAGAACACAACTACAAACTGACTAATGGTTCTGCAAGAATATATTTGTACACCGTCATTCTGAATGTGACATCTCGCTGGACTCACTGGGTTGCTGTTCTGGTGGCGGCTGGCTGCCCTCTGGCACAGGCATGTCCTGCGGTTGGGACTGTGCCTGTGTGTTATTGTGTGTGCTAGTATGTGGGCCTTGTCCCTTGGCCCAAGTCACCAGGCAGAACCCTGTGGAAGGCCTGGAGCAGGCTGACTCCAGGATTTCACTCAGCGTGGAACACAGTGCTGTTTTTTGCTCCTCCTCTAAAAAACATCAACATAAAAGATGGATAACATAACAAACCATACATCTGTGTAAAGCAATAGCACACCCTGTGGACAATCTACCCGTCATCTGTCTCCAGTTGGAACTGTCTCGGTTGAAGACAATGTTCTTTAGGATGAAAGCCTATGAAGAAACAAAACACTTAGAAAATATTCAATGGAAATTGATATTAGGCTCTGATGATACTGCAAGGTTGTTGGACCATACCTGTACCGGTGCAAGGACAGCGCACGGCCCTCCTTCAAACTGCTCCAGTGCCGTATGCTCATTCTCACAAAAAACAAATCCTGTAATAAAAAGACACAGTTGAGATGGTCTTAAAAAACGTTTACAACAATAACAAATGAGGCCGTGCTTTTAGACACTTGTACTGTGCAAACATTAAAAAGCCACAGGTGCATGCATGCTCGGATTGAAGACCACTGGATGAACTCTGGCAAAGGAATGATCTGGGTAATATTCATACAAAGCCATAACGACTAGAAGGGTATTTTTCTACTTATCTGACCTTCAATTGGAGAAGAAGACCTATCAAAAGGATACCTGCTGTACTTAGAATCCAAATCTGGATACACTTTGCTGTCAACTTTACGTGGGTGATCAACCCTGGTTTTGAGTGTACATCCAGTTCTGCAACAAAACTAACATATAATTCATATTCATTTTCAGAAACAAAGCCTCATACCTTGGGCCCATCTACGGAAGATGGAGGCAGACACTCCTCCACTTGAAGGTCTCCCCCAAACCAAATCCACCACCTCTTTATTTAAATCGGACATGACAATCTTCACAGTTGGCGAGTCCACAGGCTCTCCCTACTCAGTCCAAAAGCAATAGGGGGGAAGAAGGAAAGTGTGCTAAGGCCAACTCGGTAGCTTTTTCTGAGGTTGACAGTCCTCTTCTCTCGGCAGGTGGAGCCCGTGGCATCGGCCACCAGCTACCTGTGCTGGTCGACACAGTCTGACTTTAGTGGCTGGCAGCAAACTGGCAGGTGGGAATGACATCAACGTAGCGACGCAAGGCTGCGAAGTAACAGGACAAAGGCACATTCCCATGTCACTTTCTGGAGGGGTTACACCATTTTGACAAAGATTACTTTATTGCGTAAGGCGGCATTGGCACGATACGTCAAGTCTAAACATAACGTTATAGGTGGACCATTTAATGTTGAGCTAAATAGCTAACTCGCTCCTATTATCAAAAACCGACCGCTGTGTTAACGTCCAATAGTTGGCTCCAATGGGACGTTACTCAGAGCAGAATAACGGTAAAGTTTACTTTCAACGGCGACGTCGTTACCTCGTGTAACTACAGTGAAATAACGGTCTTACAGATTTTTCCACAGAGCTAAATTGACTTGGTAATGTCAGCAGTTAGCATTAGCATCACTCCTAGCAGCTAATCTTTCATTGCTTTGTCATTCAGTTAACGTTACCTCTTACGCAGCAGCTATGCTGATAGCTGCTGTACGACTCCATACGATTTGCCATCAGTTAGATGACGTTAGAGCTTATTTACCTTGATACACAGCCGAGTAACGTGTATCCGTATCGATGATATATTTTGGTAGCAATTTTACTATCAGCAGTGTCTCTGTCATTCGTTTATTTACAACAGCATTGTTAAAAAAAATGTGCGTAGATTTCGACGTGACTGCCCATTGGCTGAAATACAGAAAGTTCTAGATGCGTCGAGGGGTTCAGCTTCAAAGAGCTTCATTATCGGTCCACAGGATTGTCAATCATATTAAGCAGCCGCCCACAAACAGGGAGCCGTTTAAATGAATTTAAAGCCCGCCTTAAATTATAAGCATCTTTGTGGATTTTAAATCTAATGTCAATAGTCTAGGCTTAACTCAGTGTTAAATATTGCGTTTAAATGTTGTGTTAAACAAAATGCCAGACCTTTTACCACTTACCACCACGGTTATTTCAATTATTTCAAACCGCTCGTTATGTCCACTACCTCTCGCCGTAGCACACACACGGCGCCTGTTTTGAGCATGCGCACTTCGTTCCTCCAGCTGAGTTATACGCGTGTGTATCAATCACATTTCGGAAAAAGTCGGTTTCAAAAACACACCATTGTAAAAATACAAATTGTATTTTCACCACCATGGGAGGACAAGCAAAGGGAAAAAAGAAAAGCAAGCCGAAGAAGAAAGACAACCGCCGAAACAGTAATTATCTTCATTGGTACACCATATTGCTAGTATGTTAACGTTAAGTAACCTTTCAGTTAGCAGTAATGCTAAACGTTAATTTGAATAAATCAATCTGTTAAGCTTTGTTCTAAACTCCTAACGAAACTAACGTTAAATGAGACAAAACTAACGTTGCCTCTCCGCTTTTTTTGTTTATTTGTTCACAGCAGACGCAGGATTTGTTGGATTGTCACCCCAAGAAAGGATGAAACTAAGAGTACACGAAAAAGCCAAGAAGAAGACAGCTGAGAAGTACTCCGTGGAACAGCTACTCGAAAAGGTGACATTGACAACATCAACATCCGCATCAAATACACGCCTTTTAAAATGCATTTTGAAATCTATTCGATGCTTGTTATTTCACGTGGTCCTCTGCTGTACAGACGGAGGAATACATGGACAGTTTTGACTTTGAGATGGCTGGCCTTTTCTGTCAACGAGCCCTGGATGTGGAGTCAACCAACCTGCAAGCTCTAGACATGCAGGGACACATCTGCTCTGAACTGGGAGACACGCAGAAAGCCAAAGGAATATCCTTTATGCATGTTTATTATTTCTCGTTGCGCTCATGTCAGCAGATCAGTCGTTTCATTTAACACTTTGAGTGAAGTGAGCCTCCTTGATCAATTGTCTTTAAGCTTTTCTGCGTGCTGTGGAGCTGAGCCCAGATGTTGGCCACAGTAAGTACATGTACCTTGGGCAAAGCCACACAGGCCAGGAGGCAGTGGACTACTACACTAAAGGAATACAAGTCCTCCTGTCCACATTGGAGAAAAACGCACAGGCCCCTGTGAGTGCACCCCATACATACTCTCATGTCCTCTATTACTTAGTTGTATATCCTTCACATTGACTATGTAGCTATGCTATTTCACAGAATGCTTAATGCTGGTGTAATGGTATTTATCTTCGCAAGAGGGGGCTGTTTGACAGTATATAGAATAGTTACATCTTTTTAACTTTTGCATGGATGCATTTTCCCTTTTCATAACATGAACATTTATCAAGCCGTGTCAATTCAACTGAAAATCTATAAATCAATCAGGAGTAGTGGACATACAGTGTTAAGTACGGAGTTATTAATAAGTTATTAATTAATTTAAAGCCCGCCTTAAGTTATAAGCATCTTTGTGGATTTTAAATCTAATGTCAATAGTCTAGGCTTACCTCAGTGTTAAATATTGCGTTTAAATGTTGTGTCAAACAAAATGTGTATATATATATATATATATATATAATATATATATATAATATATATATATATATACAGTCCCATCCAAAAGTATTGGAACGGTAAGGCAAATTCCTTTATTTTTGTTGTTCACTGAAGACATTTGGGTTTAAGATCAAAAGATGAGTATGAGACAAGAGCTCAGAATTTCAGCTTTTATTTACTGATATTCACATCTAGATGTGTTAAACAACTCACGACATACTACCCTTTGTTTGAACCCTCCGCTTTTTCAACTCTGGTCTCATACTCATCTTTTGATCTTAAACCCAAATGTCTTCATTGGCATTGTAAGAAAAAGAAAAAGCTGTTACTAATATCGTCCAACATGGCTCTATTCTATTCAAGTGTCCTAGTAGGCATTGACATTGAGCCAGCGTGGACAATAGCAGGACCCTGAAAACGCTAAATGGAATTCTTATTCTTATTTCTAAAAAAGAAATAATTCAATCAATTTTTTAATAGGTATGTTGTGCAATGTTTTCCTCTATTGAACAACTTAATTATGTTTTTTTGTTAAACTTAATGGAGCTTTAGACATGTTTAACGTCTTCTGCAGGCTGAAGCCGGAGCTGCTGTCCCCCACGGAGTGAACACTGAGCTCCCCACAGCGAAGGATGTGTGTATAGCCTACTGCTCGATGGCTGAGATTTACCTAACAGACCTCTGGTATGAGAACACACACTAGAGAGAACACTCTTTACACTAACACACACTCACACTCACACACTCTTCTGTTTTTAATGAGTTAAGATTTGTTTTTCTCTCTGACTCTTATGCGTGTGTTTTTCTGTGCGTGTGTGTGTGTGTGTGTGTGTGTGTGTAGCATGGAAGAGGGAGCTGCAGACAAGTGCAAAGAGTTTATTGAGCGTGCATTACAGTATCACCATGACAACCCTGAGGCTCTACAGCTCATGGCAAGTTACCTGTTCAGTACAGAGAGAAACCAGGTCAGTCCTCACACCCGCGCACACACACACACACACACACACACACACACGCACTCACACAGGATGAGTTATTGCCACATTAAAGTGGGATTCTGCTGAGTTAATTATTCTAAGCAAATTGAATTGTATGCCATTAATCAGCAGATGGACACTGGCATTATCATGCACACGCACACACACGCATACACATACAGGTCATGCCAATAGGAATGTTATTTACTGGGCAGATCATTGAGGTCACATTGTCATCTGATAAATGAGAGAGCAGCAGCCAATTTGACTCAATTTGGAAAAGAACATTGCGGTATGAAGCATCTTACAATAGGTTTGAAAATATGTCTTGACTACATTTTACATATTTTTTCTTTAACAAAATAATGTAATTATTCTTAAGACATATCTAGTGACATAGCTAGTGACATATCTAGTGTTTTCCTGCAGCATTTAAAGTAAACCTTTTCCCTGAGAAGCGTATGAGGAGCATTTTCAAGAATGCCACCAATTTTGTTTCTTCTAGAAATTTAAAGGTCCATTAAAAAAAAAGTTAACCCTTTAATAAAACGATTTTACGACATTCTAACTGGTGTATGGTGTATGGTCATGAAAATGCACTTTTCTTTTTACATAATCTTTTTCGGAAAACTTCTGCGGGGCTGAAGTGGATTGGCAGTACTGGCTGTAAGCCGTAGGGGTCAGGCTGCCTCCAGTGTCACTTTTTATCACCCCGAGTACATCCACAGTCTTTAGCGATACTCCGGTAATAACTTTGACAGTAATATCAACCTAACCTCAGATTAATCAAAAGACCATTGACGTTTATGGATCTTTCATTCATGTAAAAGTGATGTGGATTCACATTATTTTCTTTTCTTTTGCCTTGAGTGTATTTATCTCAATGAATATATGCAGGTTTAATTGTAGTTGCATTGTGTGTACATGTTGCTGTCTTCAGGAAGGCAAAGAATACCTGTTGAAGAGTGTTGGATTGTGGTTGCCTGCCCAGAAACAAAGTGCAGCTTCTTTCAGCACAGAGGAAGACATGCAGGTAAGTTGGCGCTGTACTTAGTATTTCTCTGATAGCAACAAATACTCATCAGACCACAGTTTATTTATAAAGCACTTTTATCTAACAGGATTTTCATAGAGTGCTTTGCTGCAAGCACAAACACAAGTATGCAGTAGGGATAAAAAGATAACAAAATGAGTGATAACAAAACGTAGAAGGATGGAACAACTAGTGCACAAACGTGTGTGTCTGGGCCTTTGTAAAGACACAGGATCGAGTGTATACAAAAGCAGAAGGTTAAACCAAGAGGTGTACAATGGTTAAATTAGTGAATCACTACAGGAAATTTGGCATAGTGAAAGGATTGCTTATAATGTCAAAGAAAGGATGGGTTCCAAATGAAACGCAATGGACTGCAGTTTGCATCCGGATGTTAATCAAATGGGATATAGGAGGGTTCAGGGTGATGATTTGAGACCCCTATCACAACTCTTATGATCTGAACTCTGCCTGCCCACACTCTTGCTCTGATTAACAGCCGCATTGGCTGCAGAATATTGCGTAGCTTGAAATTGGATCGCGCTATTATGAGAAGAAGGGAGGACCATGTTCGTGTAGACACTGTAGCGGTGACGGCGTTGTCTTTTCTCCCCAGGATGACATCCCACCGTACGAGTCTCGCGTCACGACAGCCAAACTGCTCATCGAGACGGAGGAATACGAGGTAACATGTGCTCCCACACTGTGCTGTTGTTGGTCTGTATTTGTTTTGTAGTGGGAGGTTGGCTTGGTATTTGTGAAGTGTGCGTGCGTGTGTGTGGGAGCGCGCATGCGTTTGAGTGCTTCTCCTTTCTATTGAATAGTGCTGAAGGTGGGAAGGCCATGCATGGTCTTTATTCCCTCCAGAGTTCCGTCTCAATAATTTAAGCGTGGTATTTACGCAGAGGGTCAGAGGGTGCACAGGTGAGGAGGGATGTGTTGAAGGTGGGCGGGAGCGGCTTTATGATAAATTATCCCTGATATGCCGCGCTTCCAGATCACTGAAAAATGTCCAGTATTAATGGCCTTGATTTTAGCGGCTCGCTGTCTTAGCAGTCTTTAACACTTGAAGTAATTCTCCTGATTACTGCCACCAGCAACTATTCTCTGTTGTGATTCAGTGATTCATTCGTAATCACTCTTGTTCAGTGCTTGCTGGTTATTACTGACAGGAAATGTGATCAACAGTGAACAAATGAACAGTGCCCCCTTCCTCTCCCTCCTCTCCCCCCTCTCCCCCGCGCTCCTTAATGGTGTGTGTGCGTGTGCGTGTTGGGCTGTCAGGTGCGTCAGTGAAATGACAACTTCTCGGCCCACAGTTTCTGGCATGTCGTTTGTCTTCATCTTCCTGTTGGTGTCATGAAACCTGAAACGCACACTGCGCACATCCTCGCTGCCTTATTTTGCTGTACGGGTACAAATGCACATGCAGATCCACGGACAAAGTTGCTCATACGGTCTTGGCCGGCAGAGATGTGAAAGTTTTGGAGGGGAAACTGCGCTTGAGGACAGTAGTTTTCTGTCCGTCTGCGACTTGATAGGGACATGGCCTCTCTGCTTTCCTTCTCTCCCTGTGGACTGTAAGTCCAGAAGAAAAGCGTGCAAGTGCGATGAATTTGTCTGTATTTGTTCCAAACTTTTGTTTCTGAGGCAAGTACATGAAACTCAGATTTATTTATATATATATATATATATTAGGGGTGTACCGATTCATTCACTGAATCGATTAATCGATTTATATTCCTGCGATCCAACTGAATCGATCTGTGCTCCGCAAATCGCCATTCCGGACGACATATATCGATTACAAATCGATTGAAATGGTTCATAATCAATTGTATCGATACTTGGAAACTTCACAAGTACAAAAACGGCATGGATGCGTGTTTGTTTGTTTGTTTTTTAGCACTTTAGACACGTTAAACGTTACTCGATTCAGTCTGCCTGTCTGTGACGTCATCAGTACAAAACTCGGAACAACAACAAAACACAGCGTGGAGGAGACGACTGCGAGCGAGACATTTACAAACCAACTTATCGATCCAGCGTGTGGAAACATTTTGGCTTTTGCAAACACAGAGGTGTTCTAAATAAGTCGGTCGCTGTTTGTAGAATATGTAGAAGCCAAATAAAAAACCACGGAAACACGACGAATCTTTCCGGCCATCTACTATGGCGCCGTGGGATGAAACAACGCCGGCAGTCAGGCGCCTCTAGCAGCGTCACCGCTGCAGCAGCAGCAGGTAACTCCAGCTCTGCAGACACCTCAGGCCTCGCCAGCACCAAACTCAACACCACAGTAACAATTGCCAAGTTCAGCTGTAAAGACATGCGACCCTACAATGTGGTTGGAAATCCCGGGTTCTGTGAATTGATCCAAACATTGTGTAATTATTGTGTAATGTTTACATTGAAAATGGCACTTGATTCAAATAAAAGGTTAATACATTTGCCATTAATTGTTTTTTGCTCGTTTATAATATCCATAATTAATTTAAACCTGATTTCCTTACAAGAAACAACAGGGATCTCGGAAACTTTGCCTGCACTGTCCAGTAAAGTTACTGAATCAAATCGAATCGAATCGTTCTAAATTAACCCAGATCGTCCATGAATTGAATCGGCAACCATGAATCGCGATTCGAATTGAATCGTTGTTAAAATGAATCCTTACACCCCTAATAAATATTATATTTTTATATATATATATATATATATATATTAGAAAATGCATTATGCTTTCTGCAACTAAATATAATATAATGCTATTTCTTGTAAATAGTAGTTTCTTTTGGAATAGCAAAAGTACAACAACTCTGTTTTTTGTCTCTCCGTTGGAGATTAAGCCGTTTGTGTGATGAATGCAGTTTGGGCTATTATGTGGTTTGAGTTTAAATTGGAGCAAATGAGTGGTTTTGCAAAATACTAATTGTGTGATTATGTTACCCAAATTATCTCGTTGCATGATATTATCTCGACAGTTATTGGGGAGAAGATCATTGCAGAGTGTGGTGGGGACAGACTCAATACAGAGATGCCGTTAGGTGTTTGCAGAAAGGCTGTCACTGTAGGTGCACCACATCTTATCGTTTGTGACTAGTAGGTGACAGTCCAAAGAAATTGCTCACACATTGAATTTATGACCTTTGCTGTCTGAACTAGCACCTCTTCCCTTTTTGTTCTTGTTTCTTGAGGGTTATTTCATTAACGCAAATTAATTTCTCATGACATCTATAGAGGTGGTCACCAATTGGCAGCCATTGGGCAGCCTCTGCATTAATAAGCTAAAACCAAAGAAAAATGTGTTGTGCTACTATTAGGTTTATGAGATTATTATGAGAATAGTGTGCAGGGTATTGTTTTTGTTTTAAAAGGGGGAAAGGACGTAGAACATCAGGTAATTGTTTTTTAATGATAGTATCAGTGCTATATAGATATTTATTTAAAAAAACATAATCTGTCAAAGCCATGACTTCCAAAACCAGGAAAACATGTTTTCAAAATGAATTCTCCTATCAAGCTTGAAATTAAGAAAGGAGTTATTTAATACGGGGTAAATAAGGGGTCAGCAGCATGGCAACCATGTCATCAACAGATTCATTTCCACTCGTTTCATGCTCTTTGTAAATCAACTAGGAATAAAAAATATGGACGATTACATTTTAGCAAATAAAAGTATTTTGTCTTTGCAAGATGTGATTGGGAACAATAGGGAAAAAGTCAACAGAAATTGCTTTTCAAGTTATTTTTATTGTCCTTTTTGATTGCTTTTAAGGAGGAACACTTGAACGCACGTCAAATTGCTCTTATTACCATAACGTTAATGGAAATTTGGTTGAAACACACCAGGGGTGCTTTAAATCAGCACGAGAGAGACAACTTCAAAAATGTAATTCTCTTTAAATATTACAGGGCCAGTTGTGCTGAAACAACTGGCTATTTAACATAAATGTTGATTGGTACATTTTTGTCACTCATAGATGCTGAACAAGATTCTGCTTGTTTTCTTCTTTTTGGACTTTTGGACTGTAGAGGTCCAAAAGTCCAAAAAGAAGAAAACAAGCAGAAAACAACGGTGTGGGCAAATTGTAATGGTCATTTTTCTTCTGAAAATTAAAAGACCAAACCACATCTGAAAATAGTGTTTTATTAATCACCAAATATTTTCCAAATCCAATAATTATAATTCAAAAAAGAAATCCTGCTTTGTTATCCCGAGACGTCACTTCAGGCTTGAATGAAAACCAAATGTGCTTTGTTGTAACAATGTCGCCCTCCGAGACCACAGTTTTTTTTCCCCGCCGTCAAACACACATACGCCCAAACTACCGTCATCATCGGCCATCACCACCATTAATTCACTTGCCACACAGCAGACACGCGGCCGGGCGGCCTGCGAGGTGTTTGCTCGCCGTAGTTTTCACGGCAGCTGATGGTTAGTTTCTCTCCTCCGTCGTTGTCATTCTTGTCGGCTTTCATGTCGTTCTTTGAGCATTTTTGTTCTCAAATTTAGCTGATGATGGAGAGCAGCTTGTACCTTCTGCTGTTGCTTGCAGTTAGCACTGACATCCCCAGGATTTATTTACTTAAGTGTGTGTGTGTGTGTTTGTACCAGTCTGTGTGTGAGAGATAGTGCTTGCCCTCGCTTGTAAAGTGATTTGTCTTTCTCCTGTCTCTGCCATGCGCTCTGCTAAAATTATTCAGTTAAACAAAATTGCCTGAAGATTACACACACACACAAACGCACAAGCACGCACACAAACACAAACGCCGCATGCACACAATGGCCATTATAAATGGTTCCCCGGAGGGTTTCGCATTTTTAAAGTCTTTTACAGGTCTTGAAATAAAGAGGACAGCATGTTCGTAGCGTCTCTGCCGTGTGTGTGTGTGTGTGTGTGTTTGTGTGTCTTTGCGGTGCGCCGTTGTTTATGGGCCAGTTTTCATTGTTTATTAGGCTCTTTCTGCCCGTCCTATGAATGTTCACACTTTTTCCCTGGTAGTCCTCCCTCTTTCTGCCTTATCTTCATGCGAATATTAATCGTGTTGTTGTTTAGAGCGTGAAGGGGCTTAAGATTCTCTGAATCTTTAATCACTCGCCTCTGGGTTGACCAGTGTAGTTAGGAAGGAATACATATAATGGAGATGATATAATGGTTATCATTGCTTACTTATCTGGGCTGCCAGATATCTCTTATTATATTTTTCAAAACGACCCGTGCTATCAGATGTTTATTACCCGTACAGATCTTTACTCCTCTCTCTCATATCGAGGGATTTGCTTGAATTAGTCAGAGTGAGTGTGTGTGTGTGTCCATCACATTGGTGTGATACAATGAAAGTCAAATAGATCATTCTGACGCCGCGCATGACTCCATTCATCATCTACTGGGATTAGGTGTTTTTGTTTGTGTATTTTTAATCAGTCATTAATTCATCAAAGACAATGGGTTTTCAACCGATAATTGGTCTGGCAATCAATCAGCTGGATCCCTGACATGGACATTTGCACACTCCTAATGAGATACCCTCAATTAACCTGAATCCGCCTCAGTCTACACGGACTGCTGACCTCTTTATTGCCGCAAGGAGCACGTAGGCTTAATGAAAAGAAAAGAAGTCCGCAGAGCGGGAGGGGAGAAAACGAGGAAGCTCTCCGGCTAATAAGACCGCCTTAACAAGAAAGAAGTGCTGCTTGTTGTGCTCACTGTTGTGTGTGTGTGTAGCTTTGTTAAAGTGTGTGCGTCTGCGTGTGAGTGCACGCCCTGGTGCGAGCATGTCTTTTATTCTTGCCCTTCACCACGGGTGATTGGCTAACAGTCGCCTCCAACCTGAAGTTGACAAAAATCAATATATCATCACCTGCAGCTTCACACACACACACACACACACACACACACACACACACACACACACACACACACACACACACACACACACGTCAGAATCCACGAGGAGAGAGGCAGAGCAAACCCAACACACGGCCTACTTTAGTCAAGGTCTGTTTTCTGTAATAGAAACTTCCCGCAGAGTCTGACCCAGACGGTGACGGTCTGCGGCTGAAAGTCACCTCGCATTAAACACATTTTAGACCTCAAAAAAGAGAGGGGGGGGTCCGAGCGAGACAATGGGTCAGGCTGATGTTTTAAGTTTACGACGCTTCCTATCCGGTGATGCCGGTTTATAACATATCGGCTGTTAATGTCTGTGAATGGATTAAAAGGGCAATCCAACGGAGCAGCCCGAGTGACTCATCGACCGCGCGATAAGCACTGCTGAGCGTCTCTATCGACGGCCGTGTCTGGTGTCCTGTTCCTATCGACGGTGTTGTGTACGGGGTGCACATCTCAAAGACGATGATCTGACCTTCTGATTGATCGAGCTGCGCAACACTGTGTTCAACAACAACACTGTGTTCAACAACAACACTGTGTTCAACAACGTGTAACGTGTGTTCAAGTGCTTATTATTCAAGTATTTTGAACCTGAAGTAATTTTCTTGTCTGACTATTTATCTGATGTTAGATGTTTCAAATCTCATTTCCATCTGTTGACCCTCGTCCACTGTCCCTCTCTCTCTGTCGCCGTCTCTCTCTCTCGGCATCAGATGGCGGTGGATGTGTTGGAGGGCCTTCTGGAGGAGGATGATGAAGTAGTCCAGGTAAGCGATGTAGTGATGGCTCAGCTTTTATTATTCCATTGAAGAAAGTGGTTTTGTCTGCATCCGTGTTTTCATTTCATCAGTTGGTAAAACACAGAGAAGCTTAGTGCCTTTTGACAATGTGGGTTTTTGGTGTTGCTTTGATGGTTTTTGTATTTCCAGCGTGGTAGTCACTATTATGGTTTAAAACCTCCGAATCAAAATTCGTTGTAGAAGCAATTGACCAATCACAGCTTGTTGGGACTAGGAATGGGACTTCCCACTACCGAGTCACCAAGATACATCCATGAACGAAAAAAATATCAGTTAGAGAAATAACAAATCTTAAATATTGTCATGAGTTTGCCCCACTGAGCTTAGTTAACAGGAATGTGTTAACACACGCGGCAGGCAGAATGAATGACGTAACGCTGAAATAGTTCGCTGTAGGTCCGATCATCGGGCGGGTCCTGTGCACGTGTGAGTCAAGACGTAGGATTGAGTGATGTCTTTTCTTGTGCCCGCTGTCTTAATACTATGTTACAGTCTTACTGCCCGATCAGACCCCCTTTGTAGGCTAATCCTTTATCAGCCCAGAGGGAAGGAGAACTTCAACCTGTGCACATATTCGCTGCTGTTGAGCCGCTGATTCTGCACACCCGTCCCGCCTCGCAGCGCTCATACGCGGTGATGTACCACTGCGAGCGTGAATGCTTATTAGAGAGTGACGTAAATGGCAGTATTTTCTGTGCTTTAGTAGTAAGTATGTGCCGTCATTGTGCTCTAAATCCCCACTGTTGGTGGCAGATGAAGTGAAGGTTTTCCACTGAGTGTCAGATTCAAGAACACAGCAGTCTCCCTCTCTCCCGTCACCCTACTCCCCCTCAGGCTCAGCCTCCCACACACACCCCTGAGCTGACAGATTGAGAGCAATCATCGGGGGGCTGAACTTTTAAACTGGCTCCAGAGACGTACAGCTGTGACAATCGATTTGAGCGGGCCTGCAGCCAATCACACATGCATACTAGTTCTATTGGTCAGGAGGTGTTCTGTCAGGTTGCACCGAAGTTATGTTGCTAGTCACATCGGGGATGTCAGAAGTGAATGACAGACACATTGGACTGCTCGCTCTCCTCCTTTCCCCCTCTCTCTTCCCCTCTTTGTCTTGTCTGTCTTCTTTCCTCTCTTAAGTGCAGCCGATAAGTTGCAAGCATCCGTCTGCGGCGTCTTGCTCTCGCACATCTCAAAGTTGGAGACTTACTTAGAAAAATGTTAGGTCTGCACAAACGACGGAGCCGGGTTCCTTGCAAACCCTGTTTCAAAGGTATTCAGTCAATCCATAATGCTTTTGTTCTTCCTTCAGCAGCACCATATGGGAACTAAGATGTGCCTTCACTTTGAAGTGACAACAGTCCCCTTGATTTGATTGACAGACGCAAGCTTGTTTTATTAGGTGTTCTTCAGTCCGGGGTTTTGGTTCTGAATACTGCGTTCTCTAAAAATCGCAATTAACCAACTTATTTCATGTCGCAATTGTGAGCGTAGGAGTCGCCTTTTACTGCATTAACAAATATGTATCCCAGTGGAACATCTGTGAAGCATTCTTTGCTTTTAATGCAGTTAGAATTTGGGATTTGTCTCACCCAATTTGTAACCTTCTCTCCTGGACATAAATATACACAAGAACATATTTCTGCATTCACAAGAAATGTTTCAGTAATATAAATATCATCCTGCTGGTTCTGCAACATTACTGCATTGATCCAGTGCTGCTGTTGTTCTGATAAGTGTAGCTGCAGGGGTTAGCCACCCACTCAGCATGCTTAGTGGCAATTCTGAATTCAGTGTGGTGGGCCTTTTTTTTTTCTTTTTCTAAGCTAAATTGTTTATTTGGCAGAGATGCAGGTCCCTACTGCCTCTGCCCTCATTGAATAATGAACAAAGTGAGTATTTTTGTCTTGGTTTTTGAAGAATAGTGGGTTGGTGATCTCTGGCCTTAGATGAGAGGAACATACACCTCCTCAAGTTCTCCCAGAGTTTAAAATAATTCAATTTAGAGGAGGAAGAGCAAGCCCGGCGCAGTAAACGGAGCTGTGTGGGAGAAGAAATGCTCCTGTTTGGTTGTGTCTAAGCAAAATTAGGCCACAACTTTTTTTTTGTTTGGAATTCTCCTTATATTGATGAGGTTTTGATGAGGTTCAATCACATCCAGTTAAGATATCCTTAACATGTCATTTACGAGGTGCACGGTTCTAACGAGATATGTCGGTTTGTGTCATAAACGTGCGAAGGGTTTTATGTTTGCAACTTAAGAGGCACACTGATGGATAAAACAAGATGGTACCCCGGGTCTGAAGGTACAAAGATATGCAATAGTTGAACCTACATGATCAAAAGACTGAATGATTATTCCACACACTAATGTGGGGATTATTAGCCGTTTTAAATTGAATTTTGTTTGTACGGGTCAATTTTGAGACGGATGTGGTACTTCTGTCCCTCCAAAATCTACTCCCAGGCAAAATATTGAACTAATTAAAGATGATATTAAACAATATTGTCTCCTCTAAATAAGTGGCTAATATTGGACACAACCTAATGAGTATGATCTGATTTGAAATGCAGAGAAGGTCTTTGCCGTTTTCATGTTATTACACTATGTCTTGGTACTTGGATTTTTCTGCTATAGAAAGACAACAAAGAAATTGGTGCGGCAGATCACAAAGATCACAAGACCGGTCTGAATTATTTTTGAAGCTGCAGTATGTGCATTTACATGCATGCATCATTCGTAAATGAGAACGGTGCATGTCAAGATTGGATCGCGTTAACATTCCATGTTACACGTGAGAAACCCGTCCAAACAAAGAAGGATGGGGGGTTTTATGCAGAGGTGCCTTGTGAGGGTTACAAATCGGTTTCCTTCGTCACAGCCCACTTCCTGCAACACGGAACACTTTCTCTTTGTCTGAATCCTCCTGACACCCTGGATCCCGCCTCCCTTTCTCTGTGACACCCAGGTGTGGTATCTCTCCGGCTGGGTGTGCCACCTCCAGTTGGAAAAGGCGAAGGAGCAGCAAGAAAGAGACGGCAGAGACGTGACGGAGGTGGAGGCAGAGGAGTGGAAGGCGTTGAAGGAGGCGGCCCGATCATACCTGACCAACGCTAAGAAGGTAATTCGGCTAATTCTTTTTAAAAACTGTTTCTCAGACAAATTGTGTCCTAACTTTTGATTGGTACTGTATTTCCAAACTAAACTACTGATGATCGGGAGGATAATTAGCAGATTGATCCAAAATGTAAGTTGTTAGTTCAGCCATTTAATATAACACAAAGAGGAGCCGTTTATCTGCAGTAATTTTGGTACTAACTTGATACCTGGGATACACTTGAATACAAACTTCATACTTTTGACTTAAGAATTTTACGTATCATTCAGTATTTTCATAGTGTGTTTACGTAAGTATGTTAATAGGCTTTACGTAAAGAATGAATACTCCCGTACGATAGTTACATCTAGTACATTGTCAGAATAAATAAAACTCCAAAGAATCTGTTCTTGTCACAGATGGAGTACGTGCAGTCCTGTGACTGAGAGGATTTTAACTAAGCTCCATTGTTGCCAGAGAAATGTCTTTTAGTGCAATCTCAAAGAGGTTTAAATATACCGCTGTCTGTCTTCCATTCCCAATCACACACGCTCACACACACCCCAAGTAATGTGTCTCATTCATTCTGTCATTCTGTCAGGGAGCAATGCCTCCATGGGGCCATGATTCATGTTAGTCTAAAATCCAATAGGCTTGTAAATCAGACGGCACAGACTGAGGGACAGAAGGCCCCACCTTCCATTCTTTTTTGCTTCTCTCTACTTTCCTCTCCTTTTTACCTCTCACCCAACCGCCCACCTCCACTCCTACTCTCCCACAACATTGTGTTCCACTACAGATGAGTAGGGGCAGCCGAGGGGCCATATTTTAATGCCTGTCTCTCTGGCAGGCCGTGTAGTGACAGGTCGGTCTAACCAGCATCCACTGGGACAGGAGGAAGGCAGCGCCCTGGAAAGAAGCTGTGGGAACGAAAACAAAGGCACTCGGCTTATTTGAGCTGCCAGCTTCGTAGTAAGAGTTAATTCAGATTAAAAAAAGAAAATGGAAATTGAGAAACGGGGAGAATGAACTGCTGAAAAGGAATGCTGGGGATTAAAAAGGTGAAAGACCTGCAAAACAATTGGGTGAGGCGGCAGAGCGTGACAAGTAAACAGCATAGCTGTTTCTTTGTGGAGTGAGTGAAGCAATGGGCGCAGAATAATGTGAAAGGTAAATTCACCGAGGCCTTGCAACGGTGAGGTGGAATGTGGAGAGAAAAGCCCCCACTGAGGTTCAGTTAATTCCTCATCTAGCAGCTTCTGCACATTGTGAAATCAACATTCTCCCTTGTTTATATCAGTGCTTTGTTCCCGAGCGTCACCGTGAGTGTTAATTATTAACAATGACTCAATCTGCTTGTTAAAATGGGCCCCAACATGGAAATGAGGCCTCGAAGCCCAACGGCTTGTTTTTTCCACTATAACTGTATGACTTTGTGGGGCATTAAGACCACGAGAGGAAGCACGCGACTGTGCGCACCTTATGCGGATGCACATATTTAATAATGGTTGTGTGTGCCAACTTGCGGTGCTAATTATGTTTCAAAGATGTTCTTCAATTCTTGTGGTCTCTCTCTCCCCCCCTCCTCCTCCTCTTTACAAACACACAAAGAGATTGCATTCTATAAAACGAATGATGGGGAGGAACGGACGGCTTGAGAAGACAAAGTGTGGGAGAGGAGCAGCATGATGAGCAGGAGAAGGAGAACGAACGGGGAGGCGAGGAAGGGGACCGATTGCATGCTGCATGTGGCTGTGTGGTGTGCGCGGGTGCAGAGGGGGTGTAGCTGGGGAATAGTGACGAGGGTAAAATCAATAGTAAACTGGACGTAAAATGGGTGCGATTTGAAGAAGGATCTGCAGTGTACGCACAGAGGACAAATGTATTTATGTGTGTGCGCGAGTGTGCACAGAGGCAGCTGGGGCAAACGGAGGTCAAAAGCTTTACTATTTGAGGTGTCTGAAAGGGATATCCCATGAGCATAGATTCTGGGGAGGGCTGGGCCAGGTGTGCTTGTCATGCAGTTTTAATGCCTTTCCCTCCAGAGGATGTGACCGGAGAACAGAAGTGTTAAGGTGTGTGTGTGTGTGTGTGTGTGTGTGTGTGTGTGTGTGTGTGTGTGTGTGTGTGTGTGTGTGTGTGTGTGTGTGTGTGTGTGTGTGTGTGTGTGAGTTTGCGCTCAGCCCGCTTGAGACGTGCTCTGTTCACACTCGAGAAGGTCTAATCTCAGTGTCACACACTCGCCACCGAGGGACTCTGTGTATGTTTCTATGACGGAGTGAGACAGAAGTTAAGAGAATGAAAACGTGTCAAAACGGTTCATCTAATTAATGTTGTTCTTACTGATGAAGAGACGGTTGGAGTTCTGTGTTTGGTTCTAAAAATGGGTTGCGGAAAACAGGATTGAGGATACAGAGGGATGTGTGTGCCCGCGCACATGCAGGCTCAAGTGTGAGATGTAAAAGTATGAAGAGGCATCTGTCTCCTTGAAAGGAAGGTCATCTGGTGAGGGGGAAGGAGAGGGAGCGACAGAAGGCAAAAGGAAAATGAAGTAACAGACGAGGTGAAATGGGCAAGTTAAGCATAGGTGTGAAACAGAAGGTGAACAATGATGAATGATTAGTTTTTCACCACATAATCATCCGGTCTTTTCTAAAAAAGAATTAGGGGGGAAAATAATCAATTTAGGTATAAAGGGTACATTAATACTGCTGCAGTCTGGACCAAAGCTAGCAGATATAGATAATCAATGCTGAATGACACTATTAGGTAGCCAAACTAATTAAGTAATTGTAGAGAAAAAGAGGAATTAAATGTGAACAATTATTATTCTTCGCAATTGGTAAAGTTTAATTTCCTTTCTTACTTTTTCATTATGGAGTCTGTACTCCTTTAAGCCAAGCAGATGGCAATATAATGACCATAAACAGGGTGCGCCCTCATTCAGCTCCAGAAGCACTGCTTCATTGTGCACTTTAAGCAATCATAATTCTGTTTTGTATTAAAATCCATAAGCCTGTTCAATTCTGCAACCAATAGATGAAGCCGTTACTGTCATTCGCATGAAGTCAAATGTGCCGGCTCCGTTGACGCATGCCATTTCGTTGTTTGGAATCAAAGTATCCAATTGGTTTCCCTGAACAGCAAAAGTACATTGAATTTAACAATATGGGTCGAAGGCTGGACAATTTGATTTAAAAGTGCAGAAACACAGTAATACCTTGAATTCATCAGGACACGTTGTTGCTATATTGTGTTTATTTATTTTGTAGATTGAGATGATGTTTGACCGTTATCCTATTGTGAACAGCAGACAAAAATACTTTATCATTTCAATAACATGCGAGTATAAAAAATCCCAACATTATACAGCCATTCAATTGGCACTAAACACAAACTGCACTACAGTTAAGCAGTTCTATGCTCAAAGCTCCATCTTGAGCCAATGATGGTGTTGAGGAATGAGGAGCACAAAAGTTGTTCAAATTCATCCTTAAAGCACCATGAATGTCTGTACATTTAGAAATGCCATCCAATAGTTGTCAAGAAACCACTATTACACATCAATGTCAAACTCTCGACAATGCAATTCCTACAGCCAACAAAAAATAGCATGTAGAGGATTAGAACAGACATGTCAATGCAAGTTTAAATTGCTGTTGTGTGTGCATCTGAGTTGTTGTGTCGGTGGTCAATTGTGCTTCGGTCTGTGACTTAGGGCTTGAAAGTAGAGCAAAGTGGACCATGAAAGAGTTCTACGATTGCATACTCTCACACGTAGACACACACACACACACACACTCTCCCTCCCTCTCTGCGCAGCTCGCTGGGCCGTGAAAGTGAGAGGAGAAAACATAGGCTGTTGTAAATGAGAAATGCCTGTGTTTCTTGCCAAGGCGATGCTGAACTCCGCAGTGTTCGGTGCGAAATGTGTAAAGAATAGCTGTTGTTTGTTTGGTTAGCTGAAAGCATCACAATGATTACATCCTATCCAACAGACACAAAGATATTCCCACGAAGAAATGCAATTCAGTTCATTCAGTATTGTACTTTTTATTCTTCTCTTGCACACGGTCTCAGAGTTTCTTACATTATTTCTCCTTTGCGACTTATGAAAGACACCCTGTGCATCGTATACCCAAGGCTGTGCTGTGCAATTATTCTGGGTGTTGAGTCTAGCCTATTGTCAGGCAAACCCAACTTTTATTCATACGGCTTGTTGTGGATAAACATCTCCAGGCATTTCAGTGACGTTGGCAGAATGTGTGTGTGTGTGTGCGTGTGTGTGTGTGTGTGTGTGTGTGTGTGTGTGTGTTAAAGAGGCTGAGAGGGTCAGCTCCCCCCCCGGTATCAGGGCCTGGACCTGGGTCACGCTCCACCTCCCTGGAGCGCCAACCTGCGGAGACGGCTTCCACTCATATATACACACACACACACACACACACACACTTACACGCGCACACTACATATTCTTACACTCCAAATGAGTTCCCGTGGGACTGCGTGTCTCCTGTCAGGACCTGCTGTTGCTTAAAGACCGGTCCTGGGGCAAAGCAGTCACACACCCTCTGCTTCACTCTCCTGGCCTTGTTACACTTTTAGTAAGAATGATGGCACTCTGCTCCCTATTGTCTATGAGCTTGTGTGTGTGTGTGTGTGTGTGTGTGTTAGATAAATAGAATACTATTCTTAGATCTTATGAAAAATTCCCCACTTGTCCTGTTTTTCTGATAAGTTTTGTTTCTGGAAAGAAAAACCGAGACATACATTTCTATATCGCTTCCCCTTTGCTCTGTAAATGCAGCCGGTCTGAAACACATTGTTATGCTTCGCTGTCCTCGGCGGTGGCTCCAGTAGTTTTATCACCCAACTCCACTTTGAGTTTAGTAATTAGACACAAGCAGAATATTTTACAGAGATAAATGTGCCGGCTGCTTTAAGAACAGGATTTTTTTTTTTTTTTTTTAATCTTGCTCCTTCACGGCATATTTCACTGAGATAACAACTTTAGATATGTGTGTGTGTGTGTGTGTGTGTGTGTGTGTGTAAGTGCACATGTGCTCCACATAACCAAATGTGCCCCTGGATACATTGTTCTGTGTGTGTGTGTGTGTGTGTGCGCGCATGCAGGCCGTGACAGCAAGAGGAAGATAAATGATCTTTTTGTCTCTTGTACGGTTGAACGGTGTGTCAAATGTGCTGATTTGCCAAATGAAAGACAAAAACTGTTTACCGGCGTTTTGTTAGCGTCACTGTCGCACTGACAGAATGCAGCGGCTGTTGGATATTTCAGGCGGCCTAAGCAGCACGAGGAGACTTAAAACCTTTTCACTCGCCATATCTCATTCTGCGTATTGCCTCCGCGGCACAATTTCCAATCTCAGCATTTCTGCTGTATAACCTACTTTCTATTTCAAATATCCATTTTTGCGCTGACCTTACTTGCCCATTAAACACTTGCATTTCCCTTTTTCCCAGCTGTACAGTAAGTTGCGATGTGATGACCAGCCAATGTTGGAGCACGTGGAGCAGCTGCTGGGCGAGCTGGGAGGAGAGCTGGCAGGAGAGGAGGGAGACGCACCCTTGAATGAAGACTATGAACCCTGTAGTGATGATGATGAGGAGGAGGAGGAGGGCGACGACGTAGAGGCCCCCATGGAACACTGACAACAGCCCCTGTGATTTCCCTTCTCCCAATGAGAACGCCTCCCTCTAGTCAAAATGTTCTCATGCGCTCTATAAGTGTCTTTTGTATTGACTGTCCTTTCCCGCCAGTTTATCAAAGATTACATCTGAAATCAAGTGAGATGCACAAAGGAGCGACGTTAATAGCAGAAGTCTACTCAATCTCTTTCAGTGAGTTTTTGAATGCTTTTGATGAAATGAATGCATACTAGTTACGCTTCCCTTAATCGCCATGATAGATGTTTTACTTCTTACCAGTTTGCCTCTCATAACACACCCACACATTTGACTCGAACAAACAAACAAACATACATGGCAGTTGTGCGCACACACACAAATACAAAAGCGTCACGTTAATTACTTCAGCTCATCCTCAAAACAACAGCAACAGTGTTTCCCTCTCAGACAACATGTCAACAGGAAGTAAACCTCATTAGAGAATTGTGTCTGCTAACAATCAACACTGCCTTTACATGTAATAGTAAAAATATTCCAAGTTGATATACAGGTCTGGAACTCAATGCCATTCAGTTTGCACTCCCGCTTTGCTCCCTTTTTATTTTTGTTAAATCATTGGATTCAACCAGACGAGACATAAAAGACAGAATTTGACATGCATCAAGATTCTTTCTGTCTTCAAAGTGGCTGTCAAAGCCTTTCAACAGGAGAAAGGGGCAACTGTTTTTCTTTTCAACTAGATTTCACATCGCAGCTTTTTAAAAGTCTCCGGCGCGGCTACGTTACTTAACGACATGGGTGGTGTAATGGCACGACAGATGATTTTTACTACTATTTTTTTACAATTGAATGGTGAAGGGTGGTAGAACAGAACAGATCAAATCTTCTTTGGAAGGTTAGAAAGTCATTAGAAAAACATGTTTAACCCTAAAGGCAAAGAAGGCAAAAAAATGTTTTTTTCAAAAGGATGTTCATGGGATGAAAAAAATGAGCCACAATATGTCAGACTGAAAATATCTAAAACCTACAGTGTGACAATAGTTTTCCACATTACAACACCTAATATCTCTGAATCTTTCCAGTTAACTCTGAAAACTGGGATTGAATAGCCCAATTTCCTCAGTATTAAAAATATTTGCAAAAAAAATATATATATATATAACAGTTTGTTACTTTTCTCGAGTCCTGATATATTTATAGAGCAAATCCATGTGTGCGCACATATACCCCAGTGTGTCTCAATGCAACGTGCCTGTTAACAAACACCACAGGCATCCACTGCTGCACGGCTCCTTTGAAGAATTTTATAACCAGTAAATGGGAACGTTATCTGAGATCCTGCTCCTGATAGCGACCCGGCTGCAAGCTAGAAAACCAGTTTGGGAACACAGGGGTTCAGATACCTTGATCTGATTGTGTATGTTTGTGTTTAAGGAGTGTTAAATAAAACTCAGGAGAAACAACAGATATGACAGTGTGTGCTTGTGTCTATGATGCACCTATTGATAAGTTAATGTGATCTGATGTGTTATTTGTTGACCCAGCTCTCAGAAACCCCGTGATGTTTAATGTATGATGATGCACCCGGGATACAGACCGAGAGGACCGACTACCTGCAGAGATGCTGTCATCTAGCATTTGGCTTTATAATTAAAATGTAGTGTTATGTGGGTTTCTACATCTGTGTGTGTGTGTGTGTGTGTGTGTGTGTGTGTGTGTGTGTGTGTGTGTGTGTGTGTTTTACCGTCCATGCGGCTCATCTGCTGCAGTCCTCTGTGATTAATGACTCCGGGGGGGGAGTGAACATCGGCGGTCAGCCCTTCCTGGTTATTCTGAGCTGACCTAGTGTGAGTCGGCCATCGTGGACACAAAGCATCGGGTGATCTCAAAATCCTTGGCCATTCTCTCACCTGTACATCAGGCTCGGCACGGCGGGGCTGCTGTACCCGGCTGTGAGTGGAGAGAGGGGCCTTTCTACACAAGGACAACACATTCAATCACAGGGAAAGTGCACCTGCTGTTTGCTTGCATGCTTTCCGGCTCTGGGTTGAAAATTGCTCTCTGAAAGGCCAGAATGGCTCTCTTAAGAGGCTAAAACGCAGGAATAACCAGCCTCTTGTTAATATAGTTCAATGTTGCAGAGCTTATTTGTTTTGAGGTTTCGAATGACCGGTAATTAATAAATATCCATAAACCAAACATTAATTAAAATGCATGCTGGGATAATGCCTGAGGTGGAAGCATACGTTTAGATGTGTCATTTTTTACCTGTATGGCAAGCAGACTTTGGAGACACAGCATGTGCTCAGTCTCCAGGGAAACAAGCCCCTAATTAGTATTTGTGTGTATGCGCATGTGCTCATATTTATTTTTTAATAATCGACATAATGAGATGAGGAGGGGGAATAATCCTGGATTAACAGCTTTAAAATGCATGTGTCGTCTTGTAAAGTCCTGATTGGGATTTTATCATTGAAATACACACAAATGCTGCACAAACCACACCCACACAAACATACACGGCCATAGACAGATAGCGAAATGCTACAAGCTGTGTGTGCATGTGCTGTTTGTCCTGTGCTGATGTACAGTATGTGTGTATCATGGATCTTAATTAGAGACTTAAGCGGGGTGCTCCTCTGAAGGGATTAAGGGGGAAATTATCAGAATCTGGAGAATTAAAGCTGAAACCAGTTAAACGGAAACAGGAGGAGGGTGATCAGCACTCAGAGGAGTAAGAACTTAGTGAGGCAAAACACTCACATGTTCACTTGTGTAAATTGTCCTCTTAAAGGCCCACGCGGGCCCTCAAATTTATTTCAAAGTGTGCGAGCTATCCTTTCAAACTCTTACAGCCGGCAGCTTGAAGAATGCATTTGATGTTGTTGGAAAAAGTGCAATAATGTTGCACCTTAGTCAGTATTAGTTAGGCGACAGAAAGCCTGTTCTCTTCACACAGAGGTACCTTGTGTTCTGGATCATCTGATAATTAATGTTTGTGCGTCAATATTTATAATCTTCGATGGTACTCCGGGACAGAAATGCAGACCGGCCACACAAAGAAGACCGAGGACTAAACCGACTCCCCTGACTTAAGGACTGACGGACAGGAACTCATCTACATGCCGGTCCTTACGCCGCGGCCGTGAACTGTGAGTCAATGACGTAATGACAGTATGTTTTCCTGACATCCACTGTGAGAATCCATGAATCAACCGGCGTTTATCGTCTGCAGGGAAACCATTTCCTGAATGGGATGGATTTCCTGGATAATGGCTGCACTGGGTCTCATGTGGGAAAAGCTCTACTGCTGATTGAAGTAAAGGGTTAATACTCACAGCTTTGTGGGGCTTAATGTGATTATCAAAAGGTGATATAGCTTTTCTCACAGTGGTTCTTTTTGCAAAATGTGCCCTTTCCCCTAAATCAATATGGCAAGAGGTCAACGTCCATTATTCAGTCCATTTCATTGTTTTAAATGAAATATCTGTGGAGGAAAGGCTTTCGTGGTTTTCTCTTCATTGTATTTTGCAGAAACTCATTACCAATACTCAGGATTAACTCTCAGTCGTCCTCGTCATTGATCCGTGTTTTTTTGTCACTGAGGCTATTTTAGACTACCCTGCTGCTTCTATTGTCGGAGAATTTTCCGTGCGCATGCACAGACGCACGACCGCACAACAGTTTGCGTGTGCGTTGTTTTTTTTCTTGTGTGGATGCACGCATAATCTTTGGTGGGAACATCTGTCTGTCAGAGATAACATAACCAGAGAATTAGCTGTGCTGTCTTACAACCGAGCATCACATCTCACTATTACAGCCTCCTGAATTATACCCTATCACACCTCTATATATGTGTGTGTGTGTGTGTGTGTGTGTGTGTGTCACTCAGTGTAAGCGATGTGCTGACACTGTCATGTCCTTGGGGTGCCTGCCAAGTTTAGGAATATCACAGAGCCCACTACCTCATCTAATCCTTAAATCCATCATAGAACAGATTTCACATAACTTCTGGATAATACAAGTCATTCACAAACAGGTCTCTCATCAAAAATGCAGCATTAAGTTTATAGAACATAACAAAAATAGATAGCATTTTATTTTAAAGGTGCTGTATTTGGCCCCCGAATTATAGTGTTATGCTGTTATATCTTTTTGATGCAAACGCTCAAAACAGCCTGAAGCCACTTAGCTTTCCCTGTATGGCACCTGCAGCAACATCAGCGTCTCTTGGTGCATCAGTGGTGACAAGTTGCTATTTGATGTGAGAAGCTTAAAGTTCAAAAGGCAACTATAGCAAAATGAGACATGGACCTAAAATCAGCAGCTATGTAGGATCATTTACAATCAAACGTGATCACCAAGAGGACACCCCAACTATGGAAAATAGAATTTGTGCACTCTAATCTCGAAAGACTCAATCCTTTTTAACTTTATTCTCACTCGGGACTTTGGAATGTCAGTTGTTGGCTCAGTGGAAGAGCTGAAATATTACCCTCGTTAGAACTTCTATTCCTAAGAGGAACAGATATTCAGTAAAAAGATGTAAATTGGAGTGGAACGGCCTGGTACTGTATGTCACGCTCTGCCTCGACTCAAGAAAACTTTTAATGAATGTCTCCGCGAGAGAAAAGGTATAAGGGGCGTCGGGGGGGGGGCTCTCCCATGTGCAATAATAATAATACTGCAAAGCACCTTGTGCTCTGAATGTCGCTGCTGTACGGCATTCAAAGTGATAAAAGAAACAAACGTGGACTCTGAATGAGGGGAATTGAGAGGACGAAGTGTAATAGTGCCTTTTCTTCTGCACAGAGAACAGCCGGGGGAGCCGAACGCAGCCCCGCTGACCCGGTTGAATCAAAGAGAAGGGTAAGAGGCGAGACCACAAACGTGGAAAGAAAGGGAGAGAGCAAGAGATGGAAAGTGTCTCATTTACACAGCATTGCAATTTGGGTCGATGGATCGCTTCAGTAGCTGCGAGGGGGCATTTTTTGCTCCGTGCAATCTATACCCGCAATCTAACAATCAAATGTGGTGCCAATAGAGCAGTGAGCTCTCTGTGATTGCTGCTGTATTTGACTGAGTGCCAGCTTTAGTTTTTTTTTTTTATACCTCATTAATTCGTAGGAGCGACTGACTGAGGAAACCACTTCTTCTCTGTCATAAATCAAGCGTACACTCCCGCGTGCACACAAACACGCACAGGCACCCTCGTTGCAGCAAAACATGAACACACCAGGGGGGCAAATCTCAGGGCTTAGTCAATGATTCAATCAGTCACTGACAGAAAGTACAGTGGTATCGAGATGACTTATTTCCGCACGGCCTTTGTTTGGATAACTCATGTGTGTATACGTGAGTTTCAACAGAGCTTTCTGTGATTTGATCCCCCCCCCCCCCCTGATTGATCCCCTTTTGACTTTCTGAGGGATTTTCACAGAAAATGGTGCCAAACTTTTGAGTGGGTCGATTTTGAATCATCTCAGCATTGGACTGAGAAGATCATTTTAGTATCTGAACATTACAGTCAGGGATAAGGACTAAGCAGTAGAGTGTGTGTGTGTGTGTGTGTGTCGGGGAGCGTGAGATAGAGATAGAAAGGTTTGATGCTGTAACCGCTGCTAATTATTGCTGCTCTATATTTCACATAGTCTGTTTGATCTCCTGTCCTGTGGAGAGAGGGATTCTCTGTTTCGGTTTCTTACCAACTTACACATTTGTAGACCCGAACGCACGCACACACACACCTACTGGTTTTTACTACACATGCACACACGCACGCACACACACACACACACACACACACACACACACACACACACACACACACACACACACACACACAAACAAGCAAGATCAGAGGTCACAAGGAGGAGAAAGACGAATTGCGTTCTAATTACCGAATCTCTGCAGGGGTTGACTTATATTTCAATCCAACACCTCAGGAGTGGGAGTGTGCATTTTGTGTCTTGTTTTAGTTTGTGTATTTATGTCACTGCTTGCTGAGTGCTGGGCTGTGTTCACTGATATCATGGAGGACAAATCAATCCAATCTCTCAAAGCACTGTGGGTAGTCCAAGCCCATGGACCATCTGGAAGGCGCTCTGTTCTCCTCCGTGTTCTGCTCCCTGAGTGTCGACCGCTGTGGTGATCAACTGTTTGGCAAGCCGCTTTAATACATCTGCGCCTTCACCAACAGCCAATCCATGGACGTATAGTAACAGTTACTAACCACCATTGCCTTTGGCAACGCAGGCAAGGAATTTTTTTTTAACCTCACATGTATAACATCCAATTACAGCTGTTTTCTGCAGAGCGGAAGTCTTGGAACTTGGCTTTGGGCAGCCCCAGTGCTGTGAACCAAAGGTCAGACTGGCCAAAGAATTGTGCTTCTTTGGGCACAGTATTTGCATTGAAAAAGCCAAGATTAATTGGTTTAATTAAATGAGTATGGCACTTTTTAAAGGGCAACATCTGCTACTGACAATAACTAATCCTTCTATGATTTAGAAAGGCAGAAAAAAGAAACTAAACATCATGGTCACCTTAAATTAAATGCTCTTATTATCTTTTCCTCAGACATTTTAGAGTAGTGTTTTTAACCTTTCGAGATCATAACCAGTTTTAAGATATGAGAAATGTTAAATTCAGAACATTTGGTTTTTGCGTCTGAACATTTCTTAGTTTGTGAAATACTGTACATGTCTACCTCCCGTGACATTTATTTCAAGTTCCCTTCCTAAATGACATGCTCACAGCCCATAGACGTGCACCCTCACACGGGGATTAGGTAGTAAGACTAAGAAAGGTTTGGAGCCATAGTTCTATGTTCTTTTAAAGATCTCTGCAGAGTAAACCACACAGTATTCATTCTTTCTTGCAACATGTTGCACAATCAATATGACTCAGACATAACAAGAAAAAAACAACTAAAGACAGTTCTTTCTCCCCCAAATTTTAATGTAACAGATCTGAATCCTTCATTACCGTCATCAACAGTTATGAGCTATGTGGCGTGTTTGGATCAATGAAGCCATTGTGTGGAATAAGTATTGTACCACTGATGAAGGTTACATCCACCCTTTATTTACACTATAGAGACAAACCAGGTCTTTACATGTGTCAGATATGGAAATTAGTCTTCATCCTTCCTACTGTGTCACTTTGCAGTACCTCTTATACATGCTCTGTGGCAAATACAAAAATACAGCATCCACCAAGGTTAAAATGGCTGTGCTGGACTACCAGCCCCTTGTACATCATTTATGTTTGTTGAAAGTCACACTCAGATAACTCAGATAACCTGAATGAAATGGAGATAAGGGGATAGTATTGTCACTCTTTCTTGCCCCTTTGTCCCTGGCATGAAGGACACTTCAAAAGGCAGCTGCTCTGCCTGTGGTTCAGGAGGAAAGAGAGGCGGTGACACAAGGACAGCTTGTCTTTGAATTGCAGGTGCGCCTTTCCTTTTATTCTGGGCCTGAATTAGGAATGATGACAAAACCGGAGGATCAAAGTCCGTTTTCACTATTTCTGCTTTGACACAGAAGAGACTAGATGGAGAATCAAATTTTCTATTCGAAAAACGGTGAATAGTAGTGTGTATATAGAATTGCTGTTTGAGTGTACGCGTATATGTGTGATTGAGGTTTTTTTCTAAAAGCAATGACACAAACCCCATTTCTAATAGCAGCAGTTTGTCCAAACCAAAAAACGTTCTTTCACTCACTAGTCTGTTTTGCCAAAGAAGATTAATAAACATGGAAAGTCACACCGCCTTCTGTTGAAACCTCACTGGCCAAGCTCTCTCCAGGAAAGACTGTGGGGCCAAGGGTTGCAAGGCTACGTGGGAGAGTGGAGCGAGTGGGGTTGGATGAAAAGCCGGGGACTGGGGGAGGAGAGGGATGGGATGATGGGACAGCAAAATGGAGGGAAACAGGGTAGATAAAGAAAAGGGAGTTAAGTGAAGGTGGTGAGGAAGGGAGGGATGGAGAGGGTGCAGGCCGTGAGGGAGCTGAACTGGGTGCGGGTGGATGGAAGGACAGTTGGATGAGGACGATGAGGAGGAGGAGGCGGCGGGCAAGGAGAGGGATGCGTGTTGTAAGATGATATGTTGGAGGCTGGAGAGAGGGGGGAGGCCAGGGACTCTTAGCGCCATGGGCGGAGGGAAGTTCTCGTGTGGGGTCACGTGTGAAAATGGGTGACAGACCGGCAGGGTGTGCTGTCCCTGTGTTTGCATCATGTCCGTGTGAAGTGTCTGAGTTTGAGGCTGTGACGGGTTGTGCAAGGGCGCAGGTGTGTACTGCTCCTCTGAAGTTCCACAGTTCTCTGTCTGTGCTGCGTGCGTGTAGTTTGTCTCCGTGTTCACATCGGCGCTCTCTTGCATCTGCTCCAGGACTCTCTGCATGTGCTCCCTCGCCTGCTCTTGCAGGAGGCGATATTTGTCCATCTCCTCAGCGGTAAAGCTGATTGACGGCGCCGTCTCTTTACCCGTCTGCTTGTCTTCTGTCCTAATCCGCAGCAGGCAGAGATTTGGAGTGTTGCTTGGGTTTGACCCAACCGTGTCCAGAGGACATTCTTGAGTGTTGACGACTGCTCCAGCATCCATTCCGCTGCCCCTGGTCTCGTCTTCCTCCTCCCCCTGCTTCTCCCGACTCTTCTCCTGCAACCTTTTGTTCCTTCTGGCTTTTCTCTGGATAGCAGGTAGTTTACCTATGAGAGGGAGCAGCAACGTCCTGGCTGGTTTCTGCGGCAGAGGCTTACCGGGAGATGGTCCTGCAGGAGTCGTGGCTGACCCGCTTGTGTCGACAGGGCCAGAGGTTCTATCGACGAGGACAGACTGCGCACTGGGCTCCTTCAGCTGAGACAGACTTGTGTTACAATGGTGTGTGTTGAGGCCCTGGACGCTAGGAGCCAAGCAGGCTCCGTGTGGTGAGGAAGGAGTGAAGGAGCCAGAGGTATGGCCTGAGGTCATAGGGTCGCTCTGATTCGTTGCCTCCTGAGGGGCCTCAGACGTCCTGTCGGAGCTAACTGTCAACCCATCAACTGTGACCCCCGAACAGGTACTGCTCCTGCTCCACTCCCAGCTGAGCTCGGACATGCTGGTGCTGCTGCACGGGCTGCAGGAGCGTGGGCTGTGGCATCTGCTGGACTGCGTGTTGATCAAGCTCTGGGGGCTGTATGTCTCCCTACTTGTCCACCACTCGGGGCTGGAGAAGCGTCTGGAGCTTGAGCGTCTGGTGCCTGCACATCTCCACACATAAGCTGGGCTGTCTCGGCTGTCTGCTCCTGTCCAGGAGCCCGATGCGGATCTGTGCGTCCCCCTGTCTTCCCAGCTGTCAGTGCTGCCCCATGTCCATCTGTCCACGCTGCATCTGTCCCAGTCTGCATCTTCTGTGCTTAGACGTTGGCCTCTCCTGCCCCAGCTGCCAGGAGTGGGGCTGAACTTTGGCCCCCGATCCCACTCCACTGCTCTGTTTCTTGGTCTCCACCCACTACTTGACCTGCCCCCCTCACTACCTTGAGGGCAGTCCCTCCCCAACCACTCCCATTGTTCTGTATCTGAAGTCGGGTCCCTGCCTCTGCAACCTGAATACCCCCCGATTTTCCTCCCCCTCTCAGTCTCCTCCCAGACGTCACGATGCCTCTTAGTGGCAATGAATTTCCTGTCCCCGTGGAGGACTATTCTTTTTCTCGCCGGGCTGCTGCCACAGCTGTTGTCAGGGTAACAGCAGTCAATGAAACCCCTGGGGTTGCTATGGTGACCCCTTTCCCAAAACAGCTCTGGGTTACATGCTGGTGGGAAGGAGTGTAAGAAGAAGTGGGGCCGCGAGGGAAAAGTTGCTGCATCTCCGTCTCGCCTCCCCTCCCCATTGTTGCGTCTGTCCGCTGCGGCACGTCTGGCGGGCTGGGAGTAAGCGGCGCAGTGCTCTGCCTGCTCCCCGTCTGGCTGTGCCTGGGATCGAGTGCTGAGGCTCTTGTTAGGCCCCCTCTTCCTGACCGGGACCGATACTGGCTCGGATCTTCCCAGGTGACAGCTGCTGCCGGCTCCCTGCACCCTCCTCGTCCTCGTTTCCCTCATCTCCCTTTGCCACCTTTTTTTCGGCCAGCTCCCCCCAACTTCTCCAATCCTCTCTGTGCCAATGGAGACGGCAGAGACAACACTCCTCACTTTGCACTTTGCTGATGGGTGCTTCTTCGCAGCCTTTTCCCTCTCACCCCTCTTACGCTTTCCCAGCTTGTGTTTCTTTGTGCTGGCTTTCCTCTTTTTGCGTGACACTTCCACGGCGCCCGCGTACAGCTGTTGAGCGCTGGCGCACTTGCACATTGTCTCGCTCCCACACTCACACCTGGACAGGCTGGTGCATAAGCTCTGTGTGCCGGGCTCGGTGACAGACTCTAATTTACAGCTCAGATCTCCGATCGCTCTCTCCCCGATCCCTCTCGCACCCCCTAATCTGCCTCCCAGTGGATTCTGGGAGTTTGTGTCATAGCTGTCAATGTGAGCGGGGTCGAATGGAGGAGAGGCTACCCTCACACAATCATCTATCCTTAGCGGGCATTGTCCTCTTTCTGCTCTTGTTTCTGATGATGTAAGGTTTTTGTTCTTTAGCAACAGGTGTGCTTTTGTCTCCACGTCGATATGTTCCTCAGCTTCCTGTCTCGTCTCTCTTTCTAAACGAGAGGGAGCATCTGATGTAGGAATAGCTGGCACAGATTCATCTGAGAGAGTAGACCGATTTCTTTGTGACTCCTGCAGATCCTCTACGAGATGTTCCGCTTGTGGTGGGTTCAAGCAGAGCGGGTTGCAGCTGTAGGAGATGTGCGGTTGAGACTTGGTGACCATAAGCAGATTGACAGGCCATCTCAGACGACTGCAGCCATCTTTCCTCAGCACACACATGTACCGACTCTCCTCCTCCCGCCCTTCTATTTCCAGCTTTCTGTCTGTCTCGCTATCTGCGTGTTCAGTGTCCATGTGTGACCCGGCTAGTCCGGCGCCCCGTAGGGCCACCTGGGTCTGTGGCAGCAGGCACGGTGAATCGTAGCTCTGATTATCAGGTGCTCCCAGGGAAACAGTTGAGTGTGCTTTCCCTGCATCTTTTGTTCCAATCTCCCCCTTCTCCCTCTGGGGAGGAGCGTCTCTGGGGATCGGCCCTGTGTCGTTAGGACTAACACCGTCAGATCCGGACTTGTGCTTTTCACAATCGCTGTGCTTCCCCTCCTGCGCTGCCCCGATGTTCCCGCCAACGTCTCCCATCATCCCTTTTAGCCTTTCCCTCATTTGTTCTCTCTTCTCTCTCTCCTCCTCTTCCAGGTCTGAGAAGACGGAGGCAGAAGGCTCGAGCCTCGGCCCCCTGCGTGAGAAGCAGAAGGAGACGCCAAGCCTGCCTGCTGCCCTCCCCCGCCCGGGGAGAGGGAGCTGGGGACGCGAGCCCGGGCAGGACTGAGGATGCACCGCGGGAGAGTGCGCATGGGATGCCAGATGTGCGAGTAGTGGGGGCTCGGCTAGAGCCGCGGCCAGCGGGATTTGGGAAGGTGATTGACATGGATTTTCTGGCTGGCGGCTGAGACGTGCTTTTGTGGGCTGCGCAGGAGGGAGTCCACGGATGTGGTTGAAGGGTTCGGGTTTGTTCTCCGGGATGCGGTCGCATCGGTCCCCCTTCTTATCTTGCTGCTGTGTCACGGCCCTGTCTGCTCTTCTTAGTCCAGAAGTCATTCCTGGGACTCTGAAACAGAGAGAGACAGAAGTGTTCTTGGTTTGAATCTATTTCACTTTAAGCCTGGCTTAATTAAACTTCAATGTTTAAATCAAGAATGATGAATTTAAATCAAGAAAAAAAGGCCTGACTAGCATACAGATAGATACATATATACATAACAGGGCATAGAAAGGAACAGTTACTATTCAAAGTAATGCTGTTAACATGTCATTACCTGATTGTAGGAAAGCCAATGAATTGCTCAGGGAATCATTGTAATCAAGATGATTATAATATGTATGATGTGTTGTCTTTATCCGTTGTTTTGATTGCTTGAGGTACACAAACACTGAGGCAAGCCTGCAACCTTCAACTTGTTTCACTCATTTAATTCACTTCTTTAAAAGAACCATTTATGACTTAATTATAACAAACATCTTCTTCTCCTTGTATAATCCACTCTCAGAGCATCATGTATTCACTTCACCTGTGGCCTATGCAGGACGGCCTGGTGCTCCAACGTTTGTGGAAACATCCATCAGATGGAATAAACGTTGACTCGATGTGACACACTCTAACCCCTCTGGACTCCTGCCCTGGGTCTCATTACACTAACACACTGCCACAGACACACACAAATACACTCTCCTCCCACACACCTCTGGGTTTCCTGCTGCAGCTGTGCGAGGTGGTGCAGCCGTCTGAGAGCCTTCTCCTGTTTGCGCTGGTCCTTCCATGATTTTGAGGCCACGTTGCGAGCGAACTCCCTGTGCTTGAGCTCCTTCAGCCTCTGCAGGAGGTAAAAAATTAGAGGAAAACAGAGGGAGGGACGGGAAAAAAAAGTATTTTAGAGGGCACAGGGTAGCGAGGACAACACGAGCTGGACAAAGAGAAGAGAGAGTGAGGAATTAGTTTTAAGAAGCTCTCTGCAGGCAGCTGTCTTTCAAACCTACAGATCAGTCAGCATTGTGTGCAGATGTCCGCCTTCTAAGCTCATGTCCAATTAACTCCATTCAGCCTGAAAGAAAGCATCTTTTTTACAAAACCTAGCTTGAAAGCAAACACAACCCAACTGGTAAATAGCAGTCTAGAGAGGCAGTTGAGATGAGTGGCATGTCTGATTTATTGACGATGATGATTTTTCCACTGACATTTTGAAAATGTTCAGCCCCATATCAGTTGGGACAGCTTGACTAGAGAGACAATCTTATCCAGTGACTGATCTTTAGCTGGAGTGTAGCTAAGGGTGCATTTGCCGATGCAGAAATTACTTATTGGTAAAATAATCATTTGAGACATTGTGTGTGTGTGTGCGTGTGTGTGTGCACAAATGCAAGAAACATAATTCTCACACCATGGTAGTGAGCAGTGGATGATTTAATGTTAGGGAAAACCGGTGGGTCTTTATTCCCATCATAGTGCAAAAAATATACAAATTAGTGTTTTGTGCAAGTTCACGTGTGTGTATTTGTACATTTGTGTCTATAGCCATAGGTGTGCCAGTCCTCTAAGGGAAACACTGATTCATGCCATTCTCTCCAGTTTCCTTTTTTTACACACTTTAATCTCTCCTTTATCTGTGCCTGGTAGGTGTGTGTGTGTGTGTGTGTGTGTGTGTGTGTGTGTGTGTGTGTGTGTGTGTGTGTGTGTATGTTTCTATTTGTGTGTCTAAAGGCTAAGGGGAGACTAAGGAGTTTGGGAATAGCTGCAGTATCGTACATCCTCCTGCCTCTTATCTCTTGTCTCACTTCCCAATATATTTTATCCATGTCTCTCAACGGGCAATCCACCCCCGGTTTATAAAGATTCATTGTTTATTTGATATAGTTGTGAATTGATCCTGTAGTATAATGTGCGGGTACAGGAGTGCACCACTTTCACTTACAGATTATTTTCCGCTCTTTAACATCTATAGAGAGTATATTGCGCAAGAGCACACACACACACGTGAACTCATCAGATTAGCCCCTCAGATTTATTTATACACTCACTCTCTTTCACACCCAGATCTCATGCCGGAGCTGACAGTCGTCAGGTTAATCTCTGCTGAGTCTTACACAATCGGTTGTCTTTTAACATTAACGCTCGTTGCTTAACATCCACTGTCAGCTCGGCGAAGACAGCAAGTCTTAACTTTGTGCCAATGGAGCAGCGGCAGTGGGTTTGTGTCCCTTAAACATAAGGTGCTTGTGCATTGTAGATGCGCGAGAAATCAGGTGAGTGTTTCTTCTTCTGTGGTAAGGAGCTTTGAATGGCTTTGAAGCCAAACTCATTCTATGGGAAATATTAATCATGTTCAAGCAGAGGGATGAATATGGAACAAGTGCGGACGGAGCCAGGAAAAAAAGGAGGAAGAAAAGATCAGAGAAGCTGTCCGTGGCAATGACTGAGAGAGAGCAGCGTATCAAAGATGGAAGGATGCATTCGCCCCCCTTCCACTTGCATTTGCAGTGTGCCAGGTTATTGTTCTCTCTTAAGAACAGATCCCACTGCATAGAAACCTGTAGCTATATTTAGAGCCCAACAAAATGTCGCGCATTTTCACGAGCACACAGTGCAGAGATATTTCCGTTTCACACTTTAAAGTGGATACTTTTGTCTTCAAAGATGATGTCGTGTCCCCAACAGCTTTAAGCAATATTACTCTCCAGTATGCCAGTCCAGCTATGCGCTGCGAAAATCAATCCGATCTGTCAAAGCCTCGATCAATATTCCTTTAGATGTGTTAAGGAGTGCTCCGTCTGAGGCAACTATGGATGAGTCAGAGTTGATTCATTTCGAATCAACCATCCATTTAGAACGAGGATTGGGGTATTCTTAGGTACCATGTGAGGGGCCACGCTAATAGGCTGATTGCTCTTTTATTCAAAAAGGAGCATACTTCTCTTGTAATGAGCAATTTCTGTAATCAGCAGTAAATGCTGATAAAGCGCTGCATTTAGACATGTTTATCCCTGAATCGATGACAAGGAAAAGAGACAGAACAAACGCAATCAGCTGCCATTCTCCAAAGCCAATACTCCTGCAGGGAAGCTCGCCTCATCTAGAATTTCATCTGTTGTCAGCTCGGTAGGCAGAGTGTGCATGCGCGCCTGTATGTGTGCGTGTTTCCACAGTGCCAGTGGCTACTGTCAGCTCAGTGCCGCATGCAGCTCGTTTCATGTGCCTGCCGCTGGCTAAAACAAAGCATTAACATCGGCCTGCAGTTGCTTCGGTTCATTTTCAAAGAACAATGACAGTGAAGGAACAGTCTTATTTAATGTATATTTCATTTTGCACAGCGAGGGCGTTCAAAAATGGGAAGTGGCTTGATTTAGTTTAGAGCCTGTGTCTGACACACGTGTGTAGGGAAGGACATGTCTGAGTTACAACATATAACTGTAGAACAATGTGCTATCAGCAGAAACATCCAGTTTGTCCAGAGTAGAGGTTGCGTATGAGAATGGATGTGAAAGCAGAAAACAGGAGAAAACCTCCTGCTCGGTCTTTTCCTAATGGTCCATACACCTCATCTTGTCCAAACCTGACTAATATAATTGTGTCTATTTGCATGTATTCATGAATGCATTCATGCATGTATGTGTGTATGTATGTATGTATGTATGTATGTATGTATGTATGTATGTATGTATGTATGTATGTATGTATGCCTGTCCTTTGGATTAGTTGGCAACTATTCATCAACAGTTAGGGAAGATATTGTTGAGTAACCATGAAAGGGCAGTGTGAGTTTAAACTAATAGGTACATATTCCTTATTAGATTCTATTTCAGTTCAAAATAAGCTCTGGTAGGTGCACCATGGAAACAAAGGCAGTGAAGTGCAGAAGATAAATTTAAGTTTTGAAGGGCCACTGCACTATTTATCATAAAGTGAAAAATGTATACTGTGCAACTTTTGGTTATTAATAACCTTCCGTCTACATCGTATGCATGAGAATCTGCCTTAAGTTCCAAGTGTGTGAGCTTGCAAGAGATGATGCGGTTGTCACTCTTGTACTGTTACCTGCTGGGAAACTGCACCCAATGGGCAAACTGACATGCACATGTAAAGTAGCTTTTCCCCTCAAGCCACCACACCCAGATTCCACGACAGGAGATCATTAAACATGTCTGCATGTTAAATAGTCTGTGTTTGTGCTGTGTGTAACCACACTGCCAGTGCATTCCACGTACCTGTTTGTGTGCATGGTCGTAGGAGTTGATGTGGTTGTCAAACTCCTGATGTCTGAGGTACTGCTTGTGACAAAGCTCACAGTAGAAGGGAGCCTTCAGATCCTCCGCTGAGCAGCCCAAAGCCCTCTCTGCATCCTCCTGGAGAGAGAGAGAGAGAGAGAGAGAGAGAGAGAGACGAATGAGTGCGTTGGAGGGGTAGGGGGAGAGAAAGCAAAAAGAGACAAGATAGAGGCATAAACAGACAAAGACATAAAGGGTTAGAGGGGCGGAGATTGAGATAGAGAGCGGAGGGGAGGGAGGGGGGGAGGGGGGGGTGAAGAAATGGCAGATTGTTAGCCATTTAGGCCAAATCTGCATCCCAGAGACATCAGCAGTAATGGCCTCTACATGTGCTCTGCATAAAACTGTTAAACGGCTTCCCATTAAAGTGTGCTGCTCTTGCTGTCGTTCCAGGAGGTTGGACAAAAGAAACTGAAGCCCTGTGTTCATGGCAACTTGAGCCCAAGGACACATTTAATACAGCCACTGTAATATAAACCTGTGTATGTACTTTAATGGCAAACAGTCTGGGTCTGACTGCAGGGAAAGTGGCAATTGTAGCCAACTGATGGAAAAAAACAAACTTCTTAAATTAACCATTTATGCCTTTATAGACTGGTAAAACTTTCCGACAAATACACACGCATACAGGCGCGTAAATAGTGCATGGTCATAGATACAAATGCTGGACAAATGGCATATAGACCTCAGGGGATGAATCGCTTGTCTACATGCTCACATCAGCCAGAGGGCTTTTTTGGGGGGGGATACGAGGACATGCACAGTGTTGTGTACAATAGATGTGTGTGTGTGCACATTTTCAGGGTTGTGTGTGCATTCATGCCATGCTCTGCTTCAGAATGTAATTTCCCTGAGGCTGGGGGCTGCCAATAAACACTATTGAATTCTGTTCTACACTGACATGATGGGAATTTAATTTGAGGTTGTCACTTCTTTCTCTCACTCTCTGCTTCTTTCCTTCCCTCCGTCCATCTCTTGGCTCCTTCTCCCTCCCTTTGCTGGCTCTCCTGATTTCCCAATCTTTTTTCCTCCACTAACTCCCTCTTTTCTCCTTTCCTTTATCTCCCCTTTTATTGCCTCTATTTGCCTTTTTCTCTCTGTATAGCTCGTTTCTTCTCTGTTTGGTGAGCCCTAGGTTACGCAGGGACAGAGTCAATTGGCCCCAATTTGCTTCAGTAATGTGTCTGCATGGAAGAACAGAGGTGAGAGCATAAGAAAGGGAGGATAGGAATGCAGGCAAGAAGAGAAGTGACCCCGTCCTGCCCTCGCAGATATAGAAACGCCTGGCCTTATTATTACCGCAGAGTAACAATACCTGTCATGGCATTACTTTACAAACATAAATTACAATTTTGATGACACTTTAACTACACACAAACACAGGTAAACGCATTTAAACACAAATACAGAGAAAATAACTGTGCTTCTTATATTTCCATCTGGTTTGGGCTAATTGGGCGAAGAGGAGAGGAGGCTGAAGCACGGACCAGGCGCACAGGACTATCCTACACTGAAATCTGCAGAAAGGTAAGTAATATGCATTGATTCTGTGTTACTTTGTGTGCGTGTGTGTCTTATTGATCTGCCTTGAAGGCTTAAGCCACAACCAGGAAATGATCCAATCACCTAGAGCGGCCTTTCTTTGAGCTGTGCCGGGGCGAAGAGATTGAGATACTGAAAGCCGTGTATTTGTCAACCTATGGGCCTATGCACGAATACATAGACGCTGCGTAAGTTCACGCCTTCACACTTTATGTGTGTACATGTGTAGATTCTTTGTACCCCCTAACCCTTTCTTCTCACCTCTCTGAATCCTAACAAGGTAATTATTTTAGAGCAGGAGAAATTTATACAGAAAGAGGGGTGCATGTACACAAGAAAAGGTGTGAATGCAAAAAAGCAAGAAATTGGGTTACTGTACAGTAGGTGTGTGTGTGTATGTGTGTGTGTGTGTGGAGATCCCAGGAGCCATTTATTTATGGAACATCTTGAATAAAGTTGTACATGAGAGCTTTCCTTTGCCTTAAATGAACACACCTTATTTGATTTCCATTCCCTTTTTTGAACTCAGAGTGCATAGACACATTAACAGAATTCCTTCCACGCGAACACCAACACACTTATGCATGCACAGTCGCACATAGTTTGTCAACCTGATACAGCAGAGGTAATAAAAATAGTATAAATCTGTTTGCGGAGAAAGCACAACTGATACCGTCAGACCTAAACAGACAGTGATGGTTTGCAGGATTATATGCGGGAGTGTTCTGCAAGGCTGTGAATGTGAATTTGAGTTTGAATGTGAATGAGTTTTTTTTTTCTTTTTCCGCTTATTATCAATTTTTGGGAGAAGGGCCATGTTATTCCTCTTCATAGCTGAAAGGATGTCACAAATAAGAGTCGTTGTGATCCATAACTGGACTTTCAAGCACACAGACACTAATGAATTCAATGTCCCGGGCTTCTGTGAACAGGTCACGCTTAAAGTGAACCCAGTCAAACTGCCCTCTTGGTTTTTGGGATGTCTGACTTTTATGGGTTATAAAATAAATGATTATTGTCATCATTATGCTTAATTTCAATTAAGAAATCTTTGTCTAGTGATCATGACCTTCAAGACTGCTGATATACACAGAAATTCAAAGGCCCCTCAGATAATTTGCTTATCACTGTCATAACTTAAGTCTTAATAACATCTTGACAGTAAGCTGCCTGCAGGTGGAACCTCAAGGTCAGAGAGAGGCTGAAATTGGAATTCGTTTATCACCTATGCTGCTCTCAGCTTCTCTTCAGCCATCTACTAAACAATCAAATGTCCTTAAAAATGAAAATTCAGTACGGTATATAAAAAACATTTTCTGTCAACAGAACCCATTTGTTGGTAAAGTAAGTAACATAAGAATCATAGAAGATACACTATAAAAAACCTGATATTAATCTTACTTTAATGCTCAGTGATTCATTTTTGCAGTATTTTCCATGAGCTCATCAATTAAATTAAAATGAATAATTCAGAGAAATCTACTGTACACTTTCTCGCTGGTTGTAATGAGATAATCAACAACAGCAGCAAACTAACTGTATATAAAATAAGATTACACTTAGTATTCCCTCTTAAGTCTCTTTCTTTATGCTTTCATCACTGTGTGGACAATGACTAGATGTGCTGATATGTTCTTAAATACGAGTTGCAGGATTTGAATATGTGCTTCTTTTGAACTCTTGGGCTTGGACATGCTAACGCAAAAGGGTTCAAATATGATTTGCCAACACAAGTTTTAATATTCCGAACTAGCAGAAACTATGCCTCAACATGCATAACAAATTAGGGGAGAGAAAGAGAGAAACATCAAATAATTATCTGAAGAGTACTTGGACTGCACATCACCTGTATTTATTACATCCACTGTTTAATATTGTGTAAGCTTATCCTCAGACTGAAGAAATTCTAATTGCTACTTTTCCCTGTGAGGACAATTCAATAAACAATTCCTAACTGTTTATTAAGCCCAATTATGGCCGTAATTAGCTTTGGCTATAATTATCACCCTAATTTGGCCACTGTAATAAATAGAAACAATTCCATTAGTGTTAAAAAAAAAATTTGAGCAAATGTGTTTGCTCCCGCTCTGTCCTCCTCTCACAGTTTAAACGCCTCTCTGTTTTCATCCCTTTCCTTTCTCTAAAGGGTTCCTGCGATTATCTCCCCCAGACACACATGGACAAGTGGAGGCAGTCTGGCAGTGCGTGACTCTGCCGCTGCCGCGTCGATTTGCGACCATATCTAACGACGTCGCTCGTTACTGTAGTGACCTGTAGATCTCAATGACAGATGCGTCTGTGCCCCCCCCCCAAAGACTGCCAAATAGTGTTATTGAGCCCTTATGCATCTTCCATGACCGCCTTCAGTATGCCTCCATGGCCAGTACCCACCCATTTATTAATCGGACAAATGTGCATCTGCATGTGCGTCACAGCTGTTTTTGTGTGAATCCCTCTATTAGTGTTTGCGTATTTTTGTCTGCTGCAGCTCATTAGAGCCAGTTGGGACTATAGCTGTAAGTAGCACATGGAGAAAGCTCAGCCCAAACCGTCAGAGGTTTCTCTCAGCCAACAGGACAGATGTGTATCCACCAGTGAGCAACGCCGGCTCACACACTGCTGGCAACCCAACCGTAAAGGAGACAAAATTACCACCACATACACAGACCAGTAAAACGCGTAGTGCGATGTCTACAGGTCAGTGTGGTTGGTGACTCATGAAACGTGCGCTATCTTAAGCAACGGCCTCGATACACCATGAATCACCAGCCTTTGTCTCTCCATTGTCGTGCTCACAATATGTATACAAATGTTCCATCTCCCTCTGCCCTTTTAGGTTGAGCAACATGCAAGACAAACCAACTGAATGAATAAATGATGAAGGGATTATATTTGCAAATTTGCCCTGTGCCCTTTTGCTGTTTTGTTAAAATGATTATTACCTCTCCCCAGATCTGATCCTTGAATCCATGCGGTGCAAAACCCTTTTTTCTTTATCTATCAATTTATCAATACACAAAGTATATGTATCCATCTATATATATATTTATTCATAAAAGAAACATTAGTCAGTTTATTCAGTAATCCTGGAAATGGCATTTGAAGCCGCGGCAAATTCAGCAAACACTGCTAACCTCATTTAACTGTAAACAAGCAGAGTAAATACGAGGACTGTCACCTCTGCGCAAATGAGTGTTTACCCATGAAAATTGTAGAATGCCATCATGAAAGCCCCAATTTTAACATGTAAACTCCATGTGTCCAAAAGTGTTTATTCATCAGCGTGACACCAAAGAATAAGTTTAAAGATTTTGTTCCTGTTTTCAGAGATCAATGAAGAAAAAAAGAGTCGGCATAGAGATTAAAGCTGTTTAAGCCCCGGTATGAAAAAACAACGAGCGCTCCTAATGATGCGTCACCTCAGGGTCGTGCTCTCAACGGATTAAAGGGGAAATAGTTCATTATGAAAAGGCCTGAAATAATATGTGCCACACAGTAGGTAATGTAACGGAAGATGTTCCCATGGACAACGGCCA